AAATTCCAATGAACGCCGTATCTTTAAAAAAAAGAAATTATTTTAAGAAAAAAAATTTTGCGGACAAAATTTTTGTCCGCAAATTTTATAAGAAATTTTTCCAAAAAGATTTTTTTTAAACAAACTCTGTAACATCCTGTCCATATCCACTCAAATGAACAAATAATGAACGCCCAATACCAAGCAATGCAAGTACCAAAAGTGTTGGAACACGAAAGAAGAATAAATTCCTATAAAAATTTTAAAATTTTTTGTCCGCAAGGATTCTCCCAAAAAAGTCTTTTTAATCGAACTACCAACTGAACACTTAGATAACTGAACGACCACCAACCGAACACTCACCACCAGAATTTAAACACTATGGTTAAGTCGGTAGAGTCCCCAAACATAGGGTAGAGAGGGCTGTGGGTTCGAGTCCGGTTGGTGGTCGGTCATGTTTTTTCAACTTTTTCTGGGTTAATCACAGACTCAAACAAGGAAAAATCAAACTAAAAAATTTTTACATTGTAGATTTTAAAGCCCTTTCTCTAGGTTTTCTTCCTTCCCTTTCAGCACTTTCATCAGCCAAAGCATTTACAAAAACAAAAGCAGCAGTTCCAGTATCCATTAAAGATTGACCATAATAATGAGTTTTGGCAAATCTTCGAGGAAAAATTGAAAAGTCAACAGCTAAAATTGCTAAAGCTGTTGTATTGAGAAGAAGAGCTCTGTGGAAAAAAAGTTTAAAAAATTTTCAAAAAAAATGAAAAAAATTTCTTTTTACGGACAAAAATTTTTTTTGTAAATCTTTGGGAGGAAAATGGCAAACCTTTTCAAAAATCATAACAATAAGTCACTAAGTTTTGTTTACATCCGCCAAAGAATTCATGAAAAAATACCAACATTTATGCGAAATTAAATATGTCCATAAAAAATTTTTGTCAGCAAAAAAATTTTTTTAAAGAAGTTTTACGTCAATAATTTTCAATTAGAGTTGTTCACTACCGGTTATTTTTAGAAAGTTTTTGAAAATCACAAACACCGGTTTTCAGTTAACCGACTGTGAACAACCCTACTCTTTATAATAAATTAAAAAAAAAATTTTTTTTCCAAACCTAAACATTGTGTGTGAATTATAAATAGCTCGGCATGTATCCGGCCTAACAAGTTTACAACAATTGAACAGATCACAAAATTGAAGCTTCGAATTTTGAGAATTAATAGTAAGAGATTCTTCATGTGGACGATTTCTTTAAAAAAATTTTAGAAAATTTATTAAAAATTAAAAAAAAAACCTTTTGGATGGAACTTTTGATTTATTTAAAATTAAAGTAATTAAAATAAGTATTAGAAATATTCCAAGTATTATAATTAAATAATCAGCCAGAAGTGTTTGAATAAGAAACATTGGAATTACAATTGTCAAGAAATCTAGAGTGAATAAATGCCTGAAAATTGAGAAATTATGAATTTTTTAAAATAAAAAGTTTGAATTATAACCCCATAGGGAAGCAACAAAAATTTTGGAAAATAAAATTTTTAATTTTGTGGATAAGTGGGTTAAATCAAGAATACACAGGGGAATGGGGTCGTGAGTTCGAACCCTGGCAGGGAAATAGAATTAATAAAATGCTTAAAACTAATTTTGAAATTTTCAAGACCAAAATATTAAAAAATTATTTTGTAGTTAAGTGGGTTAGAAATTGAATACAGGGAAAAAGGGTCTTGGGTTCGAACCCTGACAGGGAAACAATTTTTGAAATTCATTCTCTAATTCTAAAATTAAAAAGAAAACAAAAATCAATTCATATTCCCCAAAAAATTTTTAATTCAAACCATTTCAAATCCTCCTGATTTATTGTTGTTCCACCACCATTATAAATTAACTGAACCAAAGCATTTCTCAATAAAATTGTTAAAAGGCCATTTAAAAAGACTAATGCCGTTTCTGTTTGTAAAGAAAGATCATTTAACATTCTTTATTGCTTAAAAACTTTAAAAATTATTTAAAAAATTAAAAATTTTCTAAATATAATAATTGTTTTAAAAAAACAAAATTATAGAAAATTAATTTAAAAATAAAAATGCTTTTTTAAAAATTTTATGAAATTAAAAATTAGTGAGATCTAAAATAATTACTAAAAAAATTATTCGCTGGTATAGTCTATGAGTCCAATGAATCTTTTCTTCTAATTTGGTATCAGGGGTGTGCCGTTTCGTCTTTCACCTTATTTCCGTTTTTTGGTGTTTTTTCTTTCGATTTTTAAAATCTGTTTCGGCACACCCCTGCTTGGCCCACTAAATACCAACAACTCCGCCTTGAACTCAACTTTTGACAAAGGACTCATAAATTGGACCAGAACCAAAAATTATTTTGAAAATTAGTTAAAAAATATTAAAAAAGAAAACTAGATTAATTTTCAGGGAATTTTGGATCCATTTCTTCTTGTACAACATTCACTTGGTAATTTAGAAAAATCATAAATGTAAGATGGACGAAGACGATATTCACTTGGATAACACAAAACACCAAAAGATGATAAACTTTTAAATAATGTCTGCATTTCATTCATAGACTTTTTGTGGGTTATCTGTTGAAAAATAAAAAAAATTTTTTATTTTGTGGTTAAGTGGATAAAATTTTGGAATTAGTGAGGAATCAAGTCAGGTTCGAACCCCGACAAAATAAATTTACAAATTTCCCCAAAAACCTTAAAAATCCAAATCTTATCCCCTCGAAAAGTATAAAAGTCAAAAAAATTCATTTTGTGGTTAAGTGGGTAGAATTTTAGAAGGGGGTCGTGGGTTCGAACCACGTCAGGGAAATAAATTTAAATAAAAAATCCAAATTTAAAAACAAACCAAATATTCATTATTGCATCCACGACTAGTCCATTCTGTATCAAATCGTGGACTTATAAAATTTTTTTAATCAAAAAAAGTAAAAAAATTTTACTCATGAACGTAACGAACTTTCAAACCGGCTAACCATGCACCAACAGAAACATCTTCATTTCGATAAAGTTGAAAAAGATGAGCATTTTTTGAAATATATTCAACTAATTTTTGGCCTAGAATATAACCTCCACCAAGCTGAAGATTTAAAAAATGAAAATTATTTTTTTGGTTAAGTTGGTAAAATTACGGGTTTAGAAAAGGGGTTGTGGGTTCGAACCCTGTCAGGGAAATAATTTTTTAAATTTCATAAAACGTTTAAAAAACCTGATAAGGCAAATATCTATCACATAAACGCCATTCGCTTTCAGACCATTTCCCTCCACGCATAGGTTTTGCACGTCCATCAAGAAAACCCCAATAAAGTAAAGGATGTTGTTCAATATCTTTTAAGGCGTTTAATAAAGCACCAAGTCTTACAAAACTGTCATCATCGACTTTGAGTAGATAGTCAAATTTGAATTGCTCAGAAACTGAACTAGAAAATAAAAAATAAATTTTTGACCATTTTGAACTCTTGACATTTTAAGAAAAATTTTTTAAATTTTTAAAAAACCTAAAAGCCATTAAAGTCTTCTTTGCCAAATTTTTATAAGATTCCTTAGTTAAATTGACCAAAAGTAAATCTGAATGTTTATTCATTTCCTCCTCTATGAAATGATTATTTTTAACTTCATCCATTCCAAGCACAAATTTATGAATGTAAAGATTTGGAGTTTTTGTGGATAAACGCAGCCATGTTTGTCTAATTGTATTGCGTAATTCTAGTATTTTAAGAGAAATTAAAAGAAATTATTTTATGAATTTTTAGATGGCCATCAAAAATATTAAAATTGATTTTGTGGTTAAGTTGGATAAATTAAAAATTTATGGGAAGAGAGTCGTTGGTTCGAACCCCGGCAGGGAAGTAGAATTAATAAAATAAAAAAAATTTTTTGTCCAAGTCCTCAAAAAAATTTAAAAAATTATTTTGTGGTTAAGTTGGTAAAATTACAGTTTTAAGAAAAAAGGGGTTGTGGGTTCGAACCCTGCCGGGGGTTTAAAATATTTTTTTCATAAATCTTCGTTAAAAATCCCTCTAAAATTTTTTAAAAATATTAAAAAAATTTTTTTTAATATTAAAAAATCTTCAACAACCTAAATTCTCTGCTTTTGTCATAATCAAAACCATCAAATAAGTTGACGGCAAAATTACAGGAGATTCAATTGAAGGAACTAAAAAAATGATTTTAAAACTGCTTTAAAATAAAATAAACCTTGATTTTTAATAGCTAAAAAAGAATTAATTTCCAACATTCCAATTTGTGCTGAAAGTCTTCCAAACCAAAAAATAACAAAAGTATAAAGGAAAATTAAAGCTAAAGGAAGCCATTTTGTATGACGTCTATTTACAAATTTATTAATTATTGCTAAAGGCATTCAAAGAATAAAAGGGAAAAAAGAAGTTTGTTACATTCTAAAAAAAATAATTCTTAAAAATTAAAAAATCCTAAAAAAATAATTATTAAAAAAGGAAAAAAATCCTTTCAAAATTAAAAAAAAAAGAAATTTTATGCTTGATAAATTTTATACGTCAAGAAAAATGTGTGTATAATTTTGAATAGATATTTTGAAATTCTATAACAATTAATAATATTTTTCTAGAAAATGGTGACATGAGGGGTAGAAGTGTGCCTTACGCCGAAATTTACATTTTCTTAGGTATTTAGCCTTCTTAAAATCTGTTAGGCAAACCCCTGATGAGTAGTGTCATATTATTTAACAAGAAAAAAGAATCTCTTTTTCGATTGGCTTTAAGGTTAAATTAAGGTAGCAACCCAACCCTTCAGGAGGGGGAATGTCGGGGAACGGGTGTTGTCGCGGTAGAGCCGTGAAAGTTCGAGTCAGAGATTTTGCCAAAAAAAAAGTCAAAGTTTCGAGGGTCGGGTTTCTACCCCTAAGTTAAAACTCCATAAAGTTTATTAACTAAAATAATTATAAAAAAGCCCAAAAACATATAGTAGTTTTTGCGACTTTTATTCAAAATTTTGTAAATATTTGGTGTTTATAGTACATATTTTTACCAAAAAGAATTTAAAGTATAATTTTTCATTATATTCTCTTCAAGTTTTAGGCTGATGTTGCATTCATAACTACGTAACGAACAGCAAAAATGAGAATAACCACACCAGTAACCATAAGTAAATTTGCAGTAATTGATGAAGAGGATGGTCTTTAATTTAAAAAATATTTTTTGAAATTTTAAAATTTAGAAGGAGGGATTTCCGGCCCGATTCGGTTCGGTTCTAAAGACCAAACCGGGCATCAAATTTTGGCCCGAAAAAGACTCAAACAACCAGGTTCGAAAACGGCAACCCTAAAAGGAGAATTTTGGGATTACGTTAAATAGCCACCCACAAGGAATCTTATTTCTTCAGTTTTCTTTCGAAAAATTTTTTTGAAGATAATTTTTAGAAAAATCAGCAAAATGCCCTTTTAATAAGAAAAACCTTGTTGTTTGATTATTTACATTTTCGTTCGACCCATTATTTTCAGCATTTAAAGCTCTTTCTTCTTCCAATTCACAACGAATTTGTTCTGCCAATTCAGAAAAAACTTCACAAAATTGGGGACTTTTGAGGTTAAATTCTCGAGAGCGCCTAAAAAAATTATTCAAAAAAATTTAAAAATCTCAAAAAAAAAACCTAGCAAGTATTCTCCTTTCATAATCTGAAGTAAGCAAAGAACCCAGAGTTGGCGAATTTTCATTCATAAAGGAAATGAGTCCCATTATAATTGTGCTAACTGACCAAGAAGGATTCCAAGTATCCTTATAAATTTTAAAAATAAATTTGTTGGTTAAGTGGGCAAATTTTTAAATTTTCAATAGAGTAAGGAGGCGGGTTCGAACCCTCTTGGAGTTAATATAAATGTCCGAAGGCCAAAAAGGGGCTTTTCTGCAATTAAAAATTTTAAAAACATTAAAATTTTAAATTGATGGTTAAGTGGGAAAATTTTTCATATTTTTATAAAGTAAGGAGCCGGGTTCGAACCCTCTTGGGGTCAATACAATTTTTAAGTTCAAAAATAAATTTTTAACGATTAAAGATATTTAAATTTTAATTTAAATCCCAAAAATAAATTTTAAAATTAAAAAAAACTAACTGGATGAAAATCTGATATTGACAGACACAATCTTGTATTTACTTGAAATCTGCCTGAAGGAGTTAGCATATCTTAAAAAATAATTTCTAAATATGGAAAACAAAATGAAAAAAATTTACAAATAGACGGCGGTCGAAAAGGAAAATCTTGTGGAAAAACCAATTTTCCATGGTAATAGCCACCTGAAAAATTGAATTTTTTGAATCTAAATAAATTAAAAAAAACCTTCGTAAGGAGTATCCGGAGCTCCAATAACAACATAATGCCTAAAAGATAAGATTTAACCATAAAATAGCTTTAGAGAACTATTTTTGCTGTTTTAAGAAGCGAGGGAGGAAGTAAACGCTTAAAAAATAACGAAAACCCTCAAAAAATTTATCTTTGGTAGATGGAAACGTCGTAGGATTGAATGTAGGAAGGGACGAGTGTTCGAACTCCACTACAGCCAAAATTAAAAATAAATTATTTTGCGATTTTTAATATCGAGAGTAGTGAACGACATATCGACTTTTTCTTAAGGAAAAAAAGTCGTTTTAAAAAAATCTACAATTATTCGCGAACGACTTTTTTTTAAACACACAACGCCAGAACTACGTAAATATCGATGTTTTGCGCCAAACGATTGCGAAACGACTTTTTTGTGTCTCTTTTTCTCTAATTTCACATTATATTTCCTTTCTCTTTTTCTATTAATTTTCGTTTGTGTAGTCTCTCCTTTGGAATTTGCAATTTTCCATTTTTATAAATGTTCAGTCCCTTTTCTGTAATTTTTAGGGATTTTTCCACATATATTCTTACTAAATGGATGAATTTGAAAATGAATTAAGAGTCGCATTCGAAAGCGGCGATCTCGAAGAACCTGTGACACCGTCATCGAAACGTCGAAAATCCATATCCTTAAGGATTAGATCTAGGAAGTCCGAAGAGTAGGCGATCATGGAATATGTTAAATATATCGAGCCTGGTTCTCAACATCACCACCAAGCAACTGCTGGCCAACCTGTAAACACTATTAACGCGAAACAAAGTCAAATTGAAGATCAGTACCAACGTTTAATGGTTTTGGGTGATCAACGAAAGAGAAAACTGGAAAAGGCTTACAAAGGTTGTTTAGAAAACAATCCCAAAATTATCTTTAAATCCCTTTTATTTAAAGCCTACCAATTATTGCGTGAAGCAAATGACCTCGCAGAGTGGATAAAGTCACGAGAAACAGTTGCTTCTCAACAAGAAATTGGTCAAGATTTGGAACATGCAGAAGTATTACAAACAAAATTCAATGACTTTAAATGTGACTTGAAAGCAAATGAAGTTAGATTACAAGAAATGAATCAAATTGCTACTAGTTGGAAGGCTTTAGAACAAAAGGCGGAACAAAGAGGGCAGCAATTAGAATCTGCACATGAAGTTCAACGTTTCCATAAGGACGTGGAGGAGACGAGGGATTGGATACAAGAAAAGAATGAAGCTTTGGATACTGAAGATTTTGGTCGTGATCTTCGTTCAGTCCAAGCTCTACAAAGAAAACATGAGGGAGTTGAAAGGGATTTGGCTGCTTTAGGGGATAAAATACGTGCTTTAGATGAAAAAGTTAAAAATTGAATCCTTTTAAAAGCAATTTTTGTTTATTAGGCCAATCGTTTACGCTTTTCTCGCTCAAGAGGACCCGACTGGGGATAATGTTGAATCTCTAATTAAAAAACATGAAGATTTTGATAAAGCTATTGCTTCACAACAAGAAAAATTAAATAATTTGGATCAATTAGCAAAACAATTAGTACACTTATTTCATTTTCTACACTTATTTCATTACAATCATTATTTAAAGATGAATAAAATTATTTTTTTTATTTTTTTTAAACTTTAGAAAACGAAAACCTAACAAAAATTCCAATGGAGAGACAACGACATAGAAAATTAATAGAAAAAGAGAAAGGAAATATAATGTGAAATTAGAGAAAAAGAGACACAAAAAAGTCGTTTCGCAATCGTTTGGCGCAAAACATCGATATTAACGTAGTTCTGGCATTATGTATTAAAAAAAAGTCGTTCGCGAATAAAAGTAGTTATTCGCCGCGAATCGACGAAAACGTAGATATGTCGTTCACTAATCGAGAGGGAGTAATCAATTAAAATAAAATTTAGTTAACTTTTTGGTTAAGTGGTTGACTGTTGAGACTTTGGTTGACTGTGGTCGAGGGTTCGAACCTTACTACAACCCATTTCTTCTAGGCCACGAAATTACAAGCGAAAATGAAAACCTTAACAAACCCATTCTAAATGACAAAAACAATCATTAAACCCCAAAAAAATCATTAAAAGAAAAAACCTAACCATTCCAAAATATTTGAAGGCAAAGGAGCAGCAATTGCATAAGGCACAGGATCACGAACTAATTTTTGATAATCCTTTTTTAAACGAGTTACTGCTGTTATTGTTGCACTTCCACCAGACATTTTTAATTTTTTTTTCTTCTAAAAATTAAAAAAAAATTTTTTTAAACATTAAAAATTTGATTTTTAAACAACGTGAAAGAAAAAAATTTAATCAACGCACAATTTTTATTTAATAAAAAAATAATTTAGTTTTTAAGGATTATATATTTAAAATAAAATTTATAAATCGCTTTATAATTTTTAATTAGAATTTTTTTCAAGTCAAAAACGTAACTAAAAAATTATAAAGCGTACAGAAATTTTTTGGGTATATAAAAATGATATGGATACATATAAAGAATATGAATATTATGACAACGTCAGTTAGTGTTACATATTCAATGCTTTCCCGCCTTCAGCAAAAAATTTTTTTTCAAAAATTTCATTGAACAAGTATTGCTAGAACTTGAGACCGAAAAAATTTTTTGGAACAGAAACCGTGGAATCTTTTCAAATTTTATGGAACAGAGAAAGCACTAACCAGTTAATTTCAATTCTAATAAAATAATAATCCCTTCAAATTACCACACAAAAGAGCATATGATAAATTCTCCAACAAATTTTCAAACATTTGGCAAGTTAAAAATAATTATTTTTTCATCAACGCCGAACTAAAGGAGAGGAAGATGAAGGCGGTGGTGGAGGCAAAAGAGGAAAACTTGTTGGTGTTGAACCAGAATTTTTTGGAGATTCTTTATTTGAAATAACACGTTGATTGTCATTAGAGACAATTGTTTTTTTCTTTAAAAAATTTTTAAAAATTATTTAACAAATTTTTTTTCAAATTTTATAGTCAAGTGGAATCGTGTTTAGTTGTGACTGATATGGGGACGCAGGTTCGAGCCCCATTAAGGCCAAAAATTTTTTAAAACATGTAATCAATGTCCTTGCCTGAAAAACAATTTTTCCCCCCAAAATAACTATTTAATTAATTTTCTGGTTAAGTGGAATCGTGTTTAGATTTGTCTGCTATGAGGACACGGGTTCGAACCGCACTACGGCCAATAATTTTGTAAGGACTTGTAGTAATGTTTGTGGTTGGAATTACCTCACAAAACTTACAAAAATAAAAAATTCAAATTAAAAAATTTCTAAATAAAAATATACCCCAAAATTGAGTGTAAGCGTCTGCCCTGCAAATTTTAAAAAATTTAAAGATTTCAAAAATTCCAAAAAAAACCTTCGCGTAAAACAGGTATTTTATTAATTCCACTTTCCTCAGCTTTAATCTCTTTTTCAACTTCTAAAGCACTTCGAAAATAATCTTGAATTGAAACTTTCAAATCAAATGAGTCGCTTTGGTCACTAAATCCAATCCCAACAAATCTAGCTTGTCCATTATCACTTCTTAATCGAATAACAAAATAACGGGAAGAATCGACAACTGGTTCAAAATCGACAGAATTGAGCCGATTAATTGGTGCTTTGGCAAAAAGTTCACCTTTAAACGAAAAAAATTTTTTTTAATTTGTCCGCAAATAGAGTCCGCAAAAAACCCAAAGTGGCCGTAAATATCAAAAACAAAAAGTAACGCTAAGAAAGTGAGAAAGGTATCGGATAAAGGAGTGGATAAATTTGAGGAGTGAATCTGCTTGACCTTTATATTAAAAAATATTTTTTGGTTAAGTGGAATCGTGTTAAATATGATCGGTGTTAGGGGCACAGGTTCGAATCCAGGTGCGGCCAATATTTTTCTAGGATAGCAAAAATAACTATTAAAGCTAAAAAGGTGGGAAACAAATGTCAAATAGTGACTAAACTTGAGAAATGAACTTTTAATAGAAAAATAAAAAAAAGGTGACATTTGGTCCCATTATTAAAAAATTTACTAAAAAATATTAAAAAATTTACCCGTATTTTTATCTTCCAACCGAATTTCTAAAACATCATCAGATTTAGATACCAAACGTAAACGACCAGTCCAATTAGGGTTAGCCAAATTCCAATCAGAAGCTCTAAAAGTTGAAAAAATTGAAAATTTCAACAAAAAAATTTCTTACTTGTATCCTTTAGTTCCAGATAATGGTGGAATCATATAAAGAAAAACTTCTCTTTTAACTAAAAGAACAGCAGCAAAATCGTTGTTAAGCATTTTCTAATTTGTTTCTAAAAAAAAGTTTTTTAAAGCCAATTAGAGCAAAAATTCCTCTAAAAATACAAATTTTAAAAAGCTAAAATAAGGTAAAATAAGAGACTGAAGAATAAAACAAAGAAAAATCAATTACTCCACGCAAAACCTATGACGTAACCAAAAAACTTTTTCTCACACAAAATAATTAAAAACCGGGGAAAATTCAATTTTAAATTAACGCCAAAGAAAAATCGATAAAATTAAAATTAGACATTATGCCAAATCTCATGACCTGTGGTCACTCTTCTTTTTATTCTTTTTCTCTTTCTATTTTCGTGTTGTACAACTGTTTTTGTTCCGGTTTTAAGACTTTTATTTTAAGACTTCGGTTAGTCGAATCTTCAGTATACTGTAGAGAATACTTTGGAGAATACTGCAAACCTTTTGAAAATTCATTTGTCTTGATCTTGTGCCAGTTCTTAGAAAAGCTCCGGAGGGACGCGCCCAAAACGGCGCGCTCGATAACGGCGCAAGGCCATAACTTGCTTCAAGATTTCCGAATTCTAAAAATTTTAGTATTGATCGATTCCTCTCATTAAGCTAAAGAGTTTGATACCAAAATTGATAAGGGCCAGAAATTTCCAGCAGGTTATGGCTTTGCGCCGTTATCGCCGCGCGCCGTTTTGGGCGTATCCTTAGGCTTCCAATGTTTTTTTTTCATTTTTTTAAATATTAAAATATTTTTTTCCAGTAAATTCTTATTGTTTTCAAGACTTTTTATTATTTCAACTGATTTTCTTCATTTAATCGTCAAAAAAAGGGAATAATGAATGAAGATTATTTACGTCGATTTTTTCAACGTCCACCAATTTCACCACAAAAATATTTAACTTCTAGAGGTTCTATACAAACAACACCAACAAAATATAGACCTGATGGAGGTGATAGATATATTCCTATACGTGAAAGTGAACAAGAATGGGCATTTAAATATGCATCAATTTCAAGTCATCCATTAACTGATGCTTCTAATAATATTCCAGCAAGAAAACTTTTTGATGATCATGTATATTTTTTTTGATTTTATTTTTTTGATAAGGCCCCCTTTTTGAATTGGGTGCTCCCATCTTTTCTTTTGGTCTAACTTCTGACAGCTAGAATGGGCCCCTATATACCTTCTATTATAGGGAGAAAGGGCTCTCTTAAATGACGACACTATAGTGATCGAGATTTTTGAAAAACATGTTCCTGGGTTTTGGGTTTGATTTATTGACCTGGGCCGAATCCTGGGCCTGTAGTCCAGGAAAAACCCAGGCCCAGGAAACTCCCAGAAAGGTCAGAAAATGCCTGGGCCTGGACTCTGGGTACAGGGAAAACCCAGGCCTTGGTCCTGACCCAGCTCGATCACTACTATCATCCATTCATTTTCCCAAATTATCCTCTTTATTTAAAGACAAATGCTGCCTCAAATACTCAAAGTAGTACTTCATCTACAGCTCAACAACAACCAAATCAACTACCAAATCAACAACAACAGCAACAACCTTCATCTAATTCAATGAATAATAATGGTAGTGTTGGTAATAATGGACCTAATACTGGAGCACTTCCATTGGAAGAAACTGGACATGATTCGGTTACTCATCGAGCGTTGTTGAAGAATGAATTGTTGAAACATTCAATTATTGATGTTAGGGTAAGAATTAAAAAAATTTTTCTCCCAGGAATCAGGGGGATAGACACCCAACCTCCCCAAGCCTATGTGCCTGCCAAGAACTGTAAGGCTTAGGACAAGTTATGGGTAGCTTCCAATATTCCAGATCCGTACTTGCTGAATTTTCACGATTAAATTCTCAGGATCCGGCCCGGTCAAATTTGTCTTTGCCAAATGGCGACCTCTTCTGTACCTAAAATTCATACCCAAGCATATTTTGGACTCTTTTTCCTGGACTCTAGGTCCTGAATTCTCGCCTAACTTACCCCTAGTTTTTGCCCGCTCAATCATTAGTCTCGACCTTTACCACACCATTTTCAGCCGAAAGTTCTAAAATTTTAATTTTTTTCAAAGAGTGATTGCGACAGTACCGATAGTGTCCAAATTTTACAACGAAGTACACCTCATTCTTTGTTCAAATATACACATAAAGTGCCAAATTCTGTTGGTGGTAGTTTGGCAAATGCAGCATCACCTTTATTTTCATCAAGTCCACTTTCTGCAGGTTTACTTTTTTTTCTTTGATTAATTCGAAAATATACCCAAACTTGGAGGCCTTCCTTTCGCTTTAAGAGGCCCTCCTTCACTCCCATTCACTTGAGATGCTTCCTCGAAAATTTACTTCAAATCCTTCTAAAATTAGGAGAAACTTCACTCCCCCCTCCCAATCCACTATAGACGCTTCGCTTCACTAAAAATCTAATACCTTGAAGGTCCTCCTACCCATAGACAATCCCCTACTTAATTAGAGGGTTCAAAATTTTATTAAAAAATATTTTTATTTTATTTTTCTAGACAGTCAACGTTTATTAAAATCTCCAAGAAAACCACAACGAAAAGTTCCAAAAAATCCATATAAAGTTTTGGATGCTCCAGAACTTCAAGATGACTTTTATTTAAATCTTGTTGATTGGTCAAGTCAAAATATGTTATCTGTTGGTTTAAATACTTGTGTTTATTTATGGAGTGCTTGTAATAGTCAAGTAATTAAATTATGTGATTTGGGCAATGAAAATAGTGAATCTGTTACTTCTGTTCAATGGTCTGAACGTGGAGATTTATTAGCTGTTGGAACTCATAAAGGAATTTTACAGGTTTTTTAAAAAGATTTTTCGAGCCTTAAATTTTTAAAAAAATTTCGACCCTCTAAAAATTCTCTGAAAATATTTTGTGCCCCTTTTAAAAATTTTTCGAGCCTTTTAAAAAATTTTCGACCCCTAAAAATTTTTCAAACCTTTCAAAAATTTTTTTTAATTTTTCGAGCACTTCAAAAAAATTTTGAGCCACTAAAGATTTTTAAAAATTCCGACATGAGCCCTTAAAAATTTTTACAAAAAATTTCTCCTAGCCTTTCAAAAAAAATTTTTTTTTAATTTTAAAGATTTGGGATACTCGTACACAAAAACGCATTCACAATATAAAAGTTCATGAAATGCGTATTGGTTGTTTAGCTTGGAATGATAATGTAATATGTTCTGGTTCACGCGATCGTTGCATCATTTATAGAGATTTGCGTGAAAGTAATAATGTGACTGAAAAACGTTTAAATGCCCATAGACAAGAGGTTTTTTATTTAAAATTTTCGCAAAAAATTTTTTTAACCCTGAAAGGTTTGCGGTTTAAAATGGTCCCCAAACAAAGAATATTTGGCTTCTGGTGGTAATGACAATCAATTGCTTGTTTGGAGTCTTCGTCGTAATGAACCAATACAAACTTACACGGAACATAATGCTGCTGTTAAAGCTTTGGCTTGGTAACCTGAAATATTTTTTTAATTTTTAAATTTTCTTACAAAATTCTTTAAGGTCCCCACATCATCCAAGTGTTCTAGTCAGTGGTGGAGGAACAGCGGATCGATCTTTACGCTTTTGGAATACAATGACTGGACAGGCAATGCAATGTGTTGAGACTGGGAGTCAAGTATGTACCTTAAGAATTTTTTTTGAAAATTTTCGAGCCTTAAAAATTTTTCCAAGCCTTTCAAAATTTTTAAAAAAAATTTTCAAAATTTTTTTTAAAAATTTTGAAGGCCTGAGAATTTTTTTATAAAAATTTCAAAAATTTTTTTTTTGAAAAAAAAATTTCACAAAAATTTCTTTTTACCTTTTTTCTCAAGGTTTGCAATGTTGCTTGGTCTAAACATAGCCCAGAATTAGTATCAACACATGGCTATTCATTTAATCAAGTAATTTTATGGAAATATCCAAGTATGCAACCAATAACAAAATTATCTGGTCATCAATCAAGAGTTTTATATTTGGTTTATTTTTTGATTTTTATCCAAAAATTCCCCCTATTTTTTTAAAGGCAATGTCTCCCGATGGTGAATCAATTGTTACTGGAGCTGGTGATGAAACTTTACGTTTTTGGCATGTCTTCTCAAAATCAAGTAATCAAAAAACGGTTCGTTCACGTTTGGATTTGCATAGCTGCATTCGATAAAATAAAAAAATGATAAGATAATTTTCCCGATATAAGGATTTTTTTAAAAATTTAGTCAACTCCAAAAAAAATAAGTTTTTTTTCAGACCCTTTTTTCAAATTTTTTTAAATGACAGAAGGGGGAAGGAGCCTTTTTTCCAGAATTTCCTTTTTTTAATGACAGAAGGGCCTGAAATCCAATAAGCGAACAAAAAAAAACCTTTTCCAGAATTTTATTTTTTTTAGAAAATGACAAGGGGAAGGGAGGAGGATCTCATTCTCACGAGAATCTCATTTTTGTCTTTTGTCTATCCCACATTTTTTCTTAAAAAAAGGTCTGAAAAACCAATAAGGTAACACAACAAAAAAATTGAATTTTGTTGTAGTCTTTCCATTTTTTCTTCTATTTTTTTCTATGAATTTATTTTTTTCCTTTAAAATTGAAAAATCGCAAAGATTCAGAAAAAATTTTTTTCGTCCCTCTCATGAATCCTCTTATTGAAAATCTTTTTTAAATAAATTTTCAATCCTTTTTAAAACTCTAAAAAAATATTTTAAAAATTCATTTGCGCATTTTTTAAAAATCATTCATTTTCGTTTAAAAATTGCAATCTTGTCCATCTCATTTTTTTAAAAAATTGTCTTCTAATGCTTAAATATATTTTTGTTTGAATCGGATCAGTTTCTTTAAAGTTAAATTTTTTTAAATATTTTTAAAAATCAGAAAACTGAATCGATTCAAAAAAATTTTGTGCTTTTATTCTTCATGCTTTCCATGCTTTTTTCTTCTCATTTTAATTTTTTTTTCTCTTTTAAAATTTGTAAAATTATTATTTTAAAAATAAAGTGTGGAGATGTATAAAAAATTAATTTTTTCAGAAAATTAAAAAAAATTTTTCTTAGGAAAAAGATTAAAAAAATTCTTATGCATCTCCACGCTTAAACTTAAAAGGATTTTTTTTTCCTATTTTCATTTTTAAACAAAAAATATTTTTTTTTCTCCCCTATTTTCTTTTACTCTGAAAAAAATGTCTTGTCAATTATAATTCAATTTAAATTTATTTTTTTTCTTTGGTCTTCCTAAAATTTTGAATTTATGTTTTAATGGTAAAAATAAAATTTTTTTATTTGGTTTGGTTAAATTGTTGAAAATTTTAATTTTTTTCTATATAAAAAATTAAAAAAAAATTATATACCCGTAATTATTATAACAATAAAGTTATAAATGTCACCGACCAATTTTATATATTGTCCAAATTCGCCAATTGGGGGACTGAAACCCCCAAATTTTGGTGTATTATAATTTTCAGAAATTTCGAATAAGTACGGAATGGTCCCAGATCAAGTTGGCGTAGGTCCCGAACTTGAAGAAATGTTTTGAAACCTAGTCCCAACTTTGCAACGCCAAAATTTGGGGTTTCAGTCCCCAATGCGAATTGAAATTGGACGGTGACATATATTAAAATTTTTTAATTGAAGTTTTTTGGATTTGCCATCATTTTGTGTGTTTTTTGGGGATTTTTCTTCTTCTTCTTGACCACACCATCATTCCCTCTAAAAAATCTCTTGCCTCGTTGCTTCCTTCAATCAAACCAACAAAGTGCTTGAGTCAACACCAATTTTGTGTTGATCAAAAAAACCTCTTCCTCCTCCTTCAACATCAGTATCATCATCGCCCCCATCCTCTTTTTTTATTCCATTAATAGAAATTTTAAATGTTCCTCCATGTTTCCCTTTTTGTTTAATAAATGCACTAATTTCTTCTGGACGGGAATTTTGTTCATACATTTTGGCTAATATAACTTCTTGACGATAAAAACGTTTAAAATTAGCTACCTTTAAAAATTAGAAAAAAAATTTTTTAATTTTTCAAAAATTGCAAAAAAATTTCAAAAATTTTACTAAATTTCAAAAAATAAAAAAATTTCCCAAAATTTTCAAAAAAAATTTTTTCTTCAAAAAATTTTTTTGAACATATCCTTTCAAAAAATTTCCATAAATTTTCTAAAAAATTTCAAAAAAAATTTTTTCTTCAAAAAATTTTTTTGAACATATCCTTTCAAAAAATTTCCATAAATTTTCTAAAAAATTTCAAAAAATTTTCTCATTACTCAACAAAATTTTTTCAAAAAATTTTGTTCTTCATGAATTTTTTCTTTCTTTTTTTTTTTCTCAAAAAAATTTTTTGAAAAAAATTTTTTTTAAATCTTACAATAATAGGAACAGGCAATGCTAATGTTAATACACCAATTAATGCGCAACACGAACTTTAATAAAAATAAATTTTTTAGTTTTCAAAAACCCCCCTCATACCCAACAATTTTCCCATAAACTCCATTTGGTACCAAATCGCCGTATCCAACTTTAAAAATTAAAAAAAAATTTTTTTTAATAATTAAAAAGAAAACCTGTTGTCATTGTTGCTAAAACAAACCAAAATGTTGCTGGTATTGAAGTAAATTTAGTTCCTGGTTCGCCTTGTTCTGCAAAATAGACACCACTGGAGAAGAGAACTAAAGCTATTCCCATGAAGAAAATCTTTAAAAATTTTTTTGATAAATTTATTAAAAAAATTTTTTAAAAACTTCTAAAAATTTTCTAAAATTCTAAAAAATTTTGTAAAGAAAAAAAATTTTCTAATTGAAAGAAATGTCTCTCTTAAAAATCTACACTATTTCTTCCCTCTCTGCCTTAAAAACAACACCACTATTCCGCTTGATCAAGTGGTTAATGCATTTAATTTTCAATTAAAATTAATTTAGGACAGGGTGGGGTTCGATACCCAGCAACGCCCAACATTTTTTATTTTAGTCTAAAAATATTTTAAAAATAAAATAAATATTTATAAAAATTTCAAAAAATTTTTTTCTTAATTTTTAGACCAAATTTTATATTTTTTCCATTAAATTAAATAGTGGAAAGGAAGAGTGTAGGTTCGATACCCAGCAACTCCCAACATTTTTAAAAAATGTCCACAGCACTTAAAAAAAATTTTTTTAATTTTTAAAAAATTTTAGAGACCTCAAAAAATTTTTAAGAACATTCTAGACCTCATTTAATTAAATTAAAAAAAAATATACCAATAAAAAGAATTCTTGTATAGAAGCACGGAAAGTCTTCCCCAACACTTAAAAAAATTTTTTTTTATTTTTTAAAATTAAAATTTAAAAAAAAAACCTTGTAATCCAGTAAAATGCCGACTTAATTTAAATATTCTAAAGACCCTAACTAATCGAACTATTCGAAGTACAGCAAATGAGGTTGACGAAGAATTTTTATTTTCAGCGTCGTGTAAACTTTAAAAAAATTTTTGAAAATTTTTTTTAAAAATTAAAAAAAAATTTTTTTTTTCTTACATTAAATTAATAAAAAATGGAGCTACAGCAACAAAATCAAGTACATTTAAAAATGACTGAAATTAAAAAAAAATTTTTTTTAATAAAATTTTTTTAACCTTCATAAAATCTGTCCTGCTTGGTGCTACCTTTAAAAATAATTTTAAAAAATTTTTTAATTGAAAAAAATATTTTTATAAAAGAAAACTTACAATAAAACGAATAACGAGTTCTTAAAAATTTTTTTATTAAAAAAAATAAAAAATAAAATTAACCAATAGAAAACCATAAACAACAACAAAATTCAATCCAAAAGAAAGGTGAAGACCATTCCCTGTCTGTAGGTGATTTTAATTCTGGAATGCTTTCAAGGCAAAAAGAGACTGTACTACTAGAAAAAAATTTTTTTAAAGAGAGAGGTACTTTTAACATTCATTTCTTCCAAGTTTAAAGTAGTGTTCAATATTGAGGGGCAAGGGATGAACGTACGGAAAACGTCGGGTTGCGGGGAATTCGGGTTCGGGGGTCCCCCGTAAGCCTTCCCCTGGGGAAGGGGGGGGGGAACACTAGTTAAAACACTAGTTAACCGATAAACACCCAAAAATACTAAAAAAAATAAATATTTAAACAAACATTATTATAACAGCAACAGAAATTGAAGCAAGAATGCGTGCCAAAAATGAAGAATCTGGATGTTCCATCTAAAAAATTAAAAAAAATTTCGAATTACGAAAATTAAAAAAACCAAATTCCATATTTTTCTTTGTGTAGGATTTAAAGGTTTTTTCTCTTCTTTAACAATTCTGCAACCTTCACTTTCACAAAAATTTGACCAAACATCATCTTTTAGTTGATAGAAATACTTTAAATAATGGGAAAAAAATTTTCTTAAAATTTTTTAAAATAAAGTTGAACGAAAAATACAAAAACAAATAGAGTAGCATAGACACCGAACGATTCTTTTTGGATAAAACATCAAAACTCCCTCCCCCAGAAACTCGACTGAAATACACTAAACGTCAAAATATTGTTCCCGAAAACCCTTAAAAATTCTGGTATGTTCGCAAAAATTTTGTGGGTGCTACCAGGGAACTTTTACAAATCACCAAAAGGGGAGCATGGCCACACAAAAAAGTGGCATAAAAAAGAGAGGAAAAAGGGGCGGAAAAGTCAAAAATGGGGAAAATGCCCCCTAAAGGTGGTAAAACACCCTGGTCACAAAGGATCACCTCCCCCCTCCCTTCAAAACAAACGTAAGAAATGCAACAAAACATAAAAGTTGCCTAAGAACAACAAAAACAAGACAAAAAAACGAATAGCTAAACATTTATTTAAAAAAAGGACAAAAACAACAACAAAAAAACATTTAAAACAAACAAATATTTAAATAAAAATTTAAATAAAAAAAATTAACCAATTCATCAATAAACATTTCAACAGGTACAGTAACAGGCCTAACTACCTGACCTCCAGTTCTTGAATGAAAAAAAATTATTTTTTCAATAAAAATTAAAAAAAATACCTATAAATATGTAGAATAGATTCAAAACTGTATTGAAAAAAAATAAAGAATGAAAAAAAATAAAAAAAACCATGTTCTACTCCTATCAAGAAAATATTCATTTAATTGTTCATTCCAAAATGCTCGTCTTTTTGTTGGATTGCCTAACATTGAGTGAGGAAAACGTTCAAGTGTGCTTTGATATGTCTTGAAAAATATACAAAAAAATTTTTACTAAAATAATAAATACTTGAAAACGCATTCCAGAAACGTTAATTGTGATTACCTGAAATAAAGAAATTTTTTTGAAAAAAATTTTAAAAAATTTTATTTTGGTTAAGTGGTTAGTGTGTTAGACTTTGATTTGAAAGGGTCCCAGGTTCGAACCCCTACGAGGTCAATTAATTTTTAAAAAATTCTAGAAAACGTAAATACAAGCAAAAAAATTTTTAGGGGATTTTTTTAAAATTTTTAAATTTTTGGTCGAGTGGTTAGTGTGTTAGACTTTGGCTTAGAGGGGTCCCAGGTTCGACCTCTTTCAGTGTCAATTAATTTTCAAAAGGTTCTAAAAGACATATAAATATCGACAAAAAATTTTTCTAACCTAAGAAAAATATTTAATTTCGAAGCAACAAACCGGATCATTCCAAATCCCTGAAGAACGTTTTTGAACATTTCTTCTAGCATTTATTGACCCCTCACTCCTTCCAATTTCTTCCAATATTGAAACATCAGATTCCTCTCTTCTTTCCCTTTCTTTCTTATCATCCTCTTCTCTTTCACCTTCATCTACAGTCAAACTTGTCCCTCTTAATCTTGAAAAAGACGAAGAAACCGAAGACATTTTTTTGTGATTTTTTCTAAGGCAAAAACTTGTTGAGGCAGTATCGTCAGTAGAAGAATCTTCGTATTTATTATGTTGAGAAAAACAGACACGTGGGGATGAAGAGGCACGAAAACACTTGTTTGATGAAGGAAGACTGTTGGTGCAAACTGGAACCCTTAAAAGAAATTTTTGAGGGAAAATTAAGAAAAGGTGACAAATGGTCCCAGAAAAGTTTGAGGGTACTAAATTTAGAAAAAAATGAAGATTGACTCCTGTACTTAGAACAAAAGATAGAGCAGACTCCTATCTACAAAATAGTTTAGAGAAGATTGCCAGTGAAAACTGGAACCCTTAAAAAATTTGAGGAAATAAAGGGACAAATGGTCCCAGAAAAGTTTGGGAACCCAAAGCCTGTAAGAGAATGGAGATACAATTTTGTTCTTTATATCAGAAGATAGAGCAGATTCTTAACTAAAAATAGTCAAGGGAACGATTTGGGAATAAATTAGGGAAATTTGTAGGGAAAAAATAAAAAGGTGACAAATGGTCCCAAAGAAGTTTGAGGACCCAAAACTTTTAGAAAAATTAAGATATAATCCTGTACATTATACCAAAAGATAGAGCAGATTCTTAGCTTCAAAATAGTACCAAACTGTAAAATAAAAAAATTACCAATATGGAGGATTAAGCTCTGAAGAGGTAGATCTCAACGAATCGCCCGTAGGCATAAATTAGAAAAAAAATACAAGGCAATTGGGAAATTTTTTTGAAGAACTTTGACTATTTTGACTTCAAAATCAATTTAAAAATTAAAAAAAATTAATAGAGGAAAAATTAAATTAAAATCAATAACAATCTAATTTAAGATCTTTTCGCCTTTAGGGACACAACTGAAGAGAAGAAGAAAAAAAATTCCGGCACAAAAACAAAAAAAGAGAAAATATATTATGTATATTGATAGGTTTACCCCCCTTGTTTTAGAAAAAAAGGAAATATTTCATTCCCACCAGGCTGGGGGAAATGAGTGACGTTTTTAAGAGAGGATAATGAACAGCTGCTGGCTTTGCTGACTTTTATTTATAACGGAAATGGATTAGAGGGGGAAAACAGAGGGGAATGGATTGAAGAGAAGGGGAGAGGGGAGTGGAAGGATATATTTTCAAGACTTTTAAAGCTTGAGCGTGTGAATTAAAAAAATTTTTTTTCAAAAAATTAACGTTGAAAAGCGCAAGCAGGCATTGACTTTAAAATCTTACAAGGAGCCATCGTTTACTTTGAGTGCAAATTTGATATATTTTTTGGTACCATTCGATAGAGGACACTCGACTTGGTATTGTGGCGTGTTCCGTTTTTTTTTTGCAAAATGACTTTGGGCCGAGTTATGGCCGTTCATATTTAAAATCTTATTGTTAGATGACTAATTTTCAAAGAACAACAAAAACAAAATGAAAACAAAAAACTAGAGAGTCAAGAAAGAACAAAGAACAGCAAACATTTTGTGGTAATTGGTTTCCATGCCAATTTTACAAGTTACTTATTATTATTCTAAAAACAGTGGAAGCGGAATTTTTCGATAAGCCGTTTTCGAAAAGGAAAATTTCGATAAATTGCGGACGAGCGTACGGACTACCAGAAATACAAAGAAAAAACAATTTAAAAATCTTTTCCCCAAAAATTTTTTTAAAAAATTCCTAAAAACACTTAAAAAACACTCTATTTCCTTACTCATTTTTAATTTGTTACCTCTTCCGTCTCTTAGAATATTTTTTCTGCTGTTCGCAACCGTCAGCATGAAGGCTATTATTTGCGGTAATAAAGACCTCAGATTTTGCTCTTTTCTTTTCATTTGGCGGAAATAAATATTTTTGGTGTTTATTTTGTGTTGATTTATGACGACGTGGTGGAAACATTTTTTTTCAAAAAATTTGTAAAGAAAAAATTTCAAGAAATTCTGAAAAATCTGAATGAGGAAGGGAGGGGTGAACTCCTAGAAACGTAAGAATACAGGCCACCCTCAATACGGACAAATTTTACTAGTCATTCGAAAGAGCTCGGCGGGAGGCACTCGAATGACGACAAAATCAACGAGCAGTCTCAATTATAGGCCACAACCACTAAAAAATTTTTTTGGTGTCATCCAAAGGTATTTTATGGATATCCAGTCCCCCTCTCCTAGTTTGAGCCTCAGAGTTTTCCTTATGTACATAACGGCAACTATTCTTCCTCAATTTCACTCAATCCCCTGGGACATATTCAAATGAAACACAAATAAAAGATTAATCCTCAGACTGTGTGGGGGGGGGTATCCATAAAGTACCCATCCGACTCCTCTCGCGAAGCTAATTCGTATGACATATAAATTGTCAATGTTAGAGAGTGGGCCGTATTCTTAAGTTCTTCCGAGAATTTGGGAATCCCTAAGCTATTTTTCCTTGATCTAAAAAATTCTTAAAAATATGCTAGACAATGCTAGATGATTTTTAAAATAATTAAAAAATAAAAATAGAACAATCATTATTTTTCTTAAAAATCTGGAAAGGGCAAAAAAGGGGCTGCTGTTTCTCTTCCCTCTTAAAATTAAAAAAATTTTTCCCCACATATTTATCTAAAAATCACACAAATTTTAGACAGCTGTTTTGTTTATATTTTTAAATTGAAAAGAAAATAAATTAATTAAGGTAAGTTTTTGAGGAGACAAAAGGAGAGGAAGAACCAAACTTTTCCTTCAAGTTAACGTCAATCATTCATTTTTTGTGAGGGTTTATAATTAATGAAGAAAAATATTTTTGAACTATTTTGAGGTAAAACGAAGATATTTTTTATTGTCAAGCTATAAACTAGCAGCAAATTAAGTTTGGGAAATGGAGCCGACGATTATTCCAAAAGTTCTCGTCGTGGGCGAAATCAGGAAGAGTGAAGAGTCATTGAAGGAAGGAGGGTTTGTCGTTATTAGAGATCGGAATTTTTGAAAAGTCTGGGTCTGTTGCTGGGTCTCGAGTTTGATTTATTGACCTGGGCCAAATCCTGGGCTTGTAGTCCAGAAAAAACCCAGGAAGGTCGAAAAATGCCTGGACTGTGGGTACAAGAAAAACCCAGGCCTTGATCCAGACCCAGGTCAATCTCTTGTAGTAAACATAAACCTAAGTCTAAAATAAAGGACAATTCGTGCTGATCAAGAAGACGAGTAGGTTAAAGAGCAGTAGCAAGTTGAAAAGCAAAAGTAGATCGTAAAGAAGCAGCCGAGAGGCCAAAGAAAAGCAGCCGGTCGAAAGATGAGGAGAAAGTTGAAAGGCAGAAATAGGAGGATGGGCATGACTATAAGACTGTAGAGAATGGAGAAAAAACGAAGTTGGTGGCGGGACGTCAAACGATGGTGGTAGGGTGGCGAGCAGTCATTTGCTCTATTAATGACATAAAGGACAAAATTTCCTTATTTAAAACCCAATACCAAAATAAATGCTGCAAACCTGACAACCATCGTCCTGTCTTCGTAAAATCATCACTAGCCTCTGACAAATTTTTATAAAAATTTTTCATTTTCATCGGTTTTTTGACTTTCCAAAGCTTCACAAAATGGAGATAATCAGAAGAAAGTGTTGATCAATTTGGAAGAAAATAAAGAAAAATAAGCGAAATTATCTGAAAAAATAGAAAATTTTAAGCACGGAAATTTTTAAAAATTTCTAAAAATTTCAAGAAAAATGCAAAAAAACGCGAAAAAGAAATACGGTGCTAGGCAGAGAATAAGAGAAATGCAACCAAAGAAAGCTCTCTCTGCGCTCTTTTTCTCTACCTAACGAGATAGTGAGGTGACAAATTATCTTTAAATGACAGAACGCCAAAAATAAAATTTAAAGATAGACATTTGATCCAATCGATAACGATCAATAAAAATCAGCCCGAAAAGGAGGACACCCCTCTAATTTCAAAATTTTCCCTTCGACGGCGAAACAAACCTTGTACCATGAAGCACAAATCAGCACCCATTGCTAATAACCCTCATTGCTGCTGCTCCATCCATTGTTCCAGCTGTTGATCAAAGCATCCATTCACCACTGCATTCCGCCCATTCTAATCTTTTCTCAAAAAACAGACAAAAAAGACAAAACAAATGAAAACGCGAAAACGAATAGAGGAAAGGGGAGGGAAGCGCGCATTCGCATTTTTGGCTCGCATTTTTGTTTTTTTTTTAGATTTTTTGTTAAACTTACTATTTTTGAAGATCATCCACCATTCCAGCATGTAGACGAGACCACCAACCATGTAGACGAGCCATGTAGACAAAACCACCTAAAATAAAAAGAAATGAAAAAGTTCTTTTTTAAAAAAACATCACGTCCACCAAACCACCACCAAGAGCAAGCCAGCCACCATGAAGACATTTTTAAAAAATAAAAAAAAATTTAAAAAAAACCACACCGGGTCCCATATTCCTCCATTGTCCAACCATGTTGAGCACAGCTGAACGAGAGAAAATTTTTTTAAAAAATCAAACCCCGAAGAGAAGAACTACCCCCCTCCCCCCGAAAAAAAAAACCTTCGAAACCCCCAAGAAAACAAAAAAACCCAAAAACCTGTCCACACTCCCTCCACGCTCCATTGGCCCCCATCTGGCCACAAGTTGAGCAGCTTCGCCTGAACAAAAAATTTCAAAAAGAATTCAAAAATAAAAAAAACCCGGTTGGGCCAGAAGATAAGACAGCCACCATGTAGAAGAACGAGCCACCATGAAGAGCACCACCAACCATCATGCAGAGCACATCTGCTTAAAAAACAAAAAACTCAAAAATTTAACCACACCGGGTTTCCACAGCTTCCATGCTTCTCCCATATTCTCCAGAGCATATTCTTCCATCCATCCATGACGAGCACCATGATGAGCACTATAATTGAAAAAATTGAAATTTTTGGAAAAAAATTCTAAAAAATTTAAAAAATAAATAAAAAAATCATAAAAAACACTGCTCCACGTACAGCATGTAGACGTCTGCTGGTTGTGCTGAATAAAAAAAGGGTTAGATTTTTTAAAATTTTTTTAACTTTTTTAAAGATTTTTAGCATAATTTTTTAGTTTTTTCGCTGCGCGCGGGTCAGGGGAACAGGAAAACACGTAAAAACGATTAAAAACATGAAAACAAACAAATAAACAACAAAAACACACAAAAACACTCTCAAAAACACACAAAAACAACAACCGGTTGCTCAACAAAACTAGAGAAAAAAATTGTTTGAAACGAGAGAGAAAATTAAAGACACTTTGCCAAATTGGCATTGAAAAATAAAATATTTTTGGCGAAAATTTAAAATACGGAACATTCCGGAAAATCAATAAGGGACGGTTGAGTACTGCCCGGAAACTTGACACTTCTATGTTTTCCGAAAGTAGACTCTCTCAACTAAGTTTTCCGGAAGAGTGGTATCTAGTGACTAGAGATCTTTAGTCAGTCAACAGAACAACTAGAATTTATATTTCATTTTTCCCGGAAGAATCAGAATTTTTAAATTTCCGGAAAAACCTCCCAGAAATTTCTTCCCCTTCCCAGAAAAACCAGAATTTATTTTAGAAATTATATTTGAAGCAGAAAACGTCTCCTTATTTTTAATCAGAATCTTAACTAGTCAAACGAATCCGTTGGCGGGAGAGCGAAAGAAACTTCCTTTACCTTTTCCCCCCAAACCAAAGAAAAAAATTTTTTTATAATTTTTCAAAATTTTATTTATTAAAAAATGTCATCTATTACAAATGCTCTCCTATATAATTTTAAATTAAATTAAAAAAAAAAAACAAAAATTTATTCAGTCTTCACAGAATTCTCAATTTTCTTTAAGGCACGCTTTCGAGTTGACAAAGAATTGTCTCGAATAAATTTGTTGAGGAAATAGTCCGGGATGTAGCCAAACATAATTTCAGCCTGAGAAAATGATGAGAAAATTAATTGGGGATTTTTCTAGGAGTTTTGGGATTTTTAAAAAATTTTTGAAAAATTTTTGAAAAATTTTTTGAAGAAATCGAAAATATTTTTTGCCCGCCTACCCTTCCCAAAAACCCCCAAAAATTTAAAAATAAAAAAAATAAACCTGAATTTGATGTGCCAAACAACCAGTAGTCTCATCAGTTAAGCCAATACTGCGAACAGCTTCATTAGCGAATTTTTCAGGTGAGGGAGTAAAAAATGAAGAACGTCGAATTTTCGCCATTTTTGTAGCAACCATCATAGGACAGACTGTTTGGATATAAATATTTGTGTCAGCATATTCTTTACGTAGAATTGAAGACAAACAAGTGACATATTTCTGAAGGAGGAGAAATTAAGTTAAAAATGAAAAAGAAAAAAATCGGAAGAGAGAAGGAAGAGTACCTTGGTCCGGAAAAGATTAAGAAGTATTCCTCAAACGATATAAGGGAGGCAGAACTCTTAGGTATATTTTTTGATGTCTCCGGAGGAAAAACAATGGGTATAGGAAAGAAAAACGGATCCAAAACTTTTTTCCAAAAAATCAAACTTAAAAAATCCCGGGAGGAAGAAGTGTGGGTTGGGAGAACAAAATGGATCCAAAACTCTAAAAAATATCTCATGAGGACGTATGGGTGTGGGGAGCACTGGACCTAAACCCTTTTAAAAGAGTTAAAAAACCTTAGTAGCACTATAAACAGCCAAATAAAACCAGTCAAAATTAGCAGCTGAAGAAGCCACATTAACCACTACACCTCTATTCCGCTTAGCCATTTGTTGAAGAATATGATGAGTAAGAATAGTTGTCGGAAAAGTGTTGATTAACTTAAAATGGGGGAATATTTGAAAAGAAAATTAAATTTAAAAAATACAGTGATGTCAGCAACACGTTTAATTCCACCATGAACACGTTCAAAGCGTTCAGGAAATTCATAACTCATCCCAACATTGTTAACTGGAAATTAAAAAAAATTTTTAGGGTGTCTAGGATCAAACGGAAAATTTATTTTTGGTCGAGTAAAACCCCTAGGACCGTATCTGGGGAAAAATAGGGGGAGCTCATTGTTAGCCAAGAGAGGCTGGATATTTTAAAAAGATTCGACTTTAGAAAATCCCTAAAAATAAATAAAATTGAGGATGTGTGTGGGGCTACGACTAATTTATTTTTTGATAGAACCAAACCCCTTGGACCCGTAAATAGGAAAATAATGGAGCAAATTGTCAGCAAAGAGAAAATTCCGTCTTAAAAAATTCCAAAAAATCAAAGGACCCCCTTTAAACCCCGCAAAAAAATTAAAATAAAAAAATACCCAAAACTCCAATGTCAACATCATCAATCTTGGCAAATATCTGTTGTTCATAATCTTCCAAATTTGGATTTGTAAAGTCAAAAGCAATCGTTCTCACTTCAATTTCTTTAAATTCTTCCTTGATTTCTTTAGCTACATCGTCCAATTTTGATTGTGAACGCGAAATTATAATTATATTAAATTGTTTTTTGGCCAATTCATTAGCGTATGCTTTTCCAATACCATCAGTTCCTCCAGTTATTACAGCCCATTTTGCTCCAGCCAAAACTTGCAAATTCTGTGGGACGGCATATAAAAACGGAAAAACAATGTTGTATATTGAAGTCAAAATGCGTTTAACAAAATAGGCGATAGCTGCATAAGCAATAATTGTCAAAAAGAAGGGGCAAACCATGCTGAAAATTGAAAAAAAATTGAAAATTTGAGTGAAATTGAGAGAAATGTCACTTTGGTTAAGTGGGAAAATTTTTGGTTTTGGGGGCAAGGTTCGAACCCGTTCGGGGAAAAACATTTTTTAAATTAATTATTTAAGGTTTATAAAAGGAAAAATGTCACAAAAAATAAATATAAGTTAGTGTAAATAATAAAATGAGCAGAAGAAAATTCAGTGGTTCGATTGGAAATGAAGATAAGGAGGAGGGAAATAAATAGAAGGAATTTTTTGTGTGGTCACACCACTCCTGATAAAAAAAAGTAAATGAGTAAAAAACAAAAATATAGATCAAATAAATATTTTGGAGATAAAAAAGGATACAAAAATTGATAAAAAAAAAGAAAATTGGGAAAAACAAGGGGAAAACAAGGGAAACAGGGGCAAAAACAAGGGTAAACAAGGGAAAAAACAAAAGAAACATGAGAGAACATAGGAAAACAAGAGAGAAAACAAAGAGAAAAACAAAAAGAAAAACATGGGAAAAAACAAGGGACAAAACATCGGAAATATCACCACTGGGCGAATTGATATTAGGTGAAATGAAATATTTTAATTTATTTGTCAAGTGAAAAAAAGTCAGACAGTGTTAACATTATAGTAGAAGTTAGAGAAAGAAAATAAGAAGAGAAATGTTAAAAGAAGAGGTAAAGAAAAAGAGAGCGTTACTTTTACAAGTAAACTCCAACTTGGCCTAATTTTTTTGTTTTTTCCAAATTTTTATGTTTTTTCTTCTAATTTTGTTTTAAATGTTGTATTCAACTCATTTTTATTCTTTTTTAGTCTAAACTAGACAAAACTAAATAATGGACGATATTCGGGACCAGCCTGGACTTTGTTCTCGTTTCTTTTCGTCTTTAGGGGTTGTAAGTTTTATTTCCTCTTTTTTGCTTTAATTTAATTTTTTTACAAATTTAGCAGTATCAATACTACTTGGATAGGCTCACTCCATACACTTCTATTCGTTGGGTTCGTTTTTATTTTTTAAACCTCTGGGTTTTGGCGTGTTGTTGAAGGGATTGTTAAGGGTCATATCTATTAGTACAAGTCTGCTTTATTGGCTCACGATTTACTGAGCTAGTTAGACGTGGTTTCTCCTCACGGCTCGTATGCTTGTTATTCAGAGTAGCACCAAAACAGCTTAAAAAACCAAACACTCCAACAAGCATCGAACCCGAGCCCCGAAGGGGAAAATCTGGGCTCTTACCCACTACACCACAATGACTATTTCGACCAATTTTTTTTCTGACTAATTCTCCTTTTTGCCTATTTTACCTCAAATGAATTCTGGGTGTCCGTGGGCTAAAAAATTTCACAATATGTAGAAGTATGGTATGTGTTGTCTGCCAAATTTCATCCCGAAGTCCCACGGACACCCAAAACACTCCTTTTTGTCTGTTTTGGTCACTTTTTTCCTCACCTCAAAAAAATATTTAAAGGTCCAAATGAAATTTTACTAAACTGACACCCCTTAATTTTCTTAAAAAAATTTTTATTTTTTAATTTTTTAAGGTCATTGCTGTGTCATTAATACTCATTTTTGTTTGGAGAGTTATTGTTCTTCAGGTTTTTTTATTTTTTTAATTAAAAAAATTTTTTTAGGGATTTTATATCGTCACATATGCTTTGTTCATTTATTATTTAAATTTATTTCTTGCCTTTCTCACTCCAAAAATTGATCCAGCTATGGAATTTGATGAAGGTTTTTTATTAAATTTAAATAGAAAAATGTCCAATTTTTAAATTTTTTAGATGATGAAGGCCCTGTTTTGCCAAAAAGTAATTCTGAAGAATTTCGGCCCTTTATGCGGCGTTTACCTGAATTTAAATTTTGGTTGATTTAGAAATTTTTACTTATAAATTTTTATTATTTTTAAGGTTATCAACAATGAAGTCAACACTTGTTGCTTTTACCTGCACATTTTTTGAGGTTTTTGATGTACCTGTATTTTGGCCAATTCTCGTCATGTATTTTATTGGTACAGTTTTATTTTGTTAATTCCCTTCACCCCCAAGAAAAGAGCTTGAACAACTTCAAGTTCTGGGTTTCTGACAGTAATTTGAGGTTGCATGTCCTAGCACCAAGTCTTGGGTTTTGAAAAAACATTTTCTGAATAAAGTGGTTGTGAGCGTTTTAGTTTAAGTCAGAAGTATTTTGGAAAATTTTAGAAACTCTACGTATATCCGGATCTGAACTGAAAAATTCTTGTGACTTTTTTTTTTGAAAGATTCTTGTGGTGAAAAAACAAACTATCAAAATTTTTGTGGGTCTGGTTACTCACCACATTTTCTAGGTAAAAGTTAACTTTACAAGAATTCCGGGTCCTCTATCGAATGATATCAACCCAAAAAACTAAAAAATATTTAGAGAAAGGTTATGAGTCCTTGGTATTTTTATTTTTTCTAAAATTTTCAGAAATTAAAAAAAATTTTTTTTCAAGTGTTGACATGTCTTACAATGAAAAGACAAATTATGCATATGATAAGATATCGTTATATTCCATTTACAACTGGCAAACCTCGTCCAAAAGGAAAAGAAGATAGTGGAAAAGTTGTTATTGGTTAGGTATAATAAATTTTAAAAAAATATTAAAAATGACTTTTTTTTGTTTTTGTATTTTTCGGAAAGAAAAAAGAAAAATGTGATTTTAAAAATATGCGAAATATAAATATACTATTTTATTTTTTTCAATATATATTATTTTTGTGTACACCCCAACTGACCGCAAAGCTATAACTTTGTTCAAAATGGTCGAATCCTAAAATACCTGGTATGGTTTGATTCAGCTCGTCAAGGCGCATCGAACCATACCAGGGCGTCCCGAATTTGACAATTCTGAACGATGTTATAGCTCTGCGGTAAGTTGGGCTCGCGGTAAGTTGGCCTGCTCCCGTTATTTTTTGTTTAAATTTTGTGAGAATTTGTCGAATTTTTTGGAATATTTTCTGAAGGTTTTATTTCAAAATTTAATCCTTATTTTTGGCATTATTTTCGACAAATTCTCATTTAAAGAAATTTTCCTTCTATAAGAAAATTTCTTATACATATTGGCTTCTTTTTTATTACTTTTTTCTTTTATTTTTTTGTTAAAGCATTGTTCGAAATTTTTGATTTTCTAATTTAAAGTTGTGAGTTTATAAATACTCTAATAATTTTTTGATTTTTTTAGATGCATTTAAACTAATTTGATCAAAACTTTTGTATATGGCGGCCGGGTTTTTAGCGACTCTTCCATGAGACATTTTCCTCTATTTTCATTTTCTGACCATTTTGAGTCATTTTCAAATAAAATGCCCATGGAAATGGACCGCTAAAGATCCCTGCTTTTTGCAGTTCCGGTTTCCGTTCAGATTTTTAAAATTATTTTTCTAGTTATAGCATCTTTAGCAATAAATTCCAATTGAAATTAAGAATGCAACAAGCAAACATATTTTCATCAATGCCGTCAACATCCACTTCAGTTCCACCTTTGGCAGTTCATTTAAATATGTTAATTAATACATTGGGTGAAGCACCTAGAGATGATGTTAAATTTCAAGTTTTGAAGGTTTTTTTTAATTTTCTAATTTTATTTTGAAATATTTTGGTGGAGATCGACATTTTTCCCAAAAATTTTCATTTTTTAATTTTTAGGAAATCAGCGAAAATATTGACGAGCTTTTTGGAACGTCAGCTTATTCATCTTTAATTGAAGGCCTTATATGTATTTTTATGAGATTATTACAGGAAACATCTCCCCAATTTATTGCTGAAAATAATACATTGGTTTAATTTAAAATTATTTTTTCAATTAAAAAAATTTTTTTAAAGCAATTACGTAAATTAATGTTAGAATTGTTATTTCGTCTATCTTCAAACGATGTAGTCAAATCTTATGGTAAAAGTCTTCAACAAATATTGCTTCGACTTATTTATTTGGTTTGATTTTTTTATGTAAGCTAGAGAATAGGTCTAGAATTAGGAGGAGTTTTGTTGTCTTAAGGACGCCGGTTGGTAGATTGGGGTGAACTGAACCGAAGAACTAAAGCTTTTTCGGTTCGGTTCTTCTTCTGAAATTCGGTTCTTGAAGATTTCCTAGAACCGACCACCCTAAGGGATGGGTGTGGTGTGCGGACATATCGGGATTGGGGTGGCAAAAATAATTTCTTGCGTGGTTACGTTTGTTCTGAACATAAAACTATTCCTCAACAAGATAATATACTATTCAAAACCCAGTGGCCGTAGGTCCCGAAATCAGTAGGGTAACTGCTCATACATTGAAATATCCCGATATGTCCGTCCCGATATGTCCGCGTGCCTAGGTGACACGGACATATCGGTCCGCGTGCCTAGGGCTTAACTATAAGTATCCATTTTCTTTAATGAACTGAAAACTAAAGCTAATTTTTAGTTTTTTTCTACGATCGTCAGAGACTCACTGTCTTAATGTCTATTAAATTTTTACCCTAATAATTTTTTGTCCTAATATTTTTATATTTTTAATAATTCTAAAAAATTTTTTAAGGAAAATGAAGAAAATGCTTTATTAATAATTAAAATCCTTACTGATCACATCAAAACATTTCGTCCAGCATTTGCATCAGAATTGACAAGCTTTTTCATCCAATGGAAAAATGCTTATACAGAAATGTTGAGACATACAGCAAATGAATCAATGTTTTTACAAAAGCCGTTTTCAACTTCAAAAAGAACGATAGAAGAAAGTGTTGTGGAGGTTTCTTTAAAAAATATTTTTTCTAATTTTTTTTGAATTTTTAGGCTTTGAGAACTTGTTATTTCACTACACCACTTACTTTTTCCCAGCCACAACAAAGTGATGAAAGTGTGACTCCAATGCTTGAAAAGGTTTTTTGAGGGGATTTGTGCTTACTTTTTTACTGGGGTTTGTTTCGGGTTTTCTTGGAATTTTCTAATTTTTTCGGAAATCCTTTCATGCGAAAATTTAATAATGCTAAAGGCCCTAATGACAAACAGTCATAATCCCAAACAGCGTTGACGCCGAAAACCGTTTGTATCATGGATGCGCGCCAAAATTTGTTCAATGGAGCGCCAAACGCAAAACTTTAATTTTTTTCATTTCTTAAAACACGCCAAAATTCCATGTCCGACATCCGCGGTTGGCATACATCAAAAAAATCCCACCAAAAAATTTTTTTTTAATTTTTAATTTTTCAGTACACATTAATCCCAAAAGCAAATCAAAGTGTAAAAGTTTTGGCAGAAATGTCAGTTTTTCTTCTTGTATTAATTCAAATGCATCGTCAACATTTACTTGGAGAAGTTTTAGATTTAATACCAATATTTCTTCGTTATATAAATATTAAATTGCCTGAACATTTGAAGTTGGAAAAAAATTATAATAGAGAATTGGTCGATGAATTTCATAATTCTCAAGTTAGAGCACTTTCTTTTATTGGTTATACAGCAAAACAAGCACAGGTCTTTTTTAATTTTATTTTAATTTAAAATTTATTTTGTGTTTGGGAGGTTTTAGTGTTTTTTTGTAATCTTACAAGAGAACATTCCGAACTTTGTAAGAATTGCCATTTTTTTTGTATCCTCGTGTAGAGCAGGCAAAGGGGACAGGGGAAATAAGCCTATTGCCAGTCTTCTGCTTTTTTCCTTCTGACCCCCTTACCTTGTTAGTCTTAAGTCTTGTCTCGAAAAAATTTTTAGTTTCGGTTTTTTCTCTTTTCTTATCTCTTTTTGATTTTTCGACTGTTTACTGATGCTCCTTTTTGCGGGAAAAAAATAATTTTTATTAAGATTGGGAGAAACTTCCTTAAATTTTGTCAATAAAGTAGTGATTTTTCCTTTTTTAATAATTTTAATTCCTTTATATTTAAACCCTCTAAAAAATCAAAATTTTAAAATAGATTGCCACAGTCATTAGTGAACACACAAAATCTATCACAGATGCAATTTTAATGTTAATTGATTCATTCCATCCAGAAGTAATAATTCAAAGAAGAGAATTACTCATGTCATTGAAATATTTATTTCAATCAGAATTTAAAACAAATTTTATTACATTAATTCCAAAAATGTGTGATGAAAAAGCTTTGCTAGGAAATTCATTTACTTCACAGGATCAATTGAGGTTTTTCTTTTAATTTTTTTTGTAATAAATTATGGGCTCCCATGTTTTGCCAAAAAATTTTTTGTTTGATTTTTTCTGTTTATTGTTAGTAATACATAGGAAAGCCGTCAAAAATTTTTGGTGAACTTGTAAGCATTCCATCCAGAAGTAATAATTCAAAGAAGAGAATTACTTATGAGGCAAATTCATTTTGTTTTATCAATATTCCAACTGACCGTCTTTTTTTGACTGGCTGTCATTTTATGAATGACCGTCCGGTTTTTGACTGACCTAGTCCTTTTTTGACGGACGGTCATTTTTTTGACTGACTCATTTTTTTGACTGACAGTCATTTGTTGACTGACGGTCATTTTTTGACTGACCGTCCCACTGTCCGTTCTTCCACTTTACCTTTGGAAATAATAAATTGAAGTCGAACCTGGGTCTAACAATGAATATAAATATTATTTTAGAATTATTAAAAAAATTTTTTTTTAAAGAAATCAGTCATATTCACTGCTTGCAGACATTTTACATCATGTTAGAATGAATATTCCACATTTACTTAAACAGTAAAATTTTTCAAAAAATTTTTTAAAATTTTTTTCTCAATTTTTAAAGTATATTTTTCCTTTGTTCTCGTTGTTTACATGACCATCAACTTTTACCTTATGTACAAACAATGTATGGAAAATTGATGATGAATTTAATTGAACCATTAATTATACGATCAAAAGAGAATGGAACTGAAATTGTAAGGTTTTTTGGTGTAATTTTGAATTTTATAACCCTCATTTTTTATTATATTTGCGATTCATCCTTATATACATTTGGGACTAAATTAATCTTAGTTCACGGAATCAGATTATGAACTCATTAAGGAAATCGGGGAGGGTCATAAGGCGGTGTTGTGGGCAGGCCCGTAACCAGGATCTTTTTCGGGGGGGGGGGGGCAAGGGGGAAAATTTTTCTGCGTCCATGCCCCCCCCCCCCTCCCTTGGCTACTTGCCTGGTTTTGGTTCGCACGGGATGGATGTTAGGTCATCAAGTCGGATGATGAGATACAAAGTGGGGGTGTGATTGTTCACAAATAAGGGAGGGTCATAAGGTTCAGAATTACACAAATTTTTATTTTTTTAAATTTTTCATAGCAGCGTCTAATTCTTTGTAATTCAATCAATTCATTTCTTCGAAAAGCAAAATTAATTGCTAATTATCATTTACCTTTAATTAAAGAAAAATATAATAAAAGTAATATTATTCAACAACAACAACAGCAACAAATTAAATCAACAACAGAACAAAAAAATTTACAATCTCCAAGTAAAACAATTGTCTTAACTGAAGGACAACAAACACAAGAAATTGAAAATACTGGAGGTGGAGGAGGAGGGCAAAAACAGGAAAAAAGTGTTAGAAAAATTTATTAAAAAAATTTTTTTAATTTTAAACATTTTTCTCTTTAAAGTCATCTTCAATAGAAACTAATCGTGCTACATTTTGCCAAGATCCAACTTCACCTCTTTCTCTAAATGATTGTAAGAATTTAGTGAGGTTAGCAGAAAAATTTATTTTTTGATTTACAAGAATTTTTTAATTTAAAAGATTTATTATTCAACCAATAAAAATGATGGTTATAGCACTCAAAGAAATTGGAATTGAACAAGGTTATTAAAAATATTTTTTGTGGTTAAGTGGGTTGTTTTTTATTTTAATAGGATGTGGGTTCGAACCCTTTCGCGTCCCTAAATTTGTTTTAATATTTAAAAAAAATAAGGTTTTGATTTTGTCGTAAAGTTAGTATTTTTTGATAATTTTTAAAAAGATAACCAAGGCTTACTGAAATTTTGTGGTTAAGTGGGTTATCTTTTGAATTTATTTTTACCACTAGGTCGAGGGTTCGAGCCCCTTTGATTCCCCAAAATTCATTTTTTGATTTTTTTTTGTTAAAAAAATAATTTTTATAGAACCTCAAGTTGTTTCAACAGTTGAACGTTGTTTATTAGAATTATTTCCAAATGGACTAATTTGTTTGGATATTTTTATAATTGGATCTAATTTAATGCAAGGTGGAGCAGTAGGAAATGTGTATCAACATAAAATTAGGTTTTTTTAAAAATATTTTTTTTTAATTTTTTTCATAAATTTTTAGTTCAAATGTGCGATCAAAAGAAGAAAAGGAGACCCTTGATGCTTTTATTGCAATTGTTTGTATTTTTATTTTTTTTTAGTAGGTTAATTGCTAGATTTTAGTTTTAATAGGTTGTGGGTTCGAACCCTTTCGGTTCCCAAGGATTTTTTCAATTATTTAAAAATATTATAAATTATATTTTGACCATTTGAGGCAACTTTTTAATTAAATAAAATTTTTATTTTTTAGTATACAAATATGAGATCATCCTCATTTGAGCGTTTACTTGAACAACATATTGAGGTTTTTTTAAAAATAAATTTTCTCTAGAAATTGAAAAAAAATTTTTTCAGTTTCTTATTGAACGTATAAGTATTAATCCAATATTACAAAATATTTGTAGTACATTTCTTACAAATCCTGCAACGATGAATAAAACTGGACAAATTTTGGTTAAATATTTATTAACAAAATTGCCAGATTTGGGAGGTTTTTTTAATTTTTTTGAAAAGATTTTCTACAATTTTCCCATTTTAAGCAAATAATGAAAGGGCTACACTTTATTTAAAATTGTTTAAACTTGTATTTCATGCAATTTCTTGTTCATCAAATAATTCTGATTGTGATACTATTTTAAAGGTTTTTTTTTAATTTTTTAGAGGATAAATTTGTACGATGACATTAACACGGGTATTAGGTACAAGTTCGAAAAACTCAGTTTCCGAGAAGGTTTGCTTTTGGCTTGAGAGAAGCGTTGTGGCATTTTATTGTTAGATTTTTGTTTGTGGTTCAGTGGGATATTTTCTAAATTTATTTTTTATAGGTTGTGGGTTCGAATCCCTTTGGGTCCTAACGGTTTTTAACAACAAGAAGTATTTTAAATTTATATTTTTTAAGCCTTTTCTTCATCAAATAATTCAACAATCAATGCTATATGCTTTAGAAGCACGCGAATCTACTAACTATTTTCTTCTTTTACGAGCATTGTTTAGATCAATAGGAAGTGGAACACATGAACAAATGTATCATCAATTTCTTCCTCTATTACCTTCAATATTACAACAATTGGTTCTTTTTTATTTTTTATTTAAATTTTTTTTTAATTTTTTTAGAATCGTCTTCAAAATGGATCTCATTTACAATCAATTCATGAACTTTTTGTTGAATTATGTTTAACTGTTCCAGTACGATTATCTTCACTTTTACCTTATTTACCTCTTTTAATGGATCCATTAGTTTGTGCTTTAAATGGTTCTCCAACATTAGTTCAACAAGGATTACGTACACTTGAACTTTGTGTTGATAATTTACAACCTGAATATTGTATGTTTTATTGAGTGGTTTTAAAAATATTTCTATGAAAGTTAGGGGTCTCTAAATAATTTTATAGCAGGGATGTTACGGTTTGAGAAAAAATAGTTGGGTCTGAAGAAGTCTGAGTTTTGTTTAACTTGTGACATTCCTTCTCCATAGGCTGTCTCAGCCCCTAAGAATTCATAGCAAAATCGACTTGTCAAGACATTTTAAGTTTATTGTTAGTTATGGCTTTGAAGTTGTCCTTCTCCCTGAGGCTGACCTTCTAGAAAAAAGTTTTTTTTAGGAAAAATTTTTTTCTTATTAGTTTATGATCATATGCAACCTGTACGTGCTTCATTAATGAAAGGTTTATGGCATTGTGTATCTCATGGTGATTCTCATTCATCATTAACTGCATTTAGAATTTTGGGTAAATTTGGTGGTTCAAATAGAAAAATACTTTTGGATGCTCAAAATATACAAGATTTTAATAAAATAAATAAAAATGAAGAAAAATTGCCAAAAATAATTTTACCATTTAATAAAATTCAAATTAACAATAATAATGAAGAATTAATAAATAATGGAGAAGAATTAATTCAATGTACTGTTGATTTGAATCAAATTGTTAATTCTGCTTGTAAAGTATTGAGGTTAATATTAATTTAATGGAATTTAATTATTCTGAAAAGAATTCTGATTTTTTGTATTTTAACTAATGTGTTTTTAGAATTTTGATTTTTTAATTTAATCAGAATTCAATAATCAGAATTTTTATTTTTATGATAGATCAGAATTTTGGTTTTTAATTAAATCAGAATTTTAATAAATCAGAATTCTGATTTTTAATTAAGGCAAAATTTTTTAAAATCAGAATTATGATGTATAATTAAATCAGAATTTTATTAATCAGAATTTTGATTTATAATTAAATCAGAATTTTAAAATCAGAATTCTGGTTTTAATTAAATCAGAATTTTAATAAATCAGAATTTTGATTTATAATTAAATCAGAATTTTAATAATCAGAATTCTGGTTTTTAATTAAGTCAGAATTTTTTAATTTCAGAATTCTAATTTTTATTTAAATCAGAATTTCAATAATCAGAATTCTGGTTTTTAATTAAGTCAGATTTTTTTAAAATCAGAATTATTCTTTAAATTAAATCAGAATTTTTCGTTATTCTTATTCTGATTTTTTTTTAAATTTAAATTTGCTTCAGAAACCAAACAACAACAACTTCAAATTCATATAATCAACTTGCTGCAGCAAATTTATTAAAATTTGTTTTATTAAAAATTTTTTCGATTGAAAAATTATCAATTAAAAATTCTTCCCAATTTGTTGACAATATTTCTAAAATTATTTCATCAAATTTTAAAGAAAAATCAACTAAAATGTATATTATTTGTTCTGATACAAATTTAAGAGAATTGGCAATAAATGCTTTAAAAGGAATTTTTATTTGTGTTTTTAATGTTGAAACAAGAGAAAAATTTTTAGAATTTTTTAAAATTGTAATTAAATATTTAACTATAAATGGAATTTTTGAAGGAAATGATAGGAAAGGTTTTTTTTTATATTTAATTTTTTATTAAAAAAATTTTTTTATCAAGATCATTTTTCAATGGATTCATTTGTATTAATTGATGTAATAGCCCAAACATTGTCTGATCCTTGTAAAGATTATTGTCATGCTGCTATTGTAAAAAAATTTTTTTTACTTTAAAAAAAATACAATTCTGGTTTTTATTAAATCAGAATTCTAAAAATATCAGAATTCTGATTTTTAATTAATCAGAATTTCAATAATATCAGAATTCTGATTTTTGGTCAGAATTTTTTACATCAGACTTCTGATTTTTATTATAAATCAGAATTTTAAAAGACAAGAATTCTGTTTTTTAGTAAATCAGAATTTTTTACATCAGACTTCTGATTTTTATTATAAATCAGAATTAAAAAAATCAGAATTCTGTTTTTTATTATAAATCAGAATTTTAAGAAATAAGAATACAGGTTTTTATTGAATCAGAATTTTTTGATCAGAATTATGATTTTTATTGAATCAGAATTTCAATAATATCAGAATTCTGATTTTTGGTCAGAATTTTTTACATCAGATTTCTGATTTTTATTATAAATCAGAATTTTAAAAGACAAGAATTCTGTTTTTTAGTAAATCAGAATTTTTTACATCAGACTTCTGATTTTTATTATAAATCAGAATTAAAAAAATCAGAATTCTGTTTTTTATTATAAATCAGAATTTTAAGAAATAAGAATACAGGTTTTTATTGAATCAGAATTTTTTGCATATGAATTCTGGTTTTTAATTATAAATCAGAATTTAAAAAATCAGAATTCTGATTTTTTTTACTTATAAATCAGAATTTTAAAAAATCAAAATTCTGATTTTAAATTAAATTTCAAATCTTTCTTTTTTTCCAGCTTGCTTTACGTATAATAATTGACACATTAAATATTATTTATGAACAAAATGTTGAAAAAATTTGTCATTTTCCATTATTTGAATATTTATTTGAAAAGATTACATTACTCTGTTATAGCTGTGAATGGTTTTCTAAACTTGGAGGATGTACAGCTTTAAGGCTTATAATTGAATATTATCCTCCTTTATTAGTACAAAAATATTGTATTAAAATCGTTGAAGCTTGTATTCAAGTTTGTTGTATTTTTTTTTTCATTAAAAAATTTTTTTTTTAGTTTTTTTGGATTTTTTTGATAGCCTAAACCTTTAAAAAAATTTTTTTAATTTTTTAAAAGGAGCCCTAACCTTCAAAAAAATTTTTGAAGTAGCCCACCCCTTTTAATTTTTTGAATTTTAAATTGTCCAAAGTCTCAAAATAATTTTTAAAATAACCCAAACCTTTAAAAAAATTTATAAAAAATATTTTAGATGATTTCTGATTTATCAAATGAACTTTCTAGTGGTGCTTTAGATTATTCTTCAAAAACTATAGATTTACTTTTAAATGTTTGCTTCCCAAATAATTCAAATTCAGCCTTATCAATTGATTTATTAAATCAATTTGTATCAAAATTAATAAATTTTATTGTTGATCCAGATTATATTTTGAGAAAAGAGGTAAGGGATTTTTTTACTTTTAAAAATTAATAAAAATTTCAGATTTTTCGAATAATTTGTTCATTGTCTACTCGAACAAATTTACCTCTTTATTCAATTTTAAACAATTTTAAAGAATCTTTGAGAACAAAAATTTTGGAGTCTATAAGAGAATTTGTTACAATTTCTGAAAAATGTAAAATTGCTGGAATTGTAAGTTTATTCTTTAATTTTTTTATTACTGTTTGAACTTATAAAATTATAATGAGGTTTAATTTGATGGTGGTGATTAGGCAGCTCTTCCCCCGCTCACTAACCACCAAATTGAAAAAAATTGAGATGCGGCATACCGCCACTACTATAAAATTGGTTAGAATTGGAGGGAAGGGGGGTGTTTATCCTTGTTAGTTTATTTTATATTGAGTGAGGAGTCCAGCTATATTTTTTTAAATTTTTTTATTATTTAAAAAGGATCTTTTTATTTTTTGTTCAAAAATTGATGAATTTAATATTGATATTCCTCTTTATGAATGTATGATATTTGCAAGAAGTCTTCTAAAAATTTGTTTCCATATTATTGAAGAGAATAGTAGCAATGATTTTTCTGATGTGAGTCGAAATGAAGCAACACTTCGAGATATTGCATTGAGTGAGTAAATTTTTTGATTTTTAGTTTATGATTTTCTAAAAAAATTTTGATATAAATTCTGATTTGTTTAAAATTCTGGTTCTCTTAGAATTCTGAATCTCTTAAAATTCTGATTCTCTTAAAATTCTGATTTTTTTAAAATTCTGATTCTCTTAAAATTCTGATTTTTCTAAAAATTTCGATTTTAATTTTTTTTCTCTTCATTTTTAGAAGCCCTTATTCTTCTCTATTTTAATATTGCTTCATATTCCAAATCAATTATTTCTTCAATACAAATCCCAAAATTTTTACATCATCAAAAACAACAACAAATTTTGTTGGAACAAATATTTCAAACAATTTTTGAGAATGCTATAATAATGAAAAATGAAAATAAATTAAAGGAAGAAGCTTGTGAATGTATTGGGAAGGTAGGATATTTTTAAAATTTTTTGAAAAAATTTTTCGGTAAAATTTTGAAATTTTTTGGTTAAAAATTTTGAAAAATTAAAAAAATTTTTTACAAATTTTTTACATAAAAAATTTCAAAAAATTATTTTTTAGATACTAGAAGAATATAATAATTCTGAAAATATTTTTTATATTAACCAAAAACTTGAAGATATTATTAATAATTTTATGGACAAGAAATTGGAAATTTCAACAACATTTTTCAATAAAATTAATTTTTTGATTAAATATTCTACTAGAAATTTTAAAATGGAAGAATTGGGATTAATAATGGTAAGAAAAAACTTTTTTCTTTAATTTTTATTTTTTGGTTAAAAAATTTTTTTGAGCTTTTCTAAAATAAAAAAAATTTTTTCGATATTTTTAATTTAAAAATTAATTTTTTCAGAAGGATGTCCTTTTATTAATTGATGCTTCTTTATCTTCAAATAACATTAACGTTGTTGATGTTGAATGTATTTCTAATGCTTTACAATTTTTTACACATGTCAATTATTTGGATCAACAATTGTTACAAAAATTATTTTTATTTTATTCTGAATGTTTATCCATATTTACAACAAAGGTTTTTATTTGTAAAAAAATTTCAAAAAATTTTTTTAAACTAAAAAAAAATTTTTTTAATTTCAAAAAAATTTTTTTCAGCAAAATATTACTTGGCAAAATGATTATTTTTCTTACTTGTCAAAATTTTCAAGTGATTTTTATCCTATAACAATTTTAACAAAAGAAATATTTAATAATGATTTTGCTACAAATTTTCTTGTGTTACTTACAAGTATGGAAGATGCAACAAATTTTAGACTTTGTATAGCTGATAATTTATCAACTTTGCAACAATTTACAGATGAATTACTTGAGGTTTGAAAAAAAATTTTTTTACTTTAATAAACCTGAAACCCGTGTTTGAAAGCTCGTACAAAAATACACACTTGTACCTGTGTATCAGAGTTTTAATAACTTTAAATTAAATTCTCGATTTCGGGGATTGTTGAAGAAATATATGATCGACTGTTTTTGAATGTCGGGACCGATCCCAAAAAACGTTGAATTTCTTAATTTTCGGGAATTGGGATTGCTAGACTATTATTGTTACGAGTACGAGAAAAGAAAATTCACGTCTTTACGAATTTGCGAGTACGAACTTACTATATGTATATTTTAAATTTCCAAACATCGCTTGAGAAGCAAAAAAATTTTTTTTTGTTTTTAATTGCTAAAACACCTAATTATTTTTTTCCAAATTTAGCCGAATAATGATAATATCTTCTCTCCCAGCAGTAATGATAATAATTCTTCTAATTTAAACAACAACAAAAAATTCATGCTTAATTTTCTTCGTTTTCTTTCAACATTTTTTGAGAAGCATAATCTTTTAAACGATAGCAATGATTTTTCTAATAATTATATTCAATTGTGGAATGATATAATATTTTCAATAAGACAATTATGGCTTTCAGAAAATTTTCAGGTTTATTTTTAATTCTTTTTTTTGTTATCTTGTCAAGCCTCTCACTACTTCGTTTTTTTAGATACCCCCAAAATTTGTTAGATATTTCTGTATTTAAATATATTTTTAATTTTGATTAATCAATGGGTGTTTAAGTATGTTGTCGGTTTTGGACCAAGCCGAAAAGACGAGGATTTTTTCGGCTTGCCTATTCATTTTGATTTGTATTTTCGGAATTTTCGTTTTTTTATTTGGTTAGGTTCCTAATTTTCAAAGATTTTATAAGAACTACAACTCACGTCTTAAGAGATGATTTTTTTAAAAAAAAAGTCGAAAGTTTTATTTTTCAAAAGGCTTTTAAGCTGACAATCCCCAAATACCCTCTATTCAAAAGATACACTTCATTATTAGGGGGTATTTATGGGTTGTCAGCTTCAATGATTTTTGTGTAAATTTTTTTTAAGTTTTTTAATGTATCCATCTTTTTTATTTTAATTTTTTTATTATTTTTTTAGAATAGTCATTCTGTCGGGCAAATTTTCCCAGACGAAGAAGCAGCCAATTTATTATCAGCTGTACCGCAGGAAGAAGAAGATTCATCTTCTATACCACCAAAAATTTTGGATGAAAATAAATTTGATGTCCCAATTTATTGTGCTCGTATAATTTTAACTAAATTAAAATTTTTATTGGCTTTACAAACAACTGTTGAAAATTCTGAAATTTTATCGTCTGAAGATGAAATAATTGATTTACTTTATGATTTGACTTTTGCATTTGTTAGAAATTATGCTTCAGATTTTTTATTTTTACAACAATTTATTGAAGAAGAAATTGTGCCGGTGAGTGGGTTTTTTGGATTTTTTTGAAATTTTTTTGGAATTTTTTTTTGAAAATTTTTGGAAAAATCTGAAAAAATTTTTTTTCAGATAAAAAAATCTGAAAAATTTTTTTTTGGATTTTTTTGAAATTTTTTGGAAAAATTTTAAAATTTTTTTTAGAAATTTTTAAATTAAAAAATTCTCTTTTTTTCCACAGAAAATTTCTTTATCTCTTCGCCGTGCTACCTTCTTCAAAGTTATCAACCTTCTTAAATCTGACCCAAAAAATGGACATTCAATGCATTTGGTACGTTTTATGCAATATATTGTTGCTCCATCATTTTCTTTTGCTTTTGATAATTATGAAATTGATTTGGTTGTTGGTGGTGCTGCTGTTTCACAGACATCTGGTTTCTTTTTTAGTTATATTAAAAAAATTTATTGGTATAACAAGGCCGTTATAATAATCATATATTGCCCGGAACCGATTTGTAAACCGGAACCGGATCCAATTTGAATTCCGGTTCTCGGAACCTAACCAAAAACGCCGAAACTTTCCGAAACTGGAGCCTTGGCCTGTTTTGTGGTACAAGCAAGGATGGATGGACCCTTTCTTATTTAATAAAGTCGCAAGTGAAAAAAGAGACGAGAATCGTGGAGGCGGATGAAATTTTTTTGGTATAAGCCTTCCAGTCAATGCCTTTCAGACTTCTTTGTCTTTTTGCTCCTTTAAGATTTAATTCTAAATTTCTAAATTTTTTTATTTTTATTAGAATTATCATCAGATTCTCCATCAACATCAATGATAGATGATGATCAAAAGCAACAACAAAATACAAATATTGTATTAATTTTATGCCGTGAAGTAATTCAAAAAGCAACATCTGATCGAACATCTTTAAGTCATACATTAGTTATTGTCATGTATCTTTTTTGTTCTTTATTTGTTCAAAAATGTTCAACACATATTTATGATGCTTCAAAAAAGTTTGTTTTTTTTGTGAAATTAAAAAATTTTTTTGGCTCTGGTCTCAGTTTATGCGTCCAATGAATCTTGTACATTACATAGAATAATTTCGTCTTCCTGTTTCATTAACATGGCAACAAAAATATACCCTTAGCTAGGGTGTCGGTTTGGAACCAAAGCGACGAACTAGGATTTTCGGTTCGGTTTTTCGTTGCCGAATAACCGAAAATTTTCCAAGCGCCTAGCTATAGATTTTGGTTATTCTTTATTGTTCTTATAGAATTTTTCTTTTTGGTTCATTAACTTTTTATTGGATGCATAAATTAGACCAGGGGCCAATCAAAATTAATGAGACAATCGACAAACGATAGATATATTACAAATATATCGTTTATCGTCTGGAATATATCGAAAGTCGTCTGAATATGTCAGCTGACGATATTATGGAAATTATCGTTTATCAATTGTCAATTGTCATTTAGCGTTTACCTCCAATAAAAATTAAGGAGACAAACGATATAATAGAAGAATTTCTTCTCTATTCTTTTTAATTCCTCGTGCCTCAAGCATTCTTTTCTAAACTTTGTAATAAAATGTAAAGCAAACAGAGAGAGTGAAAAAACTAGACATCTCACTTCTTTTCCCTCTTTTCCTTATACTCAAACACACCCGAGGACTGAAACTTTGACTGGCCATAACTTGGACCATTGTCGTTTTACAAGAAAACGAATACTACTTAGCAATAGGAAGTCGTGGGTCCTCTATCGAATGGTACCAAAAAATATACCAAATTCGCAGTTACTTAACCCCATCAATCTTACGAATCCCCTCAATCCATAAAAATTATTCGTGAAGGTTAAAACTCAAAATGTATCTTTTTAATCCCTGAATATTGAGGATAATATATTGATATCACTCCAAATCCCCCAATATCCCCCTTAATCCGTCGATATCCCCTCAATCCGCCGAAATCCTCTTAATCCTTCCAATTTTTATATAAATAGATAGAGGAGAGTGTTTTACATACCATTAGTAAAAATCAGAATTTTAGCTTTATTTTCCTAATAGATATAAAAATTTATAAGCCGCTTACTCAAAAATTAAAGTCCTATTTAAAAGAAGGAGTCCCTATTTCTCTCAAAAATGGATGTACCTTGCGCGGTAGCCTCTAGTAAATTTATTTTTAAAGAAAAATTTTTGAAACTTATATCAAAAGATAGAGCACATTCTAATCTATCTAAAAATATTTTATTTGGAATTTTAAGTTTGAATTTGGATTTTTAAAAAATTTTTAAAATTTTAAACGATAAATTTGGGGGACAGGGTTTAGCATCCGATAAATTTGTCGTTCAACTACCGTAGTTTTCCGCTTGTTACCATAATAAATTATCGTTTCAAACGACAAACGACTAATTTCGAACGATAACCGACAAATCTCGACGACAGTCGATATAATAGAGACGATAAACGACAAACGATAAAGATATTTATTTTTATTCGAGGTATTCGACAAACGACGTATCCGAACGATAAACGTGAAAAATATATCTATCGTTTGTCGATTGTCTCCTTAATTTTGATTGGCCCCAGAGCTCTATTTTTTAATTAGAAAAATTTTTTTAAGGCAGCAAGGAAATAAACAAGAATTAGGAAATCTTCGCCCTTTTATGCTGTATGTATTTAATTTAAGACGAATTTAAAAAATTTTTATTTTATAGTTTTGGTTGGCCTTCTTTACAACAAAGTTTTCGTGGCGATTTAACAGAAAAATATGCTGGCCTTTTTCTTATTGCAAACATTGTTGATAAATTTCTAATTAATCGGACTATAATTTTACAAGTTTTGAATAGTTTAATACAGGCATATCAACAGGTTTGTGATTGAAAAAAAAAATTAATTTTTTTTTTATTAAATTTGAATAAATACAGAAAAAAATTTGAGGAATTTTTATTGAAAAATTTTCAAAAAATTATCAGAACTTTTTTTTTTAATTTTCGAAAATTTATATAAAATTTTCTTGAAAATTTCTAAAAAAAAAACAAAATTTCAAAAAATTTTGTTTAATTTTTAAAAATTTTTTTGAAAATTTTTTTAGAATTTTAGAAAATTTTCATAAAAAAATTTTATTTCAAAAATTTTCAAAAGTTTTTTTCAAAAATTTTTTTTGATATGAATTTTTCCCAAGTTTTAACTTTAAAAAATTTCAAATAAATTTTTTTTTTAAATTTTAGGATAATAAAGAAATGGTGCGTAAATCTTTGGATATTTTAATCCCAGCAGTAACTAGACGTATGACTGATGGTTATTCCCAATTAAAAGCTTTAATTAAAAAAGTTATGATTGAAGAAACTAAACAATATGGACTACAAATTATACATTGCTTGTAAGAAGGGGTTTTTTTTGAATTTTTTGAAATTTTTATTTGGAATTTTTCGAAAATTTTTTAAAAATACTTATTTTTTTTTAATCAAGATTCAGGAAACTAGGAAAAAACAAAATCTAAAAATAATTTTCTGAAAATTTTTTTCGAAATTTTGAAAATTTTTTAGAATATTTTTTAAATTTTCTCAAAAGAATTTTTTAATTTTGAAACTTTTTTGAAATTTTTTTTTCTGAAAATTGTAGTGAATTTTTAGAAAAGTTTTGATAAACATTAAAAAATTGCAGAAAAATTTTTGAAAAATTAAAAAAAAAAGAATTTCTTAACATTTTTAATATTTTTCTATTTTTCAGACAAATTATAATTCGACAATATAAAGGTTATTTTCAAAATTAATTTATTAAAAAAAATTTTTTTTACTTTCCAGTTTTTTATTATGTTCGTCATTCAATGTCACAATTAATTTTGAGTTCAATACAAAAATTAATGTCAATACAAATTGGTTTAGAAACAAAACGTTTATTATTAGAATTTTGTGAAGTTGTTATAAAATGGGAACAAGATAGACAACAACAATTAAATTTGAATAGTTCAAGTTGTAAAGTTGAACATGTTGTTGTAGAACTTGGTGATGATAATGATGATGTTCAACAACAACCTAGTACTTCAAGTAATATTGAAAATGAGGTTTTTTTTGAATTTAAAAATGATTTTTTTAAGACGGTCCAAACTAGAAGTCGATGCGAGACAGGATCCCGCGCGGGATTTTTCGCGATCCCGTCCCTCAATCCCGAATTTTTTTTTAATTGCGGGATTTATCCCGCGCGATCCCGTCCCGCAAATATTTAAAAGAAAAATCACGCATGCGGGATCCCGCAAACACAATTTTACCGACCTCTAGTCCAACCCTAGGGTTTAGCTGACAAAAAATGTGTTTAATTTCCGTTATGGTTATCATCAAGAATTTTGATTTTTTTTAGGAAGGGTTGGGAAAACCAAACCCTTGTCGAACCTTACTTTTTTATATTTGAAAAAAATTGAAGTGATTTTTTTTATTTTTTATTTATTATTTATTTTTGCAGCCTTCAATCCCTCTACCACCTGATTCAAACAAAGAAATGGATAAAAATTTTATTGATACTGTTATTATGTTTTTGTTTCGTATGGCTACATCTACAGATCAAGTATTTTAATAAAATAATTTTTTTTTTGAATTTTAAAAATTATTTTTTTTTTGTTAAAGTTTTCTACAAGTAGTGGAGGTGGATCTTCTGCTCTTGAACAAATTAATAGTAAAAACGAAAAAAATTTTTAATAAAATTTTTTTTGCGAATTTCAGGACGTGCTCTACTTCTTTTACGTGTAGCTTTGAAACCAAATATTTTTGGAAATGTTGTTACTATTCGGACAAATTTGTATAAATTTTTATTTTTTAATAGAAAAATTTTTTTTAAAAATTTTTGCTTGAAAAAAATTTTTTCAAAAATTTCAAAAAAAATTTTTTCGTAAACTTTTTCGAAAATTCAAAAAAAAATTTCAGAAAATTTTTTTAAAAATTTTTAAATAATTTTTAAAAATAAATTTAATTTTTCTAAAAAAAGATTTGAGAAACAATTACAACTACCCAATCCAGAACAATTTAGTACAGCAAATGAAACTGCAATAAATCAACAACTTCAATTAGTTAATATAACTTTGGATGTTCTTTCAAATATTATACCTCATTTGGTTTGTTTAAATTAATTTTATATATGATTTGAAAGGAGAAATTTTTGAAAATATTTTTTTGAAATTTCCTACCTTCTTTTTTTCCCTTTTAAAAAGAATAGAAGATGTGATGTATGCTTATGGCACCCATTATTACTCACCGATCAAACAAACGAAAAAAAAAAGATTAAAACAATAGGGGAGATTATAATAAATTTATTCAGCTCGTTCAGAGAGGTGAATGAATGCGAAAAGAAAATTACCTATAGTTATTTGTTAATTTTCTTTTTCATTCATTCACCTTTGAATGAGCTGAAAACTTTGGAAAGAATTATAATATATTTTTTAATTTTATTTATTTTTTTAGTCTCAACAATTACTTGTAGATTTATTTCGACCTTTACAAAGATCTTTAATTTGTTGTATGAGCTATAGCAATTCTCAAGTAATATATTTTATTTTTTAATAAACCAGAAAATTTATTAAAAAATTCAGAAAAAGTTTTTGAAATTTTTTTGAAAATTTTCTGAAAAAAATTTCGTTTTTAATTTACTGAAATTTCAAAAAAAATTTTTTTTCAAATTTTTTACAGCAAATTCTTCGTAGTACATACAATATTTTGGGTAAACTTCTTGATAAAACAACAAAAAATAATGCAGCGTCAATGACACCTCCTCCTGGTCTAAATGATTTTGATTTACTCAATCAACATATTAGTCGTTGTATTCATGATGCATTTAATAATTATGCTTGTTCTTTAACTGCTTCACCTCCAATGACAGTTATAACATTATTGAGATTAATGCATTCCGCACAATCTAATTATTTGGAAACTGTCTGTTTAGGATCGTTTGTTAAACTTTTACAAAGGTTTTTTTTAATTTATAAATTATTCTGAAATTAAATATAAAAACAATTATAAATCAGAATTTTTCTTTAATGCTAAAAAATTCTGATTTTCTAATTCGGAAAAAATTCTGATGAAAAATTTTGAAAAATATACATGCTTGTATTATTCTGAAATTAAATTAAAAATGTGTGTTTTTGTTTTAGTAAATTTTGAAAAATTTGTGTTTTTTCTTTTCCGGAATTTAATTCTGAAAAATGTTTGTGTTTTTTGTTAAAATTCCGAAAAATATTTTTTAAAATAATTCTGCAGCTATTAAAAATTGTGCTTTCTCTTTCCGGAATTAATTCTGGAATGCTAATATTTAGTGGTATAATTTTGAAATTCTGAAAATTATTTGTTTTCTGGAATTGTTCTAATTCTGAAATTGTCAAAATTCTGAAAATTGTTTGTTTTTCCTTTGCAGAATTAATTCTGAAACGTTTATTAAAATTCAGAAATAATGTGTTTTTTTCTGAAATTAATTCTGGACTGTATACTAATATTTTTAAATTCTGAAAGTAAAATAAAAATGCACACAAAAATTAATTATTTAATTCTGAACCTTTTAGACTTGTTCGTGAATATGTTGCAACAAATTTTACTTATTCTGCTACAACAGCAATTACACCTATTCAACAACATGATTTACAAGCACAAAAATTAATTGGTGATTTACTTTCAATATGTTTAGAATTATTATGTTCACGTACTCGTTATTTTAATACTGAAGCACAAAAAACTATTGTACAATTTGTTATAATACCTTTAATTGAAAAAGGAGCAGCAGATAAATTAATTGAAAATGTTATTAAGGTTTGATTTTTTTTAATTTTTTTATTATTTTTTTTATTTCATAAAATTCTGGGACCTCACTATATAAGATTTTCTTGAGATTAAAAAATTTTTTATTTTATGTTGGTGGTTTTTTAGATGGGAAGCACACTTTTAAAATGGGAAAGCCTCAAGCACCCACCCGTTTTTTTAATGAGTGCTTCCCCAGCTTTGGAAGCTTACTCCTCAACTTTTAAACAGCTCTCCAGCTCTGAGGCTATTTTTTGTTTTTATAAAACAGGCAGGTCCCCAACCGTGAGGTCTAAACAGCCCCTCAACTCATAAATAGCTTCTTAACCTTGAGGTTTACAATTAGACAGTTTGCTTAACCTAAACCCTGTGGCTATCCCCAGGATATCTTATAGCGGTACCCACTGTAACCAAAAATTTTATTTTTAAAAGATTGCAACAGAAATTCTTACATCTGAAGTACAATTAATTTCTGAATCATTTCAACAACAATTACAACAAATTACATCAACTCCTCAACCAAATATTAAAATTCAAAGTTTAGGAGCACAAGTTTTAATTAAACTTTTTTCAACATTAGAATCAAGATTAACAACAAATTTTGAATTGAAAAATTTATTTTTAAATGCAATAATTTTATTATATGAAAATTCGACGTCTTTAATTTTGGGCGGTGGTAGTGAAGGATTAAATATTGAAATTATTCAACCAGCATTTTATTGGGGTTTATGTTGTGTGGATAAAGAACTTCGTAAAAGGTTTGGAGAAATTTTTTTTATGATTTTTTAAATTGTAGTTGGGCCACATTTTGAATATTCTCTTGAAGGTATAAGGTGTACTTTACATAGCGGGCACATCGTTCCCTATCCAGAAGGGAACCAAATTTAAAAGTGATAAGCCTTATAATAAGGTGTACCTTAAATAGAGGGGTATTTTGGGTCCTCATCTTCTGTCAACCTTAATTCTTTAAATCAAATCCTAAACAGAGGATTGCCTAATTTTGAAAGGATATTTAAGATGAGGTGCTTGGCATAGGTCCTCATACCTTGCGGCAAACAGAGAACATCGCTTATTTGTTAGTCCTCATTTTGTAACAGGTCTGATTCCTTCAAATCGAATCCTAAAAGATAGAAAGGTTCGACTAATTTAGAGTATATCTTCAAAAATGAGATTTTTGACTATATTTGAATTAAAAAATTTTTTAAAAAGATTTTTCACAATTCATCAACGTTTATTTCCTCCCAATTTATTTGCTCGATTAATATATATTTTTACAAATGAACGTTGGGATTTATTAAATTCTTCTACAACAAATTCTTCCTCATCTTTAATTATTGCACATTTAATTAATTTATTATTAAATGCTAATAAATCAACAACGACTAATTCAAATTTATTATTAAAAATAAAAAATTGTTCAATATTTTGTCCATTATTAATAAATGGAGGAATAATTGAAGAAAAGAATGAAGATAAAAATGAGGGAAGAAAAGAAGAGGATGATGAAAAAATAATTGAAAAAATGTCTTTGGATGTTGAAACAATTGATCTTGTTAATGTAGGGGAGGAAGAAGAAGAAGAAGATATTCAAATGGATACAATAACTATAGAAGATGATAAAGGAAGAAGAAAAAATAAGGAAGGAGGGGAGGATGAAGCAATGGATGTTGATGATAAAGAAGATAATAAATCTCAATTGAATAAAATTTTTGATGAAATACAGGAAAGGTAAAGAAAAATATTTTTTAAAGAGATCGGACACGGGGATGATCAATTTGAAGCAGGGATGATGGGATGGATCTCTTTCGCCTTTCACCTATTTCCATTTCTCATTTTCTGTTTTTAAAAATTTGAAGTAAGGCTGTCCCTAATACGAATCGATGATTCTAAAATTCCTATTTTCCGATTTCTAATAATAAAAATTTAAAAAAATTAAAAATAATTTTTTCTATAGTCTTTGCATATCAAATGATGAACAATCAACACCTTCCACAATTTGTACTGAATGGATAGAAAATTTTGTTGATTTACTTTATATTGATCCATTATTATGTCAACAAACATTTATTGAGGTTTTTTTTATTTTTAAAAAATTTTCGAAAAATTTTTTGAAGAAAATTTTTTTCGATAATTTTTTAAAATAAAAATTTGATCGAAATTTATTAAAAAATTATTACAAAATTTTTTAATTGAAAAATTATTGAAAAAAATTTTTTTTTCTTCAAAGTTATTCACATCAATATGGTCCTATTTAAACGAAATTGATCGTGAACAAATTTGTTCATTTATAACTCCATTTTTAACATCATCAGCATTTTGTATACCAACAACAACAACAACAAAAAATGGAGGAATAAAAAAAGAAGATAATCATTTTGAGGAAGAAGAAAATTTTGTTATTTCAACAATATTAAAAGCTTTAATTAAATGTAAAAAGCCTGAAATTGAAATTGACCCAGTTGTATTAAGCTATGTGGGATCAAATTTTAAATGTTGGCATATCGCTCTATTAAAATTAGAAAAAATTGCGATAAGTAAGAAAGCATTAATTTCTAATGTTGGTGGTGAAATAACAACGTCGGCTTGGAATGCTGCAACAAATTTAACAGAAGAAAAATTGGTAATGTATTTTTGATTTAAATTTGAAAACACAAATCAGAAAAAAAAGAAAATACAAATCAGAATATATTTTAAAAAGAAAATACAAACAAGAATAAAACACAATAGAATTAATTCAAAAAAGACAAAATCAGAATATAAATTAAGTAAAAAAGAGAATACAAACCAGAATAAATTTATAAGTGAATAAAACACAAAATCAGAAAAGATACAAATCAGAATCAGAATAAAAATTTTAAAAAAGAGAAAACACTAAATCAGAATCAATTACAAAAACACAAAATCAGAATTATTTTAAGAAATACAAATCAGAATAAAAATTTTAAAAAAGACAAAACAATAAATCAGAATCAATTACAAAAACACAAAATCAGAATTATTTTAAGAAATACAAATCAGAATAAAAATTTTAAAAAAGACAAAACACATATCAGAATCAATTACAAAAACACAAATCAGAACTAATTTAAAAATATGTACATACCACAAACACAAATCAGAATTTTAAAAAAAAAATAAATTTATAAAACACACAAATCAGAATTATATTAATGAAATACTTTTTTATTTTCTTTTTTTATTGAAGGATACGCTTGATTCATTAACTAGACTTTATCAATTGCTTAATGAATTTGATCAATACAATTTTGTATGGAGAAAGCGTGCATGTTTTGAAAAAACAATTAAATGTTTAGCATATTATCAACAGGTTTTTTTTTTAATTTTTTAATTAAAAATTTTAATTTTTTTAAAGGGCGATTTTGTTCGTGCTCGTGAAACAGCAGAAAAATTAATGTTGTATTTAAACGAAAAATTATTTAAATCTGATTCATTAAATGCGGTAACACCTGCAATACTATCAGAATTTCAAATATTTGAAAATTGTTGGATTGAGTAAGATTTAAAGAATTTTTTGAAATTTTTGAATTTTTTTAAAATTTTTTGGAAAATTTTTAATTTTTTGTTAATTTTTTGAAAATTCTTTTAAGAAACCTTTTGAAATTTTTAAAAATATTTTTTGAAAATTTCTGATTTTTTTTTGAAAATTAAAAAAATAAATTAAAAAATTAAAAAATTTCAAAAAAATCATAAATTTTCAGTAAATATTTCTAAAAATTTCAAAAGTTTTTTTAAAAAATTTTCAAAAAAATTTTGGACTGATTTTCAAATTTTTTTGTAATCAAAAAAGATTTTTTTAACATTTTTTAAATAAAAAAATAATTTTTTATTTTAATTAGTTCTTGTAAACAATTAAATGATTGGACATCTTTAGAAGCATTTTCAAATTCGGATGAAGTTGCAAATATTAATTTATTGACAGAAACTGCATGGCATTTGAGTGATTGGAAGCTTTTAAAGTTTTTGTAGAAAATAATTTTTTTAATTTTTTAAAAAAAATTTAGAGATTGTTTAATTCAACTTGATGCTGCTGGTGATCCGTCAATGACCATAAAATCGTCTCTTTACAAATTAATGATTAAGGTGGGTATTTTTTATTTAAGAGATTTAAATTTATTTAATTGTTAAAAAAATATCAAAATCAAAAATTTTTTTTTGAGAAAAATTGAAAATTTTTTGTTGTAATTTTTTTGGTGGAAAAAAATATTTTCGAATTTTTTTTCAAATTTTTTTAATTTATTGATTTTTGAATTTTTTATTTTCAAAATCAAAGAAATTTTCCAGCAATATTTTTAAAAATGTCAGAAGATTTTTAATAAATTTTCAAAAAAAAATTTTTTTTGGATTGGTTAAAAAATTTTTTGTAATTAAAAAATTTTTTTTTGAAAATTTTTTAAATAATTGAAAAATTTTAAATTAAAAAAATCCAAGAAAAATTTTTGTTTTTTAATGTTTTTTCCAATTTTTATTGAAAAAAATTTTTTTTTAAATTTAAAATAATTTTTCGAATAATTTCAGATAATTTTCAAAAATTTCAAAATTGAAAAAAAAACAAAAAAATATTTTTTTTTGGATTTAATAAAATAAATTTCAAAAAAATTTTTTTTCACAGATTGCCAATTTTGATCAATTAGATGGAAAAGCATTTGAAGAAATAAATAAAATGTTGATAACAAATTGGAAAAAATTGCCTTCAATTATTTCACATTCACATTTGGAAATTTTAAATTTGGCCCATTTTACTCATGAAGTTTGTGAATCTGCAACAGTTGTAAATAATAATTTACAATCAATTAATTTTCCTTCTTCACAACAACAACAACAACAAAATGGATCATCTTCTTCTTCATCATCAAATAATTTAAATACTTCTGTTAAACATTTGTTAAAATCTTGGAGGTTTTTTTTAATTTTTTTAAGAATAAGGATTAGGTATAAGGGAAATTGGGTATAGGGATCGGGTATAGGGAAAATTATGGTTACATGTATACCTCAAGAGTTCAGACAAGTTAGGATCCTTATTCTTGAGGTACATATATATAACCCAAAATTTTCCCTGTACCATTGAAAATCAGAAATTCATAAGAAAAAAAAATTCCTAATTTTTCGTGAAGAATAAGTATTGCGTATAGTGAAATATCTCAAGCCCACACACACACACTTTCAGCAGAAATTTTTTTAAAGTGCCAAATTTTGTCGATTTTTGGTACGCCATTCTTTGACGTATCTCTCTTTGACGTACTCCAAATATATTTTGAGAGAATCGATTGGCATAGTTTAAATAGGTTAGGGTTTGTGTATGAAGTCTGTGTGTTCTTGTAAAATCCTAGGATATATGTAAAGAAGATCTGAAAAATTTTCAATTCTTCGGTTCGGTTCTTTGTTACATTCCGACAAACCTCTTCGATTTTTTTTATTTTTACAATTTTTTTTCAAAATTTTTTTAGAAGTCGTCCAATTACAAATATTGATCAATTAAATTCTCTAGTTGATTTATTTATTTGGCGTTCACAATTTTTTTGTTCAATATTAAATTTTTATGAAAATACTGATCAAAAATCTTTATTAACATTACCAGTCCATACACTTGCACAAACACAAATTCAATTATCACGAATGTTAAGACGTTCAAATCAACTTGAATTGGCACAAAATGAATTAAATAAGTTTGTTGATTTTTTTTTAAATTTTTTTGGGAAATTTTTTTAACTAAAAATTTTTTTTATTTCGGATTTTCCCATATCCGGATCATTCTTGAAAATCCCTAGATTATCCTCAAGTCATATTTATTTTTTATTTTCTTATCATAAGAATTATGGGCTTATTGGTAAGAATCAAAAAATCTTTTCATTTGCTTCTGGCCTTTAAAGTTTCTTAAATTCTCGAGTTATGGTCGGCAGATCCTTGGATATCCATCCAGAGCCTGTAGAAAAAGATATCCGGCGACTTTTTTCCTTGGGAGTTTATTTTTAAATGGAGGGAAGTCCTTGTGTCGGTTTTTAATATTATATAGCTTCTATAAGGGATGGGCGGATATTTAAGCGAATTGTATATTCATAAGGCTTTATTATAAAATATACATATAACTTTGTATAAAAAATTGCGAACTTTTAAAAATTTTTTTTTAAATAATAATTTTTTATTGAAGGCTTCATTCTTCAATATTAGTTCATCCAATAGATATACATTTAAAATTAGTAGAACATATAAAATGTCTTTTACGCCTTTCAAGTAACGAATTTATACAATCATCAAGTACATCAACAACAACAACATCTTTAAAACGTTCAATAAATGCTGCTCAAGATGCATTAATAGAAGCTTTAACGTTAATTGAAGGCGTACAATTAAATGTATTGAAGAGAGATCAAATATCTCGTTTAATGATTTGTAAAGGAATTGTGTTGAGTAAATTGGACAAGTTTGTTTTGTTTTTTTATTTGAGGGGGGGGAGGGCAATCCACCAAGCTATCCACTTCCTAAACCTTTAGAAAATTATAATAACTGGCCATGGTTTTTCTAACGCATTTTCCACTATTGCTGGGTATTTTGCGTTTTTGTTTCTCCAGCTCCTACCTACTTTCTTCAAATCTTAACTTCGGGGCCGAGGGTTTTCAGAGAGCTATTTTGTATTGACTCCATGTGATAAATCAATTATTGTGGGATGCGGTTTGATTAAGAGGGATATCGTGGCACGACAGCCAGTTCTGGAGCTCTAATTCACCGAGTCGTACCCAACGCTGTTTGTCTCGTTATTATTTGGAGAGTACGTATTTTTGACTCTGTTTCTGAAAAGATCAGAGTGGAAAGGGTGGATTGCTTTAAATTAAAAATTTTTTAATTAATTTTAATTTAAAGAAGAGAAGAAGCTGGTCGTGCATTTTCTGCAGCAGCACAACTTGATCATGATTTACTTGGAGGAACATCTGTATGGAAACATTGGGGAGATTTTTTGACAAGCATTTTTATGAGCAATATGTTTGTTTTTTTTATTATTTTTTTTTCATGAATTTTTGACTCTGTTTTTGAAAAGGGGCAATATGAGGTATTGAAAAAATTAAAAAAATTTTTCTGAGATTTTTGAAAATTTTTAATTTAAAAAATTTTTTTTTGGAAAATTTTTGGAATTTTTTAAAATATAATTTAAATTTTTTCTTTAAAGAAATGAAAATTCTGCACAAATAACTGGAATTCAAGCAATTGCCTGTACTTTAGAACATGCAAAAATTTCTCCATCACCTTTAAAAGCCCGTTTATCAATTGCAAAATTTTTATGGTTAATTAAAATTTTAACATCTTTTGGAGGATCTGAAAAAATTTTGATTTCATTAAATGAATTGTTGGAAAAATATGTTGATAATGAAACAATAAATCCTTCAAATTGGTTATTTTGGTTGGTTAAAAAATTATTTTTTTTTCAGGAAATTAAAAAAAAATTTTTTTTGGAAAATAAATTTCTGTTTTCTTCCAAATTTCAGGAATTTAAAAAAAATTACTAAAAATTTTTTCAAAAATTTTTTGGATTTTTTTCCAAATGAAATTTTTTCTAAATTATTTTTTGGAGAGAATTTTTTAATTTCTGAAAATTTTTTGTGCAAATAAAATTATTTTAATTTTCTAGAATAAATTTTTGGATTTTCTGTAGTTAAAAAATATTTTTTTTGAAAAAAATTTGTCCGTTTTTTCCTAATTTAAAATACTAAAAAAATTCTATAAATTTTTTGAATTTTTTTCAAATGAAATTTTTTCTAAATTATTTTTTGTAGAAATTTTTTTAATTTTTACAAATTTTTTTTAACAAATAAAATCTTTTGAATATTTTAAATTTTTCTGGAATAATTCTTGTATTCTTTAAAATTAAAAAAAAATAATTTTTATTTTTAAAGGCTTAATGCACTTTTAATGGAAGCACAACAAAGACCTTCTCCAGCAATTTTAAATATTTTAAAATGTATTGGTAAAGCTTTTCCTCAAAAAATGTTTTATGATTTGAGAATTGTATTGGGTTCAAAAAATGTTACAGAATATTTACAAAAATGTTTGTTTTATTTTTTGGTGAAATTAAAAAAAATTTTTGCGAAAATTTTTTTTCGAAAATAAATAATTTTTTAATTAAAATTAGAAAAAAAATTTTTTTTTGAAAAAAATTTTTTATTTTTCAGACAGATTATCTCTTCAAAATAATAACAATAGCAACGTTAATAATAATCATAATGCTTCTCCATCTACTAGTAGTTCATCAATAAATGCAACTATGGATAACACTGACAATCAACTTGCTTCAATTTTATTTTGTATTTGTGAAAATAATTTTATTGAAATTGATGCATTAAATAAAATTATGCTTGATTTTGAGAATTTTCCAATTTCCCCGTTAGAAGTAAGTGTTCTGATTTTTTTTTTGTAAAATCAAAATTTTGTGTATTTTTATTAAAATACAAAAATCAGAATTATACATTCAGAATTTTTAAAATTTTCTTTTATATTTTTCAAACCAGAATTCTTTGTATTTTATTTCTATAATTCTGATTTCCTTGTGTTTTTCTAAAATCAGAATTTTTTGTGTTTTATTTAATTAATTCTGATTTCCTTGTGTTTTTCTAAAATCAGAATTTTTTTGTGTTTTATTTAATTAATTCTGATTTCCTTGTGTTTTTCTAAAATCAGAATTTTTTTGTGTTTTATTTAATTAATTCTGATTTCCTTGTGTTTTTCTAAAATCAGAATTTTTTTGTGTTTTATTTAATTAATTCTGATTTCCTTGTGATTTCCAAAATCAGAATTCTTTGTATTTTTAAATATCAGAATATTAACGTGTATTTTCCGGAAAATACCAGAATTATTTTGTATTTTATTCAGAATTATTTTTTTTCAGAATTAATTATTTCCCCCCTTTATTTTTCAGGAGTTATTAAACGAATTTAGACAAATTCTTTCATCATGTCATTTGTGAGTTGATTTTTTAAAATAATTTATAATTTTTTAATTTTTTTATTAGTGAACAATTTACAAAATTAGCTGATCTTACCTCAACAATAATTGACTTTAAAACTTTACAAAAATTATGCTCTTGTATTACAAATTATTTTAATTTTGCTAGTGCTTTTACTGAACAAGATGAAGAAAAAAAGGTTTCTTTTTTAAATATTTTGAAGAAAATTTTTTTTGGGAATCAAAAAAAAGATTTCTAGGCAATTTTTTAGAAAAAAATAGAAAATCTTTTTTTTGCCAAATTTCAAGATTTTTGTCACTTTGGTTAAGTGGGTAAATTTTAGAGGATAGGAGGCAGGTTCGAATCCTTTCGGTCCCAAATGCTATTTTTAATATAAGAATTTTTCAATTTACCAAAAAAAATTTTTTTCCAGATTTGTAAAATATTACAAGACAATTTTATATTTTTAAAAAATTATTATGAAAGAGATTACAGTCAGCAACACCAACAAAAACAAATTTCACTATTTAGTGTAGCTAGTGCTTTGCGTAAATCTATATTAAAAATAAGTGATTATTTGAAAAATAATATGATGGGATCGAGGTTTTTTTTGTGATTTTCTGAATTGTTTAAAATTATTTTTTCAAAACAGACGTCTTATTGATCATGCAAAATATTTGGCAAAATTCAAAAGTTCGCTAGCATTAATTGATGTTTTTAGTGCAGGTTTTGATGTTGGTGGTTATCGAGTTTGTTTATTTTTTTATACAATTTAGTTAAAAAATTAAATGAGAAAGGTGTCTGGGGCTTTAATTTGCAAAAAATAAAATTTTTTGTTACTTTGGTTAAGTGGGTAAATTTTAGAGTATAGGGGACGGGTTCGAATCCTTTCGGTCCCAAATGATTTTTTATAAGTTCATATAATAATTTAACATAAAAAAATAAATAAAACATGTTTAAAAATTTCTAAAAAAATTTTTTTAGAAAAAACTTAAAAAAACAAAAAAATAAAATTTAAAATTATTTAACCAGGCTTCAACAACAACAACAACTTCATCAAATTGTAACGCACAAATAGCTTCATTTTTACCAATATTTGATCAATTTATACATAATGAATCAACAATTTGTCGTGTTATAAAACTTCGTTCTTTAAATGGAAAAATTTATACTTTTCAATTAGAAAATGTTTGTGGAGGATATGATTCTACAAAAATACATATACTTCAATTATTTTGTTTATTAAATGTTGAATTTTCAAAATCTAGGGTTTGTTGATTTTTTTATTAATATTTTTTTTAATTTTGAAGAAAAAATATTTTGGGAAAAAATTTCCCCAAAATTTTTTCCTAAAAAATTTCCCCAAAATTTTTTCCTAAAAAATTTCCCCAAAATTTTTTCCTAAAAAATTTCCCCAAAATTTTAAAATTCCTAAAAAATTCCTAAAAAATTTCCCCAAAATTTTTTCCCGAATTAAAAATTTTTTTTAATTTTTTACGTTTGTGGAAAATTTTATCAAGGGAATTTTTTTGGGAAAACTTTTCAAGATAAAAAAATTTAATTTTACAATTGTCAAAAAATTAAAATTTTGTTTTCAAAATATGCTAAAAATTTTCTAAATAAATTTTTCTTCAAATTTAATTTAAAAAATTATTATTTTTTATTCTCTTTTTTTTAAGCATACAGCTCAACGTTTTATTCAATTTTGTATTCCACAAATTATTCATATTGGTTCAAATGTTCGTTTAATTGAATGTCCACAAAATTCAATAACAAAAATATCAAATTCATCATCTTGTGATAATTTTGTTATTTTTGGTGATATTTTAAATGAAATGTTACAAGAAGAAAAACCTTTATTAACATCTTCAAATATCGTTGAATATTATTATGGAAGATTAGCTGAACAAAGGTTTTATTTTTTTTTAATTTTTTTGAGATGAAAGAAGTAATAAAAAATTTTGAAATTAAAATTAAAGGCGAATACAGGAAAAGGGGTTGGGATTTGCCAAAATAAAAAAATTTAATTGTCACTTTGGTTAAGTGGTATAATTTTGGATTATAGGGGCAGGTTCGAATCCTTTCGGCTCCAAATGATTTTGTTACAATTTTTAAATAAAATTTTTCAAAATAATTTTTCGAATTTTGCCTCCATGGTTAAGTGGGAAAATTTTAGATTATAAGGGGCAGGTTCGAATCCTTTCAGCTCCGAATGTTTTTTTCAATTTTTAAAATAAAATTTTTCAAAATAATTTGAAAGAATTATTTTTCAAAAATCAAAAAAAAATTCTTTTTTAAAGATATTCGCATAAAAATCTTCATGAATTATTTAATAATATTTCTAATGGTGGAGGAGGAACAGATTTATTAATGGATAGCAGCAGCAATAATCTCATAATTGTTAAGCGAGATTTATTATCAAAATGGATGTATTCAAGATATACAGAAGCAGAATCATTGTGGAATGCGAGGAAAAAGGTTTTTCTTTTTCAAAAAAATTTTTTTTTTAATTTTTTCGGAAAAAATTCTAAAATTTTTTGAAATAAAATTCTGAAGAATTCCGAAATTTCTCAGAAAAATTTTGAAATTTTTTGAAAATCCTTCTGAAAAATTCTGAAAATTTTCCAAAAAGTTTTTTTACATTTACTTTTAAGTTATCTATCCATTTTGCTTTATTGGGACTTTGTGAATATGCATTTTTCCTTTCAAGTATGTCACCCGATGGATTAATATTAAATGTTTCTACAGCACAATTATTTTTTCTTGATTATAAATTTGATTTGACAAAAAAAGTTTGTGATACTTTGGCTGGAAAAGTTAGATTTAGTAAGCGAAATTTTTTTTCATTTTTTTAACTTTTTAAATGGACTTTTTGGGAATTTTTTGTTGGATTTTTTTCTGTAAAATTTTAATTTTTTTTTTTAAATTAAAAAATTTTTTATTATTTTAAAATGGATTTTTTGGTGAAAATTTTGAAAAAATTTTGAAAATTTTTTTTGAAAATGAAAAAAAAATTTTTTTTGAGAATTTTTCGGAACCAAAAGTGATTCGAACCTGCCTCGTATGTTCTAAAATTTAACCACTTAAAGTGATATTTTTTAATTTTTAAAAAAATTCTCACTAATTAATGTTTTTTAAAGTTGAATTGGATGCAAATAGACCTGTACCTTTTCGATTAACTTGTAATATTTCATATTTTTTGGATGCTTCTATTGAAGGTTTATTTAAATTTATTTTTTCAATTAAAAAATTTTTTTTTTAAATTAAAGGTCATCTTGCTGGTGCTTTAATAGCAATTGCACGTTCATTTAATACAAAAACATTGGAAATTTGGCTTAGGCCAATTTTATGGGATGTTTTTTCTAAAGCTGCTGAAGAAGACCCAAAAATGAATATTGTTAATCCTGTTAAACGTGCAGTGGATACAGTGCTTACTCGAATTAAAGGTTTGTAAGAATTTTGTGAAGGGTTTTAAATAGGTTTATTTTTGAGTTAGATGATTTAATAAACATTTAAAAATCATAGGGAGCCAAAAGGATTCGAACCTACTCCCATATAATCGTAAAATTAACCCACTTAACCAAGGTGTCAAAAATTTTTTAATTTGGCAGTATGAGACCCTTTTAACATTTTAAAAAGCATTTGGGACCGAAAGGATTCGAACCTGCCTCGTATAATCCAGAAATTTACCCACTTAACCAAAGTACCAAAAATCTTGAAATTTAACAGATTCAAGACCCTTTTAATTTTTGATTTAATTTTTTAATTTTTTTCATAATTTTATAGCAATTTCGCACATTGAAAATGGTTCAAGTGCAACAAGTCAATTATTAATGCAGGCACAACTGTCAGATAATTTGTGTAGAATGGATCCATCTTGGCATCCGTGGTTTTAAAAACTTCAAAAAAAATTTTTTTTAAATATTTGGAAGATTGGTCTCAATTCTAAATTTATTTTGTTATTTTATTTATTTATTTTTTGGAGAAGAATTTATTTTTACATTGGAAAAAAAACACAACTACGTTAATTTTAATTTTAAATAAGAGCTTGTTTTATAGCTTTTGAAATTTTTTGAAAGTTTGTTTACGTTGAAAGAGGCATAAAACGCCTGAGAACATTTTTTCAAAAATTATTTCAAATTGTTCCCAGGCTGATCGAAAGGCTTGCGCAAAGGGGAAAATTCTCATGCGTATTTATGTCGTTTGTTTTCAGTTAAATTTACCCGTAAATTTTTCTGTTGGCGTTATGTTTATAGGGAGAGAAAGTGGGAAGAGAAAGAAAGAGAAATTATAGTCAAAGGGATTTGTTTTCTCTTTTGCGCTGTTCTTTTTTGAGCTATTCTAATTTTTTGACCCCAAAAATTTTCAAATTTCAGGGTCTAACAAAACAATTATCAACAACAATATCTCCATGCCCCATGCTGGCATTTGCCATGCTTAAAGGCTGGCATATTCCTTCAAAAGATGTAGGCTCTTTCGGTTTGTACTCAAACTTTTCTTTATTAATCTCACATTGAATGATCACAAGAAAAACTGACCATTCTGTCTATGTCCGCAAAAGTTTCAGGGATAACGGAATAGTCCGATCTTTTTTTAAATCAGTCCCAATTTTATCGAAATCTTGCAAAAGGGAAAATTCACAGGAGCTTATTATTTATGTCGTTTGATTTTGTCGAATTTACCCGTAATTTTTCTGTTGGCGTTGTGTATAGAGTGAGAGAAAGTAGGGAGAGAAAAAAAAGAAATTATGGTTTATTAGGGGAGATGGTCAAAGGGATTTGTTTTCTCTTTTGCTTTAATCGATTTACATTTGAATTTTTGGTTGGGTGGGTGTGGGCGGAGTTGACATTTGACCTGATAAGCTGTGTTCCTTTTATTGATTTTTTCAGCTCTATTTAAACCTGGGTTTTCTTTAATTTGTTCTCATTTAAAATTTTTTTTCTCTCATCAATTATTTTTTATTTATTAATTTAATTTTTTTATAGATCATTTTACTTAAATTTATTTCAAACAACAAAATCAAAAAAATGTCGCTTGAATCTCTTGACTTGAGTGGTGGTTCTGGAAACTCGTTTGTTTTTAACACAATCTGCTTTAATGATCTTCTGTTTTTAGAAATGAGATGTGCCAGGACGACCTTTATAAGTTCTCTCAAGCTGCAATTATTGACAAGTTGCATGTAGACGAGAAACTTGCTCTCTGGCTCTCAAAGATGACCTTTACCGATGATGACCCAATTTTGGTTTTGAACTTCTCGAAAACCGTGTCTGATGTTGATCGGGAAAAGGTTGTCAGCGAATTGGTTTGCTTAATTTTTTGGTTTAATTGATTAAATGCTTTCTTTTGTAGGGAAAACATGGTGGAGAGAAATGTCCTTTCCAGGACAATGTCTTCAAGTTTGAAACTCATGCGGATCTGACTTATGCCAAGGATGCGCTTCTCAAAATTGTTCCAAAGTCTTTCTATTCGACCATACCACTATGTGACGAGAAGGGAGAGCCTCGCTATGACCTCGAGCCATCAATAACCACAACTCTCATTGTTGTGGATAAGAAGAAGCAACTTCAATGGCAGCACTTCGAATTTTTTAAAATTCTTTAAGTTTTTTTTGTTGACTTATAAAAAAGTGGTTTTTATATTTCACTTTAGTTTTTTGAGAATAAATTTGTTAGTCAAATCAATTTGTTTCATTTTTTTAAAGATTTTAACAAATTTCATTTTTACTTGTTCATTTTTGCCTATGATTTTATCAATCGTGAATTTCTTGTTCTTTTTTGTTTTTTTTTTGCGTGAATTTGGATTCTTGTGACACAACCCTTTTTCCCTTAGTTCATTAATAGTTGCTTACAAACTTGCCTCAAAATGAACCGAATCTCTGAAGACAAAGAAAATAAAATTGAACCTCAAGACAGTTTCGAAGAAGATTACGAATCAACAATTCCTCCCACTGTAAATCGACAACTTGGCCATGGATGTATTGACAAGATTGTTTTTAAAAATTTTTTGTGAGACTTTGACTATTTTTTAAAGTAAAAAATCTTCAAATTTTAGGACTTACAATTATGTCGAATGCAGGCCTGGTCCTTATTTGAATGTCATTATTGGACCGAATGGAACAGGTTTTTAAATTTAACAAGGTACTTGTGGGTTATCCCGAACCAGTTTTTGATGATACATTAATGTGGGCTCATAATGGTCAGATATAAATCGTAAGGTAAATCCGACTCCTGATATTTCCCCCAGCCAATTTTTTCGAACGATTGTGGTTTGGTTGTATGTTCAACAAAATTTATGAATTTTCTGACCATTATGAGTCCACTTAAGTATGTCCGCAAAACCTGTTTTGGAATAACCCCCAAGTACCGTTAAACCTAGTGACAAGAATTTGAAAAGTTTATTTTTAGGCAAAAGCTCAATAATTTGTGGCATCTGTCTCGCCTTGGGAGGCTCTCCAAAAATTTTGGGACGGTCAGATAATATCTCGGATTTTGTTATGCATGGAAAAGATGAAGGATCTGTTGAGGTTTTTATGTAATAATGTTTTGAATTAAAAAATAAAAAAAATTTTTTTTTGTAAAGCTGGGATACTAGCCGAGGTCGTGCTGTAGCCTTTTGCATAAATATTGTTTCTCATAAAAATTCTGCTACGTATACTATTGATGGAAGGCATAAAAAACAGTCTGAATTGAAAGAGGAAAGTGGAAAATATAATATACAGGTTTCTTTTTAATTTTTAGAGAGGAAAATGGAATAGGATGGTGAAAATAAGAAGGCTAAAATTTTAAAAATTCTGCGGGGTCGCCGGGGACGTGTGCTGGATTTTGGGACTGAAGTCCAGGAAATGTCAAGGAAGCTCAAAAGATACCTGGTGGTTTCAGGCTTTGGGCATTTCAAAAACTCGATTAGATCAAACTATCTCCAAGCCCAGTATCCAGCACTTGCTAGCTGAAGCGATTAGAGCCATGAACTCTTTGCCTCCACGAACTTCCAACGAAGCTCAAAAGACGTATTGTTTCGAGCTTTGGAAGATGAGAGAGTATCTGGAGATGAAAGATATTTCGCTAGCCCTTCTCCTTTTTCTGGAGGGGGAAGGGCTGGAAGGAGGGAAGGAAAGACTCTGGAGGCCCCAAACCAACTTCCTAATTACTCCAGACAATTTTTACATTAAAAAAATCTTTTTCAGGTGGACAATCCTTGTACATTTCTTGCCCAGGATAAAGTTAAAAGTTTTGCTGAACAAGGACCTCAAAAACTTTTGTATAATACACAAAAGGTTTTTTTGAAAAATTTCTTTAAAAAATTTTTCTTATTGTTAGGCTGGGCCAAAAAATTTACTCGAGAAACATCAAAAATTGGAAAAACAATCAGTTGAAGGTTCAGAATTTCAAAACGAATTGGATCAACTTATTAAAAGAGGAGAACAAGTTGATTTGGAATTAAAAACTAAAAAACAGAGGGCAGATGCTTATAAAGAATGGGCTGCTAGAAATAGAATATTAAATTTGTTGGAAATTAAAAAGGCTTTAATTGTAAGAGGTTTTTTTGGAAAAAATTTTTTGAAAATTTTTTGGAAAAAATTTTTTGAGAAAATATTTGTTGAAAAAGAAATTTTTGGAAAATTAAAAAAAAATTTTTTAGGGGTCAAAAAAATTTTTTTTCAATTTTTTCGAAATTGAAAAGCTTGAAATTTATTAGGGTTTTAAAATTTTTTTGAATTTTCTAGAAAAAAAATTTTTTTAGTTTTTTCGAAAAATTTTTTTGAAATTTCCTTCCATGCCCACGAAATTTCTGAAAAATTTTTAAACAAATTTTAACATTTTTCCAAAAAAAAATATTTTTTTTAGGAATACCAAAATAAATTGGATGCCTTAAAAGAAGCTACGGAACGTGTAGATACTGCTGATAGACAAGTTAACGAATCTAAAGCACAATTGGATCCGGTTAATAAATCAATTAAAAATGTTGAGGCGACAATTGAATCTTTGGAAAAAGAAATTGGAGATTTGGTTTGGAAATTTTTTTATTTGACAATTTTTAATGAAATTTATTTTTTTAATGAGAAAATTGAAAAAAAATTGTTTAAAAAATTCTAAAGAAGTATTTTTTAAAAATTCAAATAATTCAAAATTTATTTCGAATTTTTTTTTTTCGTGAAAAAAAAAAATTCGAACCAATTTTTAGCAAAATGTTTTTCCGTATTTTCAGAAAAAAATAAGATTTTTTGTGGAGAAAGCAGAATATTTTTATTTTTAGGGAAAATTTTTTTTATTTTTTAATAAAAATTTTTTTAAGAGAAATACAAATAAAACAGCAACAAAGAAAATTGAAGATGCTTTGCGTCATAATTCATTGGATGAAAAGGTTTTTTTTAAATTTTAGAAAAAATAATAATTAATTAAAATTTAAGTTACAAAAAGCAGCAGATACTTTAAAAAAAGTACAAAATACATATGCTCAATGGGATAAAGAAAAAGAATCAATTACTAAAGAATATGATAAATACAAAAATTTTTATGAATCACTTTCTCAGAAATTTGTAAGTGTTTTTATTTGTATTTTTTAAAGAAGGAAAAATACAAAAATCAGAATTAATAAATTTGGGGAGAAATACAAAATTAAAAGAAAATCAGAATTTTAAAAACAAAAAGAAAATACAAAAATCAGAATTAATAAATTTGGGGAGAAATACAAAATTAAAAAATCAAAATTGAGAAAAGAAAATACAAAAATTTAAAGAATCAGAATTTAAATATTTGGAAAATACATTTTTAATAAAAATCAGAATTTAACTGAAACACAGAAAATACAAAAATCAGAATTTAAGTAAAACACATAAAATACAAAAATCAGAATTTAACTGAAACACAGAAAATACAAAAATCAGAATTTAACTGAAACACAGAAAATACAAAAATCAGAATTTAAAATCAGAATTTTAATTTGACATGGAGAAATACAAGGGAATAAAAATCAGAATTTAAACCTAAGGAAAATACAAAAATCAGAATTTCTTTTTTCTAATTTTTATTTTTCAGTCTCCTGATGACAATTTACCAAAATTAAAAGATGAATTATATGCAGAACATGCTAAAATAAAAAAAGAAGAACTTGAAATTACTGAAAAGCAAAAGATATATTATCGTCTTGACAATCGTTTGGATTTTTTAATTAATTAAAAAATAAATTTTTTTATTTTAAATTTAGAGCTTCATTCAAATCAAAATTCTCAACGTAATTCAATGGAAACAAAATTAAGAAATCTTGTCAAATTTCGCAATAATCCAGCAATTCCAGATGCTTGGGAATTTTATACAAAAAATAGAGAAAAATTTAGAGGACAAGTTTATGTTCCGTATTTGGATGGTAAGAAAATTTTTTTTAATTTTTAAATTAGTTCGCTAGAAGGTTACGCACTAGAGATGTCCGAGACCGAAATTTTTCCAAGACTCAAGACCCAAGACAAAATTTTTTCCAAGACCAAGACTCAAGACCAAGACCAAAACTCCAAGACTCAAGACCAAAAATAATACAAAACTCGTAACAATTTGTAGGTCCCATATTTTCAAATTTTTGGTTTATTTTTTGTTATTTTGATACGATCACAGTCAACTTCAGCACATTCACCTATAATTTCGAAAAATCTATGCGAAATGCAAAAAATTTTGGAGAATTTATCTGGGTGGAAAATCAATGAGATATTATTTCAGAGGATTTGGGTGGATTAAGGGGATATTAGTGATATCAAAGGGTAAAGCCAAAATTTTGGCGACACCCAACGTTAGCCCTCCTCGAAATCGACCCCCTGGCTACGCCCTTGGATTAAGGAGGATATTGATGTTTAAAGGGGAATTTAAGTGGATTAAGAGGGATCAAAAGGAATATTATGAAGTTGGGGGACTTAGGTGATGGAGTGATGGTGGCTGCTGATATCCATCCTCTATTTTATACCTATCTTTTTGCGCCGCAGGCGAAAATTTTATTAATTTTGGAAGGACGTAGGCCAAAAAAATTCACTTTTTCAGCGCCGCAGGCAAAAATTTTTTGAATTTTGGAGCTCAAGAAGCCAGATTTCTTCCATTTTCTGCGCCGCAGGCGAAAATTTTGAGGATTTTGGATGGCCAAGCACTAGGTCCAAAAAGGCCAAAAAACCAAGACCAGAAAATAAAACCAAGACAAGACCAAGACAAACACCCCAAGACCAAGACCGAAAAAAAACCAAGAAAAGTCTTGGTTCCAAGACCAAGACCAAGAGTCTCGGGCATCTCTATTACGCACCGTAAAACCAAACGCCGAAATACCAAACTCCTCAAAAAACTGCCAACCAAACTTTGGTAGGTTGGTTTCAATTAAGGGCGTAGGCAAGGGTTCGATTTCAGGGAGGCTTTTTTTGCTAGATCCCCTCCCCAGATTTTTCCCTTTTCCCCATTTCGAGAGGGTGTGCTTGAGCCCCAGAAGCCCCTCAGCTACGCCCTTGGTTTCACTAATTTGTAAGAGTTAAGGGGTTGCTCCACCAACGTGGAAGGTGGTTGATTGTTAACAATTCAAATTTCGGTATTTTTTTAAATGTTTTTTGGAGGTTTGGTATTTCGGTTTCTGGTATTATTGCTTCTTACCCGCTAGAATAATTTGAAAAAATTCATTAAAAAATTAACTTAAAAATTTTTTTTCTTTTTTTCAAGTCCATATACCTAATGCCAACAATCTTGTTTTGTTCAATAATGTTGTTGCATCACGTGATTTGGGTATTTTTATTTTTTCATGTGCTCAAGATGAAGAATTGCTAATAAATAAATTTAAAATTGATTCGAGCATAGTTTCACAAGAAATGGTTTTTTTTAATTTTTTTGAATATTTTTTAAAAATTATTTTTTAGATTCAAAATTTTGAAGAAACTAAAGTAGAAATATCTCCACAACTTGGTGAATTGGGTTTTGTCGATTTTTTATTAAATTTGTTTAACTCATCAAGTCCTGTTGGTGCTTACTTAAATGGATTATATAGTGTTTGTGATTTTTTTTATTTATTTTTTATAAGGAAATGAAAAGAAGAGAGCTGACCGGGGCTAAATTTTTTCCTTTTCAGCCGGCTAGTAATGTTTAAAAAAATTTTTTTAATTGAACGGAAAAGCGGGACTGGAGATAGCATTTAAGAACGCTTACCAGAATGGGGTTTTAAGCATATTAAAAAAGAAGGCGAAACAGCGGTCCGGGGTAACTCATATCAGATTCTAGTTGTTTCAGATCTATACCTGCCTGGGGCTACTAAATTCATTTTTAGTTTTTTTTTTCTCATACCTAGGTTAAGAAACGGTCAGGTTTTATAATAAAATGGGAGATTTGTGGATTTAAATTTTTAAATTCCAAAAAATTTAATTTTTTTTAATTCTTAGATGGACAAACTGTTAATTGGAGGTCAAAAAGTTGAAGAAAATTATGAACGTATATGTCAAGCTGCAAGAGAAATTAATCCAGAGTTTCAATTATTTTTGACTCGTCAATTGAGGGTTTACTTTTTATTTTTTATTTAAGTTCGGCAGGGCTATCCGGTTTTTACTTCAAACTAAACCGGGGGTTTTCATACTAGAACCTCCGGAAGCCAGAAAACCAGGTCCTAGTCGTCCGGTGAGCCGGACCGAACCGACCTGAGCCGACCCGTCTCGTTATTCCTCTCCACTCTCTCTACATTTTATTTTTAAAAATAATTTTTTTTAAGATTGAAGTTTATTCTTCACGTCATAATCCCAAAAAAATTTATGTTGACCGTAAAACAATAATTTATAATAATCCACGTTTTGATATGGAACATACAAAATCATTAATTGATGTTGATAATGAATTGAAAAAATTACAAGAAGACAAGGAAATACTTAAAGAAAGACAAGAAAAAGTTGCTAAAGCTAAAGAAGATTTTAAAAGACGGGGAGAAGAATATAGAGAAAAAATGGTAAGAAGTTTAAAAAAATTTTTTTTGAAAGGATATAATCTGGCTCTGGTATAGTTTTTGAGTCCAATCAACTCTAATGAAAATTTATGAGTCGAATAGAAAAAGTTTATGCGTTGATTGGACTCAAAGACGTTAATTGGACTCGTGAGCTAGACCAGAACCAATTTTTAAGAAAAAACTTTTTTAAGAAATCTGCAAGTTTTGTCCGCATAATTTTTGTCAAAAATGTTGATTTTTAAAAAAAAATTTATGGAATGTTAACGTGATAACGTGATCCTTTCTAGAAAAAATAGTGAATAATAATTTTTTAAGGAATAAATATTTGCGGACAAAAATTGCGGATTTTAGAAAAAAAAATGTTTTACTTAAAAAACCTTTTTTGCAGAAAAATGAAAAAGAAAAGAGTGATGAAATCAAAAGGTATCGTGACCATGCAGCAAAATGTAAAGATAAATTGAGCCAATATTCTAAAGAAAAACCTAATTTGGAAGCAGCGCAAGCTGCCTATAATGAAGCTTCAAATAAAATTTTGGAGACTGCGATTGGTGATTTTGAAAAGATTGTTGACTCTATGGTTTGTTTTTTAATTTTTAAATGTTTTCTTGATTTTATAAAAATTTGACCATTTTGGACCCTTTCCATTTTTACCATTTTTAAAATTTTGACCATTTTTAAATTTGACCATTCTGAAATTTTTAAAATTCATTTTTTAATAGGAAAATCAACGTGATCCAATAAATACAATAGCTATAAATTGTGATGAACATGCAAGATTAAAATCTAGACTAAAACAACTTAAGGCAGAGAAAGATTTTTTTGACCAAGTTCATCAAGCGAATAAGGTTTTTTTGTCAAAAATAATTTTTTAAAAATTAAAAAAAAAAATTTTCTTAGGAAGATTATCAACAAAAATTAAAAAGACGTTTAGATGCTAAAGAGGAAGTTGAATATCGAAAATCAGTTTTTAAACAAGTTGCTGAATGTCTACCACCTGGAAGTGGAGGGGAAGTGTCTAATGATGATAAAAGAAAATTTGAAAAAATTTTGAAGGTTTTTTTGAAAATTAGGAAGAAAAAAATTTTTTTAATTGATTTATAGGAATTTGAAGAAAAGCAAATTCCTGATGACTTGGAAAGTATAGAGCTTAAAAATGCTGAAGAACGGAAAAAATCTTCAAAAGATAGACAAGATGGAACTGAAAAGGTTAAAAAAAATTTTTAAATTTAATTTTATAACCCCGCTCCCTCTTTTTTCCTTTAGTAAGAGAGGGATAAAAAATGGGACTCATGATTTTATTTATTTTTGATCTATGTCCTCCTTGGTGTAGTTGGAAATGTTTAGGAATTTTGAATTAAAAGGAGTAGGGTTCGAATCCGGTTGGTGGGAAATGATTTTAATTTGGTCTATTTTTATTCTAATCTGAGAAAAAATTGATTTGAATGATTAAAAATATTTTTTTAGGATGCAGATGAATACGAAAAATTTTTGAAGGAAAGAGAAATTCTTGTAAAAAATATACGTTTAGCTACAGAAAAGGTTTTTTAAAATTACTTAAAATTCTATAGATTTATTTTTAGAATGACAGATGGAAAAATAAAATGGATACAGAATTAGCTTCTTGGTTAGAACAACTCAGGCCAATGATTGATTCAATTAATGAAAAATTTTCTCAATTTTTTGCAACTCTTGGATGTGTTGGTGAAGTGAGATTTGATGAACCGGAAAATAAAGTATTTATATTTTTTTAATTTTTATTAATTAGTAGATGGGTTGATTTTGGTCCCTAAGTGGCCGTTTTATTCAAGAGGGGTTTCTTGATCTTTGTTGGGGTTAAAAAGGAATTTTTTAGAGGGGTTTGTTATGTCTATTTTCTTCAAAAATCCCTGACTTGGACTACTTTAAGAATTAATAAATTTGCTTAACCTAGAATTACAAATTTAATTTTTTGGTTATTTTTGTAGCCTAATATTCCCTCTATTTTATGAAATTTAAATCAAATTTTTATCTTTATCCAAAGAAAAGTTATTGCCATTTAAATTTCCCTTGTTTAAATTAATTTTTCGTTATAATATTTTCTTTGGTGTAGTTGGAAATATTTTGAAATTTGTGGATAAAAGTCCTAGGTTCGAATCCGTTTGTTGGAAAATGATTTTAATTTGGTTTATTTTTATTCTAATTTAAGAAAATAAGAATTTTTATTAATTTAAAAATTAAAAAAAAATTTTTTGGTGGTCCTAGGATGTTTTTTTCTTTAATTTTTTACTTATTTTTTTCTTAAAATATAATTTTTTCCAAGTATTCAATATCTGAATATGGAATTAAAATAATGGTAAAATTTCGAAATGGAACATGTCTTCGTGAATTAAATCCACAAACACAATCTGGTGGAGAACGTTCAGTCTCAACAATGCTATATATTATGGCTTTACAAAATTTATGTTTTGTACCTTTTCGTTGTGTTGATGAAATAAATCAAGGAATGGATCCAAATAATGAAAGAGCTGTTTTTAATATGATGGTTAAATTATTGGATAATAATGAAGGAGAAGGAAGAGGAGGAGGAGGAAATAATAATAATAAAACACAATATTTTTTGTAAGGTTTTTTTAAATTTAAAAATTAGTGGGAGGGGAAGAAACTTGGGGGTTTTCTTGGAGAAAAATGTGTTGACAATGAGTGGCGATTTTGAGGGATGTTTATTTGTCTTTCTCTTTGGGATCTCTTCTATACCTTTAGAAATGGGTTTTTTTTATCATTTTTTCGTGTGGGTCTGGAAACCCTTTTAAATTCACTTTTGTATTAGTGTTCTCTTTGGTGTAGTGGGTAATGTTTGGGAATTTATGAGTAAAAGGTCATGGGTTCGAATCCGTTTGATGTAAAATAATTTTAATTTGGTCCAATTATGTTTCTCCCTTCTTTAAAATTATAAATCCTCTTAAATTTTTTTTTATTATTTAAAGGCTTACTCCAAAATTACTTAATGGTCTTGAATTTAATGAACGTGTAACTGTTCATGTTGTGCACAATGGACCTGCTATTGAAAATCCTTTGGTTAAATTTATTATTTTTTTAATTTTTAAATTTTGTTTTTTGGTTATAGGATTGGGACCCACACCGCTTTTTACGAAGATAAAAAAATTTTTTTTTGACTTTTTTGATCTTTGAAAACTTCAGGCAATATTTATTTTAAATTTATTTATTTTTAATTTATTTTTTTTAATTCTATTCAATTAAAAAATCTCATCAAATTTAAAAATTGATTTAATTTTAAAAATGTATGTACTATTAAATTTTAGATTAAGGCCGCAACTTTTTTAGTAAAGTTTTCCCTATTTTCCCCTTTTAATGACAAGGGATAAAAATAATTTTTATGGGACAGGTTTTCTCTCCCTTATTTTTTTTTAATTTTATATTTTGTAGGTTGTATTCTAAATTCTTTTTTTTTTAATTTTTTTCTTTCTTGAAAAGTGAAAGAAGAAGGGTGACAGGCGGGGTTATTTCGTTGTTGTTGTGTTGAACACACTACAAAATTTGTAGTGTGTTATATAAAAATTCGAGGGGCGTTGTGTCTGTTATATAAAAAAGGGAGAGGAGAATGACATGTGTTTAATTTCTAATTTTTTTTTATTTTCTTAGTTTATAAGTTAATTTGTTTCGGAAATTTAAGAAAAAATCTTTTAAATAGGAATTTTTTGAGGCCGTTTTCTTCAAAAATTCTGACTTTAACTCCTTTAAAATTAATAAATTTGCCTAAACTGGAATTAGAAATTTAATTTTTGGATATGCTTGTAGCCCAAACTCTCCTCTATTTTACGAAATTTAAATCAAAATTTTATCTTTATCTAAAGAAAAGTTATGGGCATTTAAATTCACCTGAATTTAATTGTTTTTGTGTTAAAGTCCTCTTTGGTGTAGTCGGAAATGTTTGGGAATTTACCACTAAAAGGTCTTGGGTTCGAATCCGGTTGGCGGGAAATGATTTTAATTGGGTTTATTTTTATTCTAATTTAAGAAAAAAAAAATATTTTAAAAATTTAGAAAATTAAAAAAAAAATTTTTTTGGACCACTTTCTTGACCACTGAGAATTTTTTTCCTCAATTTCCCTATTTTTTAAATTAAAAAAATTTTTTTTAGGAATTTTTTTAAAAAATGGATTTTATATTAGTTGCAATTCTCGGAATTATTTTCTTAAAATATATTTTATTTTCCTTTCTATGTGCCCTTTTTCGAATTTTTTTCCCATTTTTCTTCCCGTTCCCAAAAAATTTGCATAAATTAGCTGGTGCAAAATGGGCCCTAATAACAGGTGGAACTGACGGTATTGGAAAAGAATATGTTAATCAATTAGCCAAAAAACAATTTAATATAATTATAATTTCACGTTCACAATCAAAATTGGATAATGTAGCTAAAGAATTGAGAGAAAAATTTAAAGGAATTGAAGTGAGAACAATAGCTTTTGATTTTACTAATCCAAATTTGGATGATTATAATAAATATATTTTGAATAGAATTGATGATGTGGATATTGGAATATTGAGTAAGAACACTTTAGAATTAAAAAAAATTTTTGAAAAGGTTTTTTAAAAATTTTCAAAAATCAAAAAAAAATTTTTGAGGGAAAAAATTTTAATGTTCTCTTTGGTGTAGTTGGAAGTGGTTGGAAATGTATGACTAAAAGGTCGCGGGTTCGAATCCATTTGTGGGGACATGATTTTAATTTGGCTTATTTTTATTCTAATTTAAGAAATAATTAGATTTAGAGAAGAAAAAAATTTTTTTGAAGAAAAAATTTTTTAGTGTTCTCTTTGGTGTAGTTGGAAAGTGTTTGAAATTTATGACTAAAAGGTCGTGGGTTCGAATCCATTTGGGGGGAAATAATTTTAATTTGGCTTATTTTTATTCTAATTTAAGAAATAATTAAATTTGGAGAAGAAAAAAATTTATTTTTAATTTTACAGTTAATAATGTTGGAATGTTCAATGAATATCCTGAACGTTTTGAAAAGACTGAAGGTGGAATAAAAAAATTGGCGGATATGGCGGTAAAAATATTTTCTTTGAAAAATTAGAAATTATAAAATACCCTCAATAGGTATCTTGTGGGTTATCCAGCCTCCAAAAGGTACCACAAAATACCCTTGAAAAATTTTTTTCCTAGGGAGGCCCCCTATGACTGATGCCCCCCTATAATGAGGCGTGACTATTTATTAATAATTTTTAGCTAGTTAATATGTTGCCACAAACAATTCTTTCACATTATATTTTGCGACAAATGATCCCAAGAAAGAAGGGAATTATTGTTAATATTTCTTCGACAATAAATTATTTTGAATGGTATTATTTGGCTGTTTATTCTGCTTCAAAGGTTACTCTTAAAAATTTCGACATTTTGACATGAAATTTCTAAAAAAATTTTCTTTCCTTCAGAGATATGCCCGATGGCTTTCTGCAATTTTACAAGCCGAATACAAAGGTACAGGAATTACAATTCAAACTGTGTGCCCTGGCGTGGTAGCCACAAATATGACTAAAAACCCAAAACCTTCATTCACTGAACCTACCCCACTTAAATTTGTTGGTCAAGCAATACACAGCATTGGATTAATTAAAGAAACTACTGGGTGTTTTGCTCATCAGCTTAATGTTAGTTTTGACCATTTTGACATATTTTTGGGGTTTCGACATTTTGAAATATTTTTGGTTTTCGACATTTTGAAATATTTTTGTGGTTTTCGACATTTTGACATATTTTTGGCGTTTCGACATTTTGTACCATTTTTTGGGTTTTGACATTTTGAAATATTTTTGGGTTTTTGACATTTTGAAATTTTTGGGGTTTCGACATTTTGAAATATTTTTGGTTTCGACATTTTGACTGAAATTTCTTAATTAAAAAATTTTTTCAGCTGGAATTTCTTTCAATCCTACCAAATTTCATTGTAGCCATGTTTACAAAAAAGATGTCGTTGAAAATGAAGAATCAATACCTCAAAAATGGACGATTTATGTAAACTTTGAACATGTGCTTTATTGCATTTTATATACTTGGCATTTTTTATATTTTGTATTATGAAATTTACCATTTTGAAATTTTGAATAAAATTTTTATTTTTTTTAGTGACCGGTAAAATCGATTTTTCCGGAACCGGATCCGGATTTGCAACTAGAGCCGGACCGGATCCGGCCGGATTTTTCCGGATAAATCCGGTCCGGTTTTAATCCGGTAAAAATAATTTCCGGAGTCCGGCAGAAATTATCCGGATTCCGGACCGGACTCCGGTTTTTTTCCGGATTTTTCAAAAAAAATTTTTTCATCAATTTTTTGTTAAAATGTTGTAATATGTGTGTCGTTTATGTGTTAAAATCTTGTTAGGGTGATATCTAAAGATTTTGGAGGCTATGAAGGATATTTTGTGGATTTTTCGAGGTTAAAAGTTTGGAAAATAAAGTAATTCGTGGTTGGAATTTTGAAATTTGCTCCTAATTTCGTACAGGCCTTCTTTACCTCGTAATCGTAACTGCCAATTTTTGAGCATTTTTTAGTCTAAAGAGCAATATTTCCTCCAAGGATTCCTGCCAGGTCCTCTTAATCACAAATCCCTTCCATGCGCCGCTGGCGAAAATTTTGATAATTTTGAAGGTCCTTAAGTCAGATTTCTTCCATTTTTGCGCCGCAGGCAAAAATTTTTAAAATTTTTGAATGCCATTAAGCCAGATTTCTTCCATTTTTCACCGCCGGAGGCGAAAATTTCGAAAATTTTAGAAGGTTTCAGGAGAAAAAATCTATTGTTAGAGCCGTCTAATAACAGAGGTACGAGTCGATTAACATAGGTACGACTCTTAATAGAGGTATGACTCTCTAACAGAGGTAAGACTCTTTCTCTATATATAAGGGGGACTCAGTCGTGCCTTCTGGGTACGATTTTTGGAACCAATAAAGAAGAACGCTTCCCTTTCAGCGCCGCAGGCGAAAATTTTTTGAATTTTAGTATGGTTAGGTGTTAAAAATCCTCGTTTTTATAAAAAATACAAGAAAAAATGGGAAAATTCCATAACCGTATAAAATCCCAAATCCGGTGCTCAAAATTTGCCGGACCCGGATCCGGATTCCGGATTTGCAACTAGAGCCGGACCGGATCCGGCCGGATTTTTCCGGATAAATCCGGTCCGGTTTTAATCCGGAAATTTCAAAAAAACCCGGATTTGGGACCCGGACTCCGGAAAAATCCGGCCGGATCCGGTCCGGCCCCGGTCACTAATTTTTTTTATTTTCTTGTTGAATTTGTGTTTTTCCACAATTACATTTTATTTTTTAAAATTGTTTTAATTTTTGACATAAGTAGCCTCGGGTGCCTCGGACACCTATCCATTATTATGCTTCCTCAGGGAAGAAAAATTTGACTTTATCTGTTAGATAAGGTCAAAATTTTTCCTGGACTAGGCTATATAGATTAGGAGAGTAAATTGATGAGGTGTCCAATAGAGATCGAGCTGGGCTTGGACTAAGGCCTGAGTTTTTCCTGTACCTAAAGTCCAGGTCCAAGCATTTTTTGACATTCCTGGGTTTTTTCTAAGCTTGGGTTTTTCCTGGACTGCAGGCCCAGGATCCGGGCTAGGTCAACGAATCGAACCGAACAAGTCCAGGCTTTTTCAAAAAATCTCGATCTCTAGTGTCCAACAGTTTGCCTATTTTTTTGTTTAAACAAAATTTTAGATTTTAAAAAGGTTAGAGAGCTTGTATTGAATTTTCATTCTATTTTTGATTCAAAAAATTAATGGAAACTCTTCGTTCCCGTCAAACAGGTTTTTTATTTTGTAAAAAATTCAGGAATTTTTTCAATTTTTCAGCAGCTCTAAAACAATTGTTGAACCTCAACCAACCATTTACTCAATCTTTAGCAGTTGAACCAACATGGAAATTGCTGATATTTGATGGGTATGGACAAGATATTATTTCGCCCCTTCTAAATGTTAAACAACTTAGAGAAGCTGGAGTTACTTTACACATGTTTGTTTATTTATTTTTTGGGGGTATTTTTTGGGGTCGTTTTTGGGAGTGTTTAATAAGTACCTGGATAGGATTTGGGCCCGTCCCTGAATTAGGCTTAATTCCAACTGTCTGTGTTTCTTGTGTCTGTCGTCTCCTAAGTTTAGAAGGTTTTCTGAACTACATCTCGAAGTAGATACATAACATAAAATGCCTGGGCCTTTATTGGACACTTGAAAAGCTTCCACCCTTAGAAATTAAGCATCTATTGATCTCTTTCGAATCCAAAGCAGTTTTAAAAACCACAGCTCCGTAAGACTCTAAACATAGCCAGAAACTGGCGGTTAATCTCTAGATATAGGAAAGCCCTGGGTAGTCTCTGAGATCTGGTTGGAATCCAGAAGACAACAGGCCCGGGAAACTCTGGACAAGCCTAAAAAATGCCGGGGAACTTTTCTGGACGCAAGAAAGTATTGGGCGTCGACTTGCCCCAGCCCGATTTATACTCTTCTCGTTTTTCGATTCTTATGGTTTTCGCCTTCCATTTTCTTTTATTTTTCCTCTCAATTTTTAGCCAAATCAAACTTTAAAATAATTAAAAAAAATTTTTTCTAGGCATCTAAATTCTCAAAGAGAAACTTTGCCAGATGTTCCAGCAGTTTATTTTGTATCGCCAACAGAATCGAATATTCAAATAATTTGTAATGATTTGAGAAAATCAATGTATGATAGTTACTATTTTAATATGATATATCCTTTGCCGAGACCTTTATTGGAAGATTTGGCGTTGAGTGCTGTTGAGGGGGGAATTGTGCAACAAGTACAAAAGGTTTTTTTGGATTTTATGAATTTTGGGATCAAGTGTCATATGCGGAAGATTATTTTTTGGGATGTAATGTCACCCTTTTAGAAAAAATTTTCGTGACGTTTCATCTGTCTAATTTTTTATTTTTTTGGATGAATTGTCATCCGTCTAAAAAAGTTTTGGATTGGGATCAAGTGTCACTATTTGGCTAAAAAAATTTTTTCGGGGTTGTGGATGAAATGTCATCTTTCTAAAAAAAATTTTTTAATTATTGGAATGGATTATTATTTGTCTTAAAAAATTTTTTGGGAGGAAATCTCGTCTAAAAATTTTTTTATTTGTTGGGATGAAATGTCACTTGTCTAACAACAAAAAATCTTAACATTTATTTTTTAGGTCACTGATCAATTCTTGGCATTTATCTCGTTAGAAGACGATTTGTTTATGTTGAGTCGTTATTCACAAACTAGCCCTTATTCTTTCTTTGGTAAAAAATTTTTTTAATTTAATTTTGGGACCAAATGTCCTTTTAGAAAAATTTTTTCAAAAATTAATTTTTATCTTTAAGCCTTAAACAATCCATCAGCCAGTGATGAATCAATGAACAAAATAATTTTAAGTATCGCTAATGGTCTTTTTTCTATTTGTATTACTTTGGGTGTTGTTCCGATAATTAAATGTCCGAAGAATAATGCGGCTGAGAGAGTTGCTGAGGTTTTTTTTTAATTTTTTTTAAATTTTTTTTTAATTTTTAATTTGGTTTTTAATTTGGGTTTTAAAAGGGTTATTGGATCCTCAACCTTATTTTTTTTTGATTTTTTTATTCAACAGACCCAATTTTTCTAACGCCTAACAAGGGAAGGTTGCAAAGTGTCCGACCTAAAAATGGTCGAGACCGGGCTCATTCGATAGAGAATGTGCCCTTTCTAGCAAGGATTTTGAGCCGTTTTTGCCCATTTTTTGATTTGGCCAGGATATGGCCCTTCAAAGTCCCAAAAGTTTTCAAAACGTCCAATGTCTCGAAATGCCCACTTAACAAATTTTTTTCTTTTTTAGAAATTAGATCAAAAAATTCGTGATAATTTACGTGATGCTCGTAACAATTTATTCACTCAAGAAAATGTCCGAGCCAGTCATTTAAATATTCATCGACCTGTTTTGGTTATTGCTGATAGAAGTTTGGATTTATCAACAATGCTACACCATACGTGGACATATCAGGCTATGATTGCTGATATTTTGGTTGGGTTTTTTTAATTTTTTGAGGGATTTTTTAGGAAATTTTTTGGAATATATGGGGTTTGAAAATTTTATAGGGGGACATTTGATCCCAAAATTTCTTTTAAATTGGAAAAATTGAATAAGTAAGTATTGTGTGGGGAGGTTTTCTAGTTAATTATCCCACTTCTATATGTTTAATCAGTTGAGAGATTATTGTGTTGTTGGGTGGTAGAATGGTTAGTGGTCTGGATTTTCAAGTAGGGTGGTTGGAGGTTCGAATCCTTTGTGTTGTTTTTTGCTTGTTTTTGGCTTCAAAAGCTTTAAAATGATTAAATTAGTGATTTTAAACTTGAAAAATATTTTTTAAATTTATTTTTAAAATTTTTTACAAAGGATATGGATTTAAATCGTATCAGAATGAAAGATAAAAATGCCCGTCAAAAAGATTATGAATTTAGCAATGAAGATAAATTATTTAATTCGTATAAGGGAAGTGCTTTCCCTTTGGTAGCTGAAGCTATACAAGAAGATTTGGAAGCATATAGAAAAAATGAAGAAGAAATTAGAAGATTGAAGGATTCCATGGTTTATTTTTTGGATTTTTTAAAAGTTTCAAACGGCCAATTTCGGAAATGTCATATTTTTTGGGAACGTCCAAATTTTAAAAATGTCCAGTTTTTCCAACTCTAATGACCGGTAATATCGATTTTTTGGATCCGGATTTTAGATTTGCAACTAGAGCCGTACCGAATCCGGCCGGATTAGTCAGGTCCGGTTTTAATCCAGAAATTAAAAAAAAACTCAGGATTTGAGACCCGGACTCCGGAAAAATCAGGTCCGGCTCCGGTCACTACTGAACTCCCAAATTTAAAAAATTTTCAAAATGTCTCTAACTCAAAACATTAATACTTTGAAACGCCAGATAAATTTTTTAAAATTTTTTAAGGGAATTGAGGGCTCCACAATCATCGAAAATGAATCAGACTTTTTACTTGATAGTGCAACGAATAAACTTTCAAGTGCTGTAGGCTCATTACCAGAATTGCTAGAAAAGAAGAGATTAATTGATTTACATACAAATGTAGCTACAGCTTTGTTAGATAATATAAAAAGTAGAAAATTGGATATATTGTATGAAACTGAAGAAAAATTGTTAACTGGACAAGGTTTGGTGTTTATTTTTTTAAAGTTTTTTTCTAAAAGTGGCACTTTGATCCTGATTCTAATAGAATTTTTTTTATGTCCCTTGACCTTTTTTGAGCAATTTTTGGGAAATTTACTCTATTGCCTACATAAAAGGCCGGGTTAGGATCAGATGTTCAGAGATGGTTCAGTGAATGGTCGGGTCTATTTTTTCAAAAATTTTTTTTTGGATCCGACTTCGTCTTGAAAAATTTTCTGGTTGAACCAGTGATATCCCATGTAGAAATCATGGTCCGTGTCTAGTTGGAATCATGTCCAAAAACGCCAAAAATTGGCAGTTATAAATTAAAAATTTTTGGTCACAGTTCGAAATGTTCCCGCGTGAGCCTTCTTATTTTCCTGTGGTCTATTGGAGTTTATCCTTTTAATTTTTTTTTGAACAGATTTACCATTAATGGAATGTTTGCGTGAATGTAGCACTAATGAAGATGCATTACGTTTTGCATTAATTGCTGCATGTTCTAAAAATTTAAGCACGGTTTTATTCTTAATTTTTTGTTAGTTAAAAAACCTTTTTTTTTAAGACTGAACAACGTGAAATACTTGCTCATTTTGAAGAGAAGGGAATAAGTCCAGATGCTTTAAATTTTGTTAGACAATTGAGGTTTTTAATTTTCATGGTTTTTACTGGAAAAGTCATCGACCTTGTTAGTTGGTCAGGCATCTGAACTTGCCGTGAGTGAATCTTCAACTATTAGGAAAATTCATATTTTTTGTTATGTGGGGCTAATAACTGTTGCTTTATTAGAGAGATAATTAATGACATGAATTTTTTAAAGCCTTGAAACTATTAAAAAAAATTTTTAAGAATCGAACTTAAGTAAGACTAGCCGCTTAGCTCACACAACACGTTCACGTGCTTTATTAGGAATTAATGTGTCGATGACTATAAAAACGTGGCCATTAAATATTTCACAAAAAAATTTTCAAAGATCCTTTTCAAATGTTGGTGGACATACAGAATTACATTTGGGAGCGGGAACCAAAACAGTTGGAATGTTTTCAAAATTGTTAAATCAAAGTTCAAAATTTGTAATGGAAGGAGTTAAAAATTTAGTTCCAAAGAAGCATTGTTTGCCGTTAACTAAGGTTTTTTTTTGGAAAATTTTTAAAAAATTTAATTTTTCCCAAAAGATGATAGAACAATTAACTGAAGTTAAAGTTAGTGGAGGAATGCAGTCTGTAACAGGTTTAAGTGTTGGTGGTTCTAGTAATGCTTTGGATGGAGCTGATGAGTTTCGTGTTTTTGACCCAAAATTGACACAAGGATCGATAAAAGAGTTTTGTGAAATTTTAAAAATTTTAGAGGCCTAAGAAAATTTTTTAAAAATTTTTAAGAGTCTAGAAATTTTTTAAAAATTTTTTAGAGTTAATAAAGAATTTTTTAAAATCTTTTTCTATCGGTGGGGTTCGAACCCATGACCTATTTTTGATATAATTATGATTAAACCAAAACATTCCAACTACACCAAGGGAAATACAGGGGGATTTTTTAATTGTTTTCTGTGGGAAAATTAGTCTAACTAGCAACCTTAAAATTTCCATAACTTTAGTTTAAGTAAAGTCTAAAATTTAATTTTCATATCAAAAAATAGAGGAGAGTTTGAGCTTTAGGAATATTAAAAAATTCAATTTTTAGATTTAATTTTTAAAAAGTTGTGAATTTTTAAATGAGCTTAGTCGTGATTTTTGTGGTGGTTTTTAAGATTATTTTTGGCATAACTTTAGGCTTAAGTAAGTGGGAAAAAATAAAATTATATTTAAATTAAAGAGGAGATTTTGGGCTATAAGAATATATGAAGAAAGAATTTTTAAAATTAAAATTAAACTTAAAAAAATTTTTTAAAGTGGACTACGTTCAACATATCCAGTAGTAGATGTAATTGTTTTTGTAGTTGGTGGAGGTAATTATGTAGAATATCAAAATGTTATTGAATGGGCAAAAACAAAACCATCAATACAAAGAATAACTTATGGATGTACAGAAATGGTTAGCCCAAAATGCTTTGTTGAACAGGTTTCTTTGATTTTTTAAAAAATGCAGTCGAAAACCTCATTTTTGTTTATCCCCTATCTAAGGCTCCACAACTTTAGGACCCCTCAATTTAAGCTGCCTTTTATTATAAGGCACATTTTTCTGTCATAGGGAGGTTTTAAAAATTACAGTTTCGATTTTTTCAATTTTTTTTTATTTTAAGTTGTCTCATCTTGGAGAAAAATCGAGAGGTTGAGGAATATAAACAAATATATATTTTTGGATGTGTAAATTATTACATGGGTATAAAAAATATTAATTGTGTTAAATTAATTTTTAAAAAATGGTTGAGGTTTGTGTTGAATTTATATTTTAATTTTTTAAATTCATTTAATGCATAATATTAATGCGAAAAAAAATTTTTTTTAATTCAAAAAAATTATAAATATCTAGAAATCTGTTTTTAATAAATTTTTATTCTATTCTGAGACATCTTTGTGTGATTCAGCACATCCATTCTTTAGAAAAAAATTTTTTGAGTGGAAAAAACTTTTTAAAGAAACCTCAAAATATAATTGGTGTCCATTCCCATTGTGTTTACAAAAAGCACTAGGATTACTTAGGCTATTGACATTATAAAGTAAACATCTGCCTTTTAAAGTGTCAAAAAATCCACTCTAAAAATTAGTTGAGAATTAAAAAAATTATTTTCCGTGTCGGGATTCGAACCCATGACCTATTTTGGTTGTGAAACTAAAACGTTTCCAACTACACCAAGAAGGAAATTTTGGTGAAAATTGAGAGAAAAGTAGAGAGAGATAATGAAAGAAGTCCGGAAAAATTTTTTTGAAAATTTTTCTCCTTGACGGGGTTCGAACCCTCGACCTATTTTTGTGATAAACTAAAACTTTTCCAACTACACCAAGGAAATGTTTTTTTTTAATTTTTTCGGGTTAATCCCCTCCTTCCTTTCTAACTTACCAAACAATTAAAATCATTAGCCAAAACACACAATTCAATACAAGCAGACAATCCTTGTATATTTTGTGGTAAACCATCATATAATTCCTTGGGTGATATTGCAACGTCGTTTAGTTTGTAGTCCATAAACGATAAAAAGTCGGAGCAGCCAGAGAAGGGGGAAAAGTTTGCTAAAAGGGGATTAATTGAATTTTGGGGGTTTTGAAATTTTTTTAGAGGTTGGGACGTTTTGAAATATTTTGGATATTTTTGGGGTCTGGGCGTTTTGAAATATTTTTAGGTGCTGGACATTTTACAATTTTCTAGTCCTTTCAGCTCTTAACGCTTCAAAAAAGCTCTCTTACCACCATAACAAAGCCTCCTGAACGCTCTCTGTACAAAATCAGCTTCTGTTGTTTGAACCAGCATCGACGGAAACTCAACATTTGAATAGGCAAGTTGACATAATTTTTCATTTTCATTAAAGGAAAAAGCATTGCAACGGCGTCGACGTCCAAAATTGTCAAAAAAAGTGGTTGTTGTGTTTGAACAAAATTTGGCACATTCTTTGGGGGTTTCTGTTGTGAATGAGGTGGTGGTTTGAATATTGGTGTCATGGTTGGTGGTGGGGGAGAAGTGGTCAATTGAGCTCGGATTAAAACGTGCATTTTCTACAGCTATCCAAATTGCTTGTTTGCCAGTGCCGCAGCCTTGAAAGAGGGGGTAAATTAATTTTTTTTTATTATTGAAAAGGGGAGGGAGGAGGATGTCTTCGTGAAGTACCTAAGAGAGCATCATTAAAATTTTTTTTAATTTTTTAAATTATTAAGGGGGAATCGGCTCTTGATTTTTTTGACTATTTTATCGAATGGGTTTGTAAAGGGGATTTTCTAAAAAAAATTTAAGGGCTTATTTTTCACATTTGTTTTTTTTGAATTAATATTTTTATTTTTACTACGTCCAAAAAATATCATAGGTCTTAAGAAAGGGGGGTGAATTATGGGAATTTTTTTTATTAATTATTGAAGGGAGAGGTCTTCCATGAAAAATTTAGGAGGGAAAATTTATTTTTTTCTAATAAGAAACCTTCATTTTCTTCCTTCAATTTATTTATTTTTCCAACTCGATTTTGTTGTTTAATTAAATAATTGTCAACTCTATTGTTTTTATTGTTGATAGAATTGTCTAATCTTGGATGTCTTCTAATCTCTTTTAATTCTTCCTCCTCATTTTTTATTCTTTTCTTTATTTTAAGCATTGAAAGGGTTGGAATTAGTATTAAATTTTGTTCTTCTTTTAATCGAGCTTCCAGTTCCTCTTCTGATTCTTCAAGATTTTCTTCTTCCTTTTCTCTTAATTCTCTATCAATTTCTTCTAGAAAACTGATCGAATCTGAAATTGATGAAAGGAGGGGTTTTTTGATATTTTTTGGGGGAGGGCTGGTTTGAGGGTTGGGGCGTTTTGGGGGTGGGGTTTGAGGGGTTTTTGAGGTTGGGACGTCTTGGGTTTTGGACATTTTAAGGCTTCAACTCTGACCTTTTAAACAAAAAAAACTTTTTTACCTTCAGCTTCTGTTTCCTCCAATGGTTTCTCAGTTGTTATTGTCGTTGTAAAGTGTTCCTCATTCAACAAAAATTGTTCAACTTCTTGTTTAGAAAATTTGGAAGTTTGTTGCTTCTCGATAGTAGGCTCATTGATACTTTGATTCTCTTTGTTGTCCTTCTTGGGTGTCACAATTATTGGGGAGGAAGGAGGAGGTGGTGATATTGTTGTTGTGTCTGTGGGTGTTGTTGTGTTTGTTGTGTTTTTTCTGTTCTCTTGTTTTGCTTCTAATTCTTCTTCTAAGCCAACAATACACTCTTTAGATATAAGGCTTAAATAAACAAATCCTTTTTCGGGTACGACATTGTCTAGTCCACCAATTGAAAAATAGTGGCAAATGTGTTCGTGTTTGTCAAATACTATTGAAGCACAACGACTCTTGGATTGTTTCAATTTTTAGTTAAAAAAGCTTAAACTTACTAGAGATCTGATGCAGAAATCTGGATAAAAATAGGGGAATTTTTGACGTTTTGTCAAATTTTTGGACTTTGGGCATTTTGTTATATTTTTCGTTATTGGGCGTTTTGTCGCATTTTTGGTTATTGGGCATTTTGTCATATTTTTGGTTATTGGGCATTTTGTAATATTTTTGGGTAATGGGCATTTTGTCACATTTTTGGGTGTTGGGCGTTTTGTCTTATCTTTGGTTAATGGGCATTTTGTCATATTTTTGGTTATTGGGCGTTTTGTCATATTTTTTGTTTTTGGACATTTTTAATTAGCCTCAAATTTTTAAATTTTTATACCAATACAACGAGCTTCTCCTCCTCCAATTCTCCACTCGCTGTGGAAGGGTTGTATAATAAATCGTCCCCCAATAATTTTGTGGTTATTGTAACGGTCAAAACAGTGATGAAATTTGTGGGTTTCAGCAGAAATTCCAGAGAGGAAAAATAATAAAAATGTTAGTAGAATCATTTTTAGAGGGTCAAAGAAATTTTTTTTTGAATTTTTGGAAAATCTGAGGTGTATTTTTGTGTGTGATTTTTGTTCTTGAATGATATAATGACCTAATTTTAAGCAGGATATATTTGAAGGTGAATTAGCGTGACTGAATGAATGAAAGGGAATTTTTTTGTGTTAGCCGGCGCTTGCATTTTTTTGATAGCCTTTGATGTGTTAATAATCACTTTTACTTGTGTGTGTTTGTTACTTTTAAATTAAATATAAGGTGAAAAGAGGAAGGGGTAAAAGCAATGTAAGGGGGGGTTGTAATTTGTAAATGCTTCAAGTTCTGATTTTAAGTTTCTTTTTCTGATTTTTTTTAAAATTCAAGTAAGTTTATTTTCTCTGTTTTTGTAATTGCTTCAAGTTTTATTTTCTTCTGATATGAGAAGGAATTTCTGATTTAAGTTTATTTTTTCTGATTTTGTAATTCTGTTTCAGGTTTTATCTTTTTTTAATTATTTTTCACAATTCAAGTTTATTTTCTGATTTGTGATTGATTCAAGTTTATTTTGTAATTCTGCTTCAAGTTTATTTTTTGTAAAATGTGTGTTTCGAGTTTTATTTTCGATTAAATAAGATGTATAAAGATGAATATGTAAACTTAAGCAAAAAAATATTCATACCTCAAACACTTTTACAAAATAAAATTAAAAAGTATTTATTCTGTCTTCCTCTTCATTTTTAAATACATTTTTAATATTACTCATCCTTCTTGTCCAAAATCTTTCTTAAATTCATCTAATTTGTGCAAATCTGCTGCATTAACTGTTGGCTTTGTACTCATTAAAGATTTGATCATGTCATTCTTTTTTAAGAAAAAAATTTTTTTGGGCTTAGAAAAATTTAAAAAAAACCATAGAAATAACTGGCTCGCTTAATTTATCAGACGGCACATCTAACCATGACATTTCAATAGCGCCAGCATCACCAGGCGAACAAGGAGTCAATAAATCATGAACAATTAATTTTGCATCGAGTGGGGAAGGTCCACTAACCTTTAAAATTAATTTTAAAAAAAGCCACCGATTATTTTCGGGAGGCTTTAAAGATTATTTTCGGGAGGGAGGGGGCTGGTTTAAGTCCCAACCATAAACCATTGGGACTGCAAATAGAAATGAGCTAGGTATAGAAAAAAGTCGGGCTTGGTTTCAGTCACCACCTTGACCCATCCCTAATGGTCATTAAATTTTTAAAAACGTATTCTTGAACCGGTGGGTATTAAATCTAAAGGAAGCTTATAATGAGTGAATGTATAGTTTAAAAAAATAAAATAAACCCGTTTAAAATGAGTAGCATCTTGAACTTTTCTTACTGGCTGCATCAATGCATCTCTTACAACCATAGAAATATCATGCCCTGAATAACCCTCAGTTTTTACTGCTAATTCCTTAAAATCTGCTTCAGTTAAGCTTGTATGTGTATCTCCAATGTGTAATTTAAACATGTCTTTACGAGCATTTGTGTCAGGAAGAGGAATATAAATGCGTTTCTGAAGGGAGGGAAAATTTTTTAAAAAATTTTTAAAAAGGAGAAAAACCTCAAAACGACGTCGAATAGCAGCATCTAAAACCCATGGAATATTTGTTGCTCCTGAAAGAATAATTTGGAAAATTTTGAAATTTCTATTAAAAAAATACCTAAAACCAAAATTCCTTCCATGTCATGGCCAACACCTTGCATTTGAACAAGAAATTCAGTTTTTATTCTCCGAGCAGATTCGGATTCGTTATCGGATCTGAAAAATGATTTTTTTGAATTAAAAAAATTCTGAAGTAAAGATTTTTTAAAGAAACCTTGATGAACACAAAGAATCAACTTCGTCAATAAAAATAATGGAAGGCTTATTTGTTCGTGCCATCTCAAAAAGCTGTCGAACAAGTCTTTAAAATTATTTTTTATTAATTTTTTTTAATTTTAAGATACTTTTCCGATTCTCCAAGCCATTTTGAAACTAAATCACTGCTGGAGACGGAAATGAATGTTGAATTTTGTGCTTCAGTTGCAACAGCTTTGGCAATATAAGACTTTCCAGTACCTGGTGGTCCAAAAAGTAAAATTCCTCGCCATGGTGTGCGCTTTCCTGAAAGGTTAAAAATTTTTTAGAAAATTTTTTTAATATTCCAAAGGGATGAGAAACTAGAAAATAAGGGGAAAAATGTTTTCCTCCCCAAAAAATTTTTTTTGGTCGAGAAATTTTGGGGAAAATTTTTTGTTTCTCCTACGAGAGAATAAAGGGAGAAAAATAAAAAAGCTTCCCCAAAAAAAAGAATTCCTAAATGTCCCCAAAGGCGCCTGGTGCTTTTTCTCTTTCTCTAACTAAAAACAAAAAATATATTTTTTTTGTTTTGTGGCCATTGCTTTTGTTGTTAGCATTAAAACTAGAAAAAGCAAGTGTATAGACTATTCGATAAAAATCTGCCTTGTCCTTTTCCTCTTTGTATCTTTAAAAGCGCTAAAAAGGGGGCAGAAAGAAGCAAAAAAAGTTTTGAAAAGTTTAATTTACAAATTGTAAAATAAATAGAAAAAATAATTCGCCTGTTTTACAATTTGTAAAAAAACAAATAAATTCCGCCTGCTTCAGAAAAATATAAAAACTTGAGAGAAAAGCAACAACAATTTTACAATTCAACTTTAATAAATTCCGCCTGTTTTACAATTTGTAAAATAAATTCCGCCTATTTTACAATTTGTGAAAAAATAAATTTCGCCTGCTTCAGAAAATACAAAAACTTGAGAGAAAAACAACAACATTTTTACAATTCAATTTAAAAAACTCCGCCTGTTTTACAATTTGTAAAAAATAAATTCCGCCTGTTTCATACAATGTCTTCTTCAAAAATAAATTATAATAACAACACAAATCCAATCCCCAATAATAACAAACAAAATTACGCTTATCAATCACTAGTTTTCCCTTTAGGCGCAATCGCCGCATTTGGATTTTTAGCCAACCTAATGCTTTTAAGCTATATCTGCTGCCGTCGTCTATATAGAAATTTTGTTTCTTCCCATTTTATTGCCCATCTTTGTGTTACTAATATGATTGGGCTTGGAGTTTTGGTCCCCTTATTTTTGGCAAATTTGTGGTCTGGGACACATTTATGGCCAAATAATAATATGGCGTGTAGAATTCAGGTTTTTTTCGACTAAAAAATTTCAAAAAATTTTCAAAAATTTTTCTAGACATTTCTAATGTGTTCTGAATGGACGGTTGTTCACTTTATGACCCTTTGCATTGCTGGAGTTCATTTACTTACATTTGCTCGCATTCATTATGCCCAACTTTTTGGCCTTCCCCCAGCTTATTTGTGTGTGCTAGCTTGGATAGTAGCATTTACAATTGCTTTACCGTGTATTACAAATTCGCATATTGTGGTGCATGATCCGGTAAAGGATTTTTTAAAAATATTTTTTTAGAGTAAGATGGATGGGAAGGGATCTTGGGGGACTTGAGAAAGGATCTTGAGACAGAAAACCCTTGGAGATATCTTGGAGACAGAAAAATCGATTTATGACCCAAAAACCGCCAGAAATCCACGAAATTTTTGTAAATAGGACCAGCATGATCCCCGATGCAAAGATAATCCCAAAAATGCCTGGCAGTCTTCCCAAAAAAATTTTTTAATTTCAATTTTTAGGTGCTCAGACATTGTGTATGGGGCAGTACAGATTACAGCTACAAATTTCTAACTTATTTACTTATTCTATGTGTGGGCCTCCCTGTTGGCTTGTCATATTATTCGTATATTAAAGTATTAAAAATACTTTATCATTCTCCTATTGTGTTTCAAAGTATTGGACTTTACAAAAGTCGATTTTTGGTTTATGCTTTTTTGGCAGGGTAAATTTTTGAAAATTTCAAAAATTTTTTTAAAAATTTCCAGGCCTTTATTCCAAGTCCCTTTTTATGTTATTACAATGAGTGGAACGTGGCGCTTTGGCCCAGATTCGGCAATTCCTGTTCTGGCAATGTTTTTGGGTTATGCCCCTTCAGCCATTTCTCCTCTACTTTATGGACTTTCATTAGCACAGATGAAAGAGGAGGATATGGCTTTAACTGCTAGAGCACATAAAAGTGTTATGGGGGCACAAGCACAGCAACACCACCACCACCCTCACCAAAATCAACATATTGGGCTTACACAGAATTTATAGGGAAAAAATTGAAGGAAAATAGAGAGATGATTTTAGAGGGAGATTGGGCCTAGTGAAAATTTTAAATAAATTTTTGTTTAAAAAAATTTTTTGGAACATGGCGTATATTCCAAAAGCAGCGGAACTCGCCACATTGTTTAGTAATCGCTATTTAAAAAAGAGGGAACCTAACAATAAGTAAAAAATTGTCATCCTAACCCCTAAATTTTTTTTATTACTAAAAACAGCAAACCTTTAAACAAATGTGGAAACTTTATTGGCAAAATAACAGCTTCCTTCAATGCCTCTTTAGCACCATCTAACCCAGCAATATCCTCCCATTTAACATTTGGTTTTTCGACTACAATAGCTTTATTTATAGCCTTTTGAAATTTTTTATTTCCATCTTCTTCATCGCCGCTAGAATCTTTATCGTCTTCTTTAACTGGACGTTTGCCTCCTTTTGAATTGTTTGAGGTCTTTTTGATGTGATCCTGAAAGAGAGATATTTTTTAAAAATTATTTTAGAATTTTTTGAGGGGTAGTGGAGGGACAAAGAGACGTCGACAAAATATCCAAAAAAAATTTGCGAGGGACAAGTGAAAAATAAAACGACAGCAAAGGGACGTAGAAACGACGAAAACAAAATTCAGAATTTTCCTCAAATTCCTCCAAAATTCAAAAAGAAAAAAACCTTCAAATCTTCAGCACGTTTCATGTACTCTTGCATTCGTTCACGAATAATTTCTTTTTGACGCTCAGCTTGGCATTCATCTAAAAATTAGGTATGTTTTTGTTTAATAAATTCGAAGAATGAGGCTCTGTGGGCGGAGGTAAGTAAGGATCTTTCGTGGAAAGATTTTTAAGTAATAAAAAAGGTTATGGGAGAAAATGGAAGCTGAGGATAAGGATCCGAAAAAAGTCAGGATCCCGAGAAAATTTTCGGTTAGGATACCGGATCCAGGGATTACCAGGATTCGCCAACCCTATTAAGGACTAATAATTACAAGGAAAATTTTTCAAAAAATTTACATTTTAAAGCATGCATAAAATATTCACAAGATCCAGTATAAAGCCGCAATGCTTCCTCATAATTTTTATTTTTGTCTTCATCAGTTGCACGGGTTACAAGTTCTATAGCCTTTTGAAGTGCTGTAGAGGCAGTCATTTAAATATAATTTAAAAAATACAAGAGATTAAATCTAAAATAAAAAACAAAAAAATTAAAAGCTGATAATTAAAGAAAAAAAACAAACAAAAACCGATGAGTAAGCCAGGAAAATAGCTTTTGACCGAATTTAAAAGTCGACATTTTGAAATTTATTTGAGTTAAAAAAGTAAAAATGTATTTTTTCATAGTGTCGAATTATTAAAAATCTCTAAAAAATTTTTTTAATTTTTGCTTTATTTAAGTTGTTGTTTCTGTTGAGTTTTGGTCCTGTTTTTTCTTTGTACAAATTTTTTTTCTTTAAAATTTAATTTTTATCTAATTCTAGGTTGTTTTAGAAGAATATTAACAGCCACAAAAATGCTTGGGTCAATTCTTAAAACGTCTCGTCTCGACATGCTCTTGGCTTCGTCAGAAAGGTTAAAATTCGTCCTAATTTTCATTATCCCCCTTTTTAGATTTCTTTCGACAACTCAATTCCTTACTCGTGAATGGAATCTGGACGGTTTTTAACTTTAAATTTCTTCCTAAAGTTTATTTTTAGATCCAAAGCAGAAGGCTCTCTATAAACTTTATCGAGCTGAACGGGTTACTCCAAGTGTTAGAGGCGTTGATTTGCTCAAGTCTCCTGATTTGAATAAGGTTTTTTTCTTTTCGAATTCATTGATTTTTTCTTTTTTAAAGGGAATGGCTTTCTCTCTCCAAGAACGCCAATATCTTGGAATTCATGGTCTGTTGCCTCCAGCGTTTATGACAGAAGAACAACAGGCTTACCGAGTGATTTCTAAATTGCGTAAACAGCCTAATGATTTGGCCCGCTATATTCAATTGGATGCGCTTCAGGTCTCAAATTTGATTCTATGTAAGGATGAAGGGTTAGGAGAAGGATTTCCTCTACCCAGAGGTCAGACCTGGACATTTTCTGAGCTTTCTTGGTTCTTCTTGGCTCCGGATAGGATTCCTAGACTCCGGTTCCAGTTCAGGAAAGAATTCCAGAGTCTAACAATAAGACAATTCTTGTTTCCTGGATGGGGGCCAGGACTCCTTACCTCCACATTTTGTCTTTGTTTCTATTCCCAGAATCCTGGCCCAAAGTTTATAAAACCTCTGTTTCTAATTCTAAAATCTTTCTTTAGGACAGAAACGAGAAATTATTTTACCGTGTTTTGTGTGATAATTTGAAGGAATTGATGCCGATAGTGTATGTTTTTTGGTTGAAGATTCTATTTTCAATTTTGTTTTTATTTTAGTTACACTCCAACTGTTGGTTTGGCATGTCAGCAATTTGGCTTTATTTATCGAAATCCAAAGTTTATTTTTTTGATTAGAATTTTTTAAAAATTTTCATAATTTTTAGAGGTGTCTACATTACTATAAACGACAACAGCGTCAGTAAAATATACCAAATTTTGAGGTTTTTTTAAATTTTTTCGGAAATTTTTCAAAAAAAATTTTTCTCTAGTAATTGGAAATTCAACGAAATCAAAGCTATTGTGGTTACCGATGGAGAAAGAATTCTTGGATTAGGCGATTTGGGAGCTTACGGAATTGGCATTCCTGTTGGAAAATTGGCTTTGTATGTTGCTTTGGCTGGTATACAACCTAAGTGGTGTTTGCCTGTTTTAATTGATGTTGGGACTGATAATCAGGAATTGCTGGATGAGTTGGTTTTTCGTAATTTGAAAATAGATTTTAAGATGGGACAAGATGTCCATTTTTGGATTTTGGGACGAAATGTCCATGTTGGATTTTGGGATAAAATGTCCATTTTTGTATTTTGGGATAGAATGTCCATTTTTGTATTTGGACAAAATGTCCATTTTGAATATTTTTTTTAATTTTATTTTTTCAGTCCTTTCTATATTGGTTTACGTCGCAATAGAGTTACTGGACCAGAATATGATACTCTTTTGGATAATTTTATGAAAGCTTGTCGAAAGAAGTTTGTCTCCTTTTTGGAATAAATTATTAAAAAAATGTCATTGATTTAGGTATGGCCAAAATGTATTAATTCAATTTGAAGATTTTGGCAATAAAAATGCTTATCGTCTATTGGAGCGTTATCGGAATGATTATTGCATGTAAATTTAAAAATTTTTTTTGGAAATTTTTAAATAAAAATTTTCAAAGGTTCAACGATGATATTCAAGGAACAGCTTCTGTAGTTGTTGCCGGATTACTTGCTTGTACACGTGTTACAAAAAAGAAAATGTCTGAAAGTTCCTATGTTTTTTTGGGTGCTGGAGGGGTATTTTAAATTTCGTTGATAAATTTTTTGTGATTTTTAGGCAGCTTTGGGTATTGCTGAAATGGTTGTATTACAAATGCAAAATGAAGGTTTATCAAAAGAAGATGCTTGTTCAAAAATTTATTTGATGGATGTTGATGGGTAAGTGAAAAAAAAAATTATTTTTAAATTTTTTTATTAAAAATAAATTCTATAAGGTAAGTTGTGTTGGGAGTTTTGTATATATTTCATGAGTATGAAAAGTTTGTATTTTGCTTCCGGAAAAGTTGTATTTTACTGTTTTTATTTATTTTCTGTTTTCTGAAAAAGTTTTAATTCTGAAGTTTCAGAATTTAGCTTTTTTTGAATTCTGATTTTATTTTATTTTTGTATTTCATTTACTTTTAATTCTGATTTTCGTAATTAAGTATTTAAGTAAGATTCTTTATCTAACAATAAATATTTATTTAAAAATTGTTTTATTTTATCAAAAAGCTCTTTAACACATTGGGTTGTTCCTCGTCCCTGAAATTTGTGGTTTCCGTGACACTGCCTTTTTGGAAAAAATTTACTCAAAGTTCCCTTCCCAAAGGAGAACAAACCCTACTCTTCAATATATATTTTTTAACATAAAAGATTTGTTTAGAAATTTTTAAAGAGCTTTTCTGATTTATTTTTTTTATCTTTCTTCTCTATTTCTTTATAGTTTACGCAAACAGACTTCTACAGATAATGATTAGTGGGTATATTCTGGATATTTAAAATAAAGGGAATGTGGTTTTTTAATTTTTATTTGGAAAATTTTTTGTATTTTTTCATTTTTTATGGTATTTTTGGGTTTTTTAATTTTTAAAGAATTTTTTGGGAATAATATTTGATCAATTTTAATATTTTTTAGTTCAAAAAATGATTTCCTAATTTTCCAGTTTAATAACAACCTCTCGCAAAAATATTGAAGATCGTCATATTCCATTTGCTAAAAATATGGAACCAACACGTTCCCTTCTAGAAGTTGTCAAAACTGTTCGTCCTAATGCATTAATTGGAGCTTCAACAGTTGGAGGTGCTTTTACAAGAGAAATTATTGAAACTATGGCAGAAATAAATTTGCGTCCAATAATTTTTGCGTTGTCAAATCCAACAGATAAGGCTGAATGTACGGCTGAAAATGCTTTTAGATATACCAAGGTTTTTCTTTTAAAAATTTTTGGAGGATTTGATTTAAGTTTCCAGACTTCGATATGAGCGATATTTGCCATTAGAAAGAGTTCGTAGACTCCCCCTACCCTCTGGCTACGGGCTTGTCCCAAGTGTTTAAAAACTATGGAGGCAAGCTGATTTTTGGAGATCAAAAAAATTCATTGCTCATTTTAAAGAACCTGTCTCTCTATGCTTTTTTGATTTTCGAGGTTCTGTGTTTCCCATATATGAGACCGCGGACTGTTTCTGCTACCATTCGACGGGCTTTTTTGAATGACTTTCTTCGACCATATAAGAGTCAAAGCCTCGAAGATTTTTCTAATTAAAAAATTTTTTAAGGGAAGTGTTCTTTTCGCATCTGGTAGTCCATTCAAAAATGTTGAGATGCATGGACGTATATATAAACCTGGACAGGGAAATAATGCTTATATATTTCCGGGTATTGCATTGGCTGCAATTTTGTTCAAATTGTCAACAATTAACAATAATTTGTTTTTGTTAGCTGCTAATGTATTTTTTTTAATTTTTAAAAGTTTTTTGAGGACTAGATTTGGGAGCAGAACCAGTCTATCGGGCGTGCCTATTCTGTGAGAATCATAGCTGGGGTTGTCAGTTTTTACTAGCTTCTTTTGGAACTAAGGCTCTTATAGCCACTCTAAAATTTGATTCTTGAATTTTGGTTAACCGAGAAATTGAATTGGATTTAGCTTGGTGAGTACGAAAAGACGTACCAAACTCTAGGTCCTCCCTTTATGAATTTATTGTTATATGTAAGCCCTGAAATTGACTTGGCTCTAATTAGATATAGATTTCCGACAAGGGCGTATCCAGGGGGGGGCTGGGGGGGGCTAGAGCCCCCCCCGAAATGGGGGAAAGGGGGAAAAAATTAGGAGAAGGATGGTCGAAAAAGTGAAATTTTTTCGCCTACAACCTTCAAATTTTAAAAAATTTTCGCCTGCGGCGCAAAAAGTGGAAGAAATCTGGCCTCTTGAGCTCCAAAATCCTCAAAATTTTCGCCTGCGGCGCTAAAAAAAGAAGAAATCTGACTTCTTGGGCTCTAAATTCCAAAAAATTTTCGCCTGCGGCGCAAAAAGTGGAAGAAATCTGGCCTCTTGAGCTCCAAAATCCTCAAAATTTTCGCCTGCGGCGCAAAAAAAAAGTGAATTTTTTTGGCCTACGGCCTTTCAAAATTCAAAAAATTTTTGCCTGCGGCGCTGAAGTGATGAAAATTTATGTACAAAAAATTTGCGTCCGGAACGCCAAGGTAAACGCCAAAAATTTTTGCGCCCACCCAGTGTTAGCCCCCCCCCGAAACCGACCCCCTGGATACGCCCTTGATTTCCGATAAATTGGTAGGTTCTTGGTAGACTTGGCTTCGATAGACTCCTGATAGACTGACTTGTTCCCTAAAAAATTTTTTTAATAATAATTTTTTTAAAGACTGTTGCTGAATGTGTAAGCGATAAATGTTTAGCAGAAGGACGTATTTATTCTCGGCTTAAAGATATTAAAGAAATTTCTATCAAAATTGCTATAAAAATTGCCAATGAATGTTACAAAGATGGAACAGCAAAATTATATCCTGAACCTGAAGATAAAGAAATGTTTATCAGATCTCAACTATATTCGGTCAAATATGAGGATTTAATTAATGAGACATATGAATGGCCAGCACAGGATATGACACACGGATTTCCGTTTCCTCCGGTTTTTATTTTTTTAATTTTAATTTTTTCTTTAATGGGTGGACTTGAATTGGGCTTTTAATTTTTTCGGGGTTAAAAATTCTGAAATTTTGTAAATTCTTTTTATGAATGGAGAATAGGTTATGGCCGTTCCTTGAATTATTTTCGAGTTGAAAAATTTTTTCTGGGAAGAATTTTTTGAAAAAATTTTTTATATTGTAAGGACCAAGACGAAAGCGAATTATTGTTGTTTCTTGATTTTTTTTCAAATTTTTTAGACAATTTTAATTTTTTTAACGGACAATAGATTCGGTCAAATATGAGGATTTATGGTGACCGTTCCTTGAATTTTTTTTAGTAATTGGAATTTTTTGGGATTTTTTTTTAATTTTTTATTTTAAGAGAACCTTGAAGATTCCTTGAATTTTATAATTTAAATTTCTATTTTTTAAGGTGAACAGGGACAGTATGGATGACTAAAAGACTTCTAATTGGCATAGAAAAATCTCTACATAAATATATCAAGTTTTTTTTCTTATTTTTCTGTGCATAATCAACAAAATACTCCCGAGTGACTGCCTAAAATTAATCTAATATTTTTAAAAAAATAGTATGTATAGTGCAATTCTATTCATATTTATAATTAGGATCTTTTCCCTTTTTTCTGTTCTCTAATGAGACTTATAATTGTTAATATATTAATTTAAAAAATATTTTGGGGTGAATTTTTTGGAATTTTTTTTTGAAATTTTTAATGGTTGGAAAAAGCATAAGAGATAAGTTCCTCATTCTTCCTTAATTCCAAACTTTAGCAGTCCAACTTTTACTGGCCATAACTTACAATTAGTCCAACGTCAATTTGCAAGAAAACGGATATCACTTTGCAATAGGAAGTCCGGGGTCCTCTATCGAATGAAACCAAAAAATATACCAGATTTATTATCACAGTAAACGATGGTCCCTTTTAATTGAACAAACCGAGCAAAAAAATTTCAATCGCCCTAATATATTTTTTTTTATTTTTCCCTTCTTTTTCCCATAAAAATATTAATTATAATTATTTAGTATTGTTTATTGTTAGTATAGTCAAAAAGAAAATCTTTTTTTATTAATCATTTCCTTCTCCATGTCGTAATTTTACCATTATTTCTCCTAGCATTTTGTTGCACATGGCTGCATATCTAAAATAATATTTTTTTGAAGAATAGATTTAAGAAAATATTTTTTAATTGTTAAATTGATTTTTTAAATAATCATTTTAATTATTTTTTATTTTCATTAATTTTCTTAATTTTTGATTGAAAAAAAAATTTAAAAATTTTTTAAAAAAATTTTGAATTTTTTTGTAAAAAATTTTCGAAATTTTTTTGAAATTTTTCAAAGAAAAACTCACGGATTCATAGCTACCAATTGTTTTTTGGCAAAGCTAGATCCCAATTCTGAAGCTTTTTCGAATTCAATCTTGAAAATAATTTTTTTAATTTTCTAGATTTTCTAAGGAAAAGAAACAACCTTTGCAAATTCCTCCTCTCCATTTAAACGATGAATCAAAGCAAGTTGAACATATGCCTGTGCAGCGCAATTACCCTTGCCTTTACTTAAATCAAGTGACTTATTCAAATCAAGTCGAGCTTCATCAAGCTTTTTCATAAGAAGATATAGCTGTGCTCGATTGTTGTAAACAGATGGATTTTGTGGGCAAATCTTTAAAAATTTTTTTAAAAAGGAGTTGGTTGCAGGTTTAATTATATTTTTTAAGATTAGATTTTTTGAGGGATTTGAGGATTTTTTATGAAATTTTTTAATGAAACTTTCTTGGATTTTTTTCATTTTTTTTAATTTTAGATATTTTTTTAAAGTTTTTAGTGCCTTTTTTGTCCTTTAATTTTTAATTCTGAAATTATTTCCTAGACTTTTTTGGATTTTGGTGGCAATATTTGTCTTTGCTTTTTTTTGAGATTTTTGTCTTTTTTTTGGCCCTTAATTTTCTATTTTTAATATTTTTATTTTTTTTGTTATTTTCTCGTCCATTTTTCGTCTCGATTGATTTCCAACTTTTATTTAAAAAATTTTCTTTTTAAAAATTCACAAAATTACTTCAATAGCACTATTAAACTTTTCCAAAGCCTCTTCCAATTTTTCTTCCTCGGCCAACTTTACACCTTCCAAATTTTGAATTTCACTTTCTTTGTAATTTTGTAAATGTGAATAATCCTCTAGAAAATTTTAAATTTTTTTAGAATTTTCAAAAATTTTTCTAACCTTTATTTTCTTCCTTCTCCTTTTCATTTTCAAAATTGAAGGGTAAATTTGGATTTAAAATCATATGCAAAACTTCCTGAAAAATTTTTTTATTCAATATTTTTTTAGTCGAAAAAGTGACCAACCTTATCCCTTTGTGAACACATTTTTCTAAAAATTATCTGAAATTTTTTCGATTTTATTTTCGCGTGATTAACAAAAATGAGAAGGAATAATTAAAACAACTTTTAATTAACACGCGCTCTCCTCCACCTTTGTTTTTCTTTATTAGTTTAAAATTGATTACTCTGCAAAAACGTGATTAATCGTTCCTTTATATTTTTCCTTCTTTTGCTCTCTAAAATCCGCAAGTTTTTTTCTGCAAATTTTTATTTCATCCGAAACTAAATTTATTTTTTCACCTCTTCCTTTTTTCTCTTATTTTTTTACAAAGTAAATATTAAATAGCTTGCTGATAAAAACTTGCGGACTTTTTGGGAGATTCGAGTTTTGGAGATTCGACTTTTTGGGAGATTTGATAATTTTTAATTTAATTTTTTTTTTCCAGAGATTTTGATAATTAAAAAAATATTTCTTTAAAAAATGCTCATCACTAATTCATTTCGCAATATTACAAAAAGAGCTTTTTCTCTATCATCACCTTCAAGAACTGGAGTGGTTCCTTTAGGTTTTTTTAAAAATATTTTTTTTAATTTTAAAATATTTTTTTAAGTTCTTGACAATGATGGACGTGTTGGTAAGTTATTTTTTGTATGAAAATATTTTTTTAATTTTTAGAACGTTTTTACGACATTTATTCTCGTTTATTAAAGGACAGGATTATTTGCGTTATGTCCCAGGTATCAGAATAAAATTTAAAAATAGTTAAATGTGTTTTTGAAAAATACAAAAATCAGAATATTTAAAAATACAAGGAAAATAAAATCAGAATTAAAAGAAAAACACAAAACTTTAAATAAATATTACTTTCGGAAAATACAAAATCAGAAATAATGTGTTGAGCATAAAAAAAATAAAATCAGAATTATTTTCAGAAAAACACAAATTTAAGTAAACAATATCAGAATTTCTGGTAATATTAGAATGTGTTTTTCCGGAAAATACAGAACCAGAATAAATTAAAAATACATGTCAGAATACAAGATCAGAATTTTCAGAAAAACACATTTTAAAAATCAGAATTTCTGGAATTAAAATATGTTTCCGGAAAATACAAAACCAGAATAAAATACAAATTAAAAATACAAAATCAGAATTATTTTTAGAAAAACACAGTTTTAAATTAATTTATTCTTTCCGGAAAACACAAACCCAATAAATATTACAACTATAATTTATTTTAAATTTTGCATTTTCTCTTTTTTTTATTGACAGATTAATGATTACACAGCAGCATCGATCATTGCACAATTGTTGTTTCTTCAAGGAGAAAGTGGAAAAAGTCCGATAAATATGTACATAAATTGTCCGGGTATTTTTTTTTAATAAAAGGATTTTATTAATTTTTTTTTAATTTTTTAGGTGGTGTTGTCACTGCAGGCTTAGGCATATATGACACGTAATTTTGAATATTTTTTATTTGGTCAAAAATTTTTTTATAAATTTTTCATTTAATTGAAAACATTTTTTTAATTAAAAAAAAATTTTTTTTAAGATTTATTTTCTTAATTAAAAATTTTTTTTTATTTCGTTAGGATGCAATACATTTCTGCGCCAGTTTCAACTTGGTGTAAGTGAAAATTTTTTTTAATTATTAATTTCTGCTCTTCAGGTATTGGACAAGCATGTTCAATGGGAAGCTTATTATTAGCAGCGGGAGAGAAGGGAATGCGTGTTTCATTACCAAATGCACGAATTATGGTTTATTTTTGTTTAAAATTGAATTTTTTCAAAAATTCCAATTTAAAGGTCCATCAACCTTCTGGAGGTGCACAAGGAATGGCTTCTGATGTTTTAATTATGGCTGAAGAATTGAGCCGAAATCGAGAACGTTTGAATGAAATTTATGCTCATCATACAGGGCAGACAGTAGAAAAAATTGCTGAGACGTTGGACAGGTTTTTTTTAATTTTGAAAAATTTTTGATGAGAAAATATAATTAAGGGATCGCTTTATGAGTGCTAGCGAGGCATTGGAATTTGGTTTAATTGATAGGATTGAAAATCACAATGGATCTTCACCAGCTATTAAAGTTTAGGTTAAAAAGGTTTTTTATTTTTTTATAATTAAGAAGGCATGTTTACGGTTACAGATTTTAATATCTGTATCCAATTAAAAAATTTTTTTGGGTATATCCGTATTCGTTTGTGTCCGCGACTTTTTGACCATATTCGCCTGTGGGTATCCGCGAATGTATCTGGGTTTTTCTTAAAGTGATCAGAACTCAAAATTTTTCAAAAGGGTCTATCCACGGATATTATCCGTATCCGTGAACATGTCTGGAATTAGATAATGTCAAAATAATAATATTTGTTGTAAGTAATTTAAAAAAATGTCAATTAAAAATCATAAGAAAATTGTGGGTTTATTTTCCTTTCAGTTTAACCTTAATTTTTCAAGTTTCTGACACTACCTCCTCCCTAACACTCAACCTCATTTTTAACCATTTAGAGAGGTGTTTAACTACAAAAATTAATATTTTTGTTATATAGTCTTTCCCTTTAAAGTGAACTGATAAGAGAATGAATGAAAGGTGGCGGTTTTATAAGGAAAAAGGAAAAAAATTTTCGTCTCATTTTCTTCTTTCCTCTTATCAAAAAATAGGAAAATGTACCAATTTTTAAGGAATATAAAAATTTTTTTTGTTGCTCTATCTCTTACTAAAAAAATTTTGTGGGCATTCTTTTTTCATATTTTCTCTAAAACATTTCTAATTTCTAACTATATTTCTAACTATATTTTAAATACAAAAAAAATATTTTTTTATATTTACTTAATTGCCCGGTCAATTATTAATAAGTGGTTTGATTTTCCAATATTTATTTAAAATATATTTGAGGAGGGGAGGGACTCTGATTGTGAATATTATTAGTGCTTATCTCTCTAAATTGTGTTATACAAACATTAACTATATTAATTACTATCTCCATTTTTCTTTACTTTTAAGAACGGCTTTTTAATTTTTATTTTAGAATTTTGATAATTCTTGGCCTAAAAATTTTTTTTTGATTCTTGGCCCTTTTCTTAAAAACATTAATTCTTGACCTTTCTTTTAATCTCCTGATCTTTTCCTTAATTTGTAGACCATTCAATCTAGTCTTAAAAAACGTTCAAAATAAAGCGCGATTAGAAGTGCATAAAATCGTTTTTATTAAAAAAAATTAGCTGATATTATGCACCTTCTTATTGCGCTTATATGTACGTTAAAGAAAATGAGACGAAATAATTCTTTTTCCTTTTATTGAAGAAAAATATTTCTAATATTCTAATTCTTAATGATCAGTGGCTTCCTGGTTCTCTGAACCGGTTATGTAAATGAAACCAATAAAAATGGGAATCGTCCAGTGCCGGGTCAGGGAAGGGGTCAGGAATAGGAACCGGGTCATTAACAAATTGGGTCAAGGTTTCGGATCGAATGACTGGGGTTTCGAATAACTCAGCCCATCCCCGGAATGTGTTGCCAAGCCATGCTAATTAAAGAATTTATTTAAATATTTAAAAATAAAAAATATAAATAAGGTAATTAAAATACCCATGTATAAAATTTAAAAAAATATCCGTTTTTGATGTACATCACTAGAAATTTGGTCAAGAATTGGGTGTCAATCAAAAAAATCTTAGTTTACCAGCGATGATCACAAATAAAATTATGCGCATAAATTGAAGAAAAACCAGCAAAAACAATACCCAAAGAGTCAGCTATAGTGGCAAAACTTATGCAAAATTCGCGGTTTGCTTTTGAGACCTTTAGAAAATTTAGAAAAATTTTTGGATTTTTTAAAAAAATTTTAGAAAATTTTTTTACCGTTCTGTGTATAGCACTAAACGTATTAACATAAGCAGCACCGCCTAGCAATCCTTCGTAGAAAATAATAAACATAAGTAAAATAATATGTGGTAAATGGGCCAATCCATTAAGGGATTCAAAGAAAAGTAGCAAGGCATTTAAAATTTGAAGAAGGGCGAGTGATGGGAGTAGTGATGCTCTTATTGGGAAGAATTTGATTGATGAACGGCTAATAAATACGCCTAGCTAAAAATAAAAGAATCAGAATTTGTGTATTTTTAAAGAGATAGGGAATAGTTGAAGGTTTCCGGAAAATACAAAAATCAGAATTATTTATTTTCCGGAAAGAAAATACATACCTAGTATTTTTAGGAGAGTCATAAATAAATCAGAATTTAAATCAGAATTTTTTTCTCTTAGAAAACACACACTTAAAACTTTCCGGAAAATACACAAATCAGAATTTTCTGGAAAACACAAAATATTTTCTAGTGAGTCCAGAATTAAAATCAGAATTTATTTTTTCTTGGAAAATACAAATATCAGAATTATGCGTTTTCCGGAAAACACAAGATTTTCTAGGGAGTCCAGAATTAAAACCAGAATTTTTTAAAATCAGAATTTAAATATCAGAATTATGTGTTTTCCGGAAAATACATAGTTTTTAAGGGTCATAAATAAACCAGAATTTAAATCAGAATTATTTTTGAAAATACAAGCAACCCTAAACTTAAGTTTAATTTGTAAACTTTTCCGGAACATCAGAAATACAAATCAGAATTTTTTGTGTTTTCTTTTAAGGTTATACCTGATAAAGTACTTGATACCACCTATATTGTTGCATAGGGCTAAGGTTAAAAGAAGTTGCACAATTAAAAACGAGTAATTCAAGTAAGCCTTGATTAATAAAATATTCTGAGAAATAAACAATTGCAAGGGGAACCATAAAGCGTAATAAAGGCTGAAAAATTGAGGGGAGATTTTTTAGAAAATTTTTAAAAAATACTTTGGCCATTCGAATCTTTCTCCAAACACTTTTACGTAAAGTTTGACGTGTGTCTAAATGATCTCCATGTAAAAGTCTTTGTAAATCATCTTCGGCAGATGAAGTAAAGGATTCTGTTGTGGTCTAAAATTGAAGAAAAAATTTATTTGGTCAAAAATTTTTTTGGTCGGAAAATTTTTTTGGTAAGAAAAGTCCGCAAGATTTGTCCGCAATTTTATACTTTTTTCCGAAAATTTTCTGGAAATTCCGATTTTGTATTTGTCTGGTAATTTTGGTCTGTGTAATAAAAAAAAAGACAAAAGTCTGCAAGTTGTGTCCGCAAGTTAATCGAAAAAAATTTTTCTTACCGAAGAAAATCCCGTCCTTCTCCTTCCAAAAATGCTTATATTCATTCCATTAAAAGAAGGCCATCGTAGCCAAACTCTGTGGGTTGAAGGTGGACTTTGAAGCAAAAAACCATAGGTAAGCGCCAAAATTGTTGGAACAACCAGCATGGCTAATAAAGCTTGTTTTGCATTTAATCCAAGCATTCGATGGTCTGTAAGAGCGGCAAATGCTAGAGAACCAAAAATTCCTGCTCCGCCGGTTCCGGAAGACCAAAAGGAAATTACATCGCTGAAAATTTTTAATTTTTTAAGGTTTCGGGTTTGTGCAAGAAAAAGTAAAAGTCCGCAAGTTTTGTCCGCAAATTTTGAGTTTTCTGATTTTTGCTGAAATCAAAAATTCTGATTTTTGTGAAGTAAAGAGGTTTAACCCCCCCCCCTCCAAAAAAATAAACAAACTTATGAAAATGTGAAGAAAGTGAAAGATAAGTAATCTCTCCAAGACCAGCACCCAGACTTGCGAAAACCACGCCTTAAAGAAGATTAAAATTTTTAATAGAAAATTTAAAGAAAACCTAAAATTCCCACAAAAATGGTATTCGAATACGCAACAAGTAGATAACTCAAAATTTGAAAATTAACAACCAGCAAGTGTCTCAATGAAAAAGGAATTGTTTGTAACGTGAAGGGAGCTATCAATTTTATCGTAAGGGAAGGTAAAATGTCAGCGAGAAGGATGGCACCAGTAGATATGGTTGAACATTTGATGTATTTTGTGTCTGTCTAAATATAGAAAGGTTTATGAAAATTATTTTTGGGTATTTTTTTGTATTTTTAGTTTTGTCCGCAAGTTTAAAAGAGTCCGCAAATTTTGTCCGCAAGTTGAAAAAATGTCCGCAAGTTGAAAAAAGTCCGCAAATTTCTGTCCGCAAGTTTAAAAGAGTCCGCAAATTTTGTCCGCAAAAATTCAAATTTGTTGTATGTTTTCGAAAAAGAGTCCCAAAGCTTAGAAAAATTTTCTCTTAAATTTATGGACGTCCCCCCCCCCCCCCCCCCCATCATTTTAACTAAAATAAAAAATTAAATAAACTAACAACGCATCCACTGTCAATTGGCGATTCTTCAGATTTTTCAAGAATATCTTTTGCAGCACTAAGCATCACTACATAACCAAAATTATTGCATAAACCAAGTAACCTTTAAAAAAATTTTTAATTAAAGAAATTTAAAAAAAACCAAAAAGCCAATAAATTCCTTCCTTCATTAGCTTCTCGTCGACCACTAGAGAAATTAGTAGGGGATGAATTGTCGTCGGCTTCAGGATCAATACCACTGTTGCTAATCATTAATTGAATAGGTGTGAGTTTAGCTACTGAAAAAAGTAAAGATCCGAAGGCTAGAAGATTTTTAGTTTTGGGATGAAATGTCATTTTTAAAAATAAAGTGACATAATGCCAAAAAAATTTTGTTGTGAAAGAAATTTTGTTTTTTTTTATTTTTCTAGCTTGGGAAAATCTAATCCCTGAAAATCTAATCTAAATCCCTGAAAATTATAAAATTTACATTGAAAATTGTCAAATATAAAAAATTTTGGGAGAGTGACTAGATTGTTTTTGTGTATTTTAATTTTTTACACTTTGAAATACCTTGAGTTTACATTTTGAAGTTCTTCGCGAAATAGTGTATTCTAGAGAAATAAAGTAAATTTTTAAATAATACTCTGTTGGCGATTATTTTGGCATTCCGTTATTATTGATTTTCAGGATTATTGATTTTCCTCTGTTGTCCATTTGTAGCAAAGATGTTCTACAATAGAATGATGTCTTTTCTCTTTTTTAGGGATTAACCTTTTTGAGGGGGTCGGGGGAGTAATGACTTGCGGACAAGACTTGCTTTTTTCAATTTTTAAAAAATATAGCCAATCTTTTTCAGTCTTCACTTCAGCAACAACAACAGCAGCAACAACAACAACATCAGCAACAACTTCAGCAGCAGCAACAACAGCAACACAACAAAAGCTCAAGTTGTCTCTTATGAGATAGCTGGGCACAAAAGCTCAAGTGGTCTCTTCGGAGATCGCTGGGCACAAAAGCTCAAGTGGTCTCTTCGGAGATCGCTGGGCACAAAAGCTCAAGTGGTCTCTTCGGAGATCGCTGGGCACAAAAGCTCAAGTGGTCTCTTCGGAGATCGCTGGGCACAAAAGCTCAAGTGGTCTCTTCGGAGATCGCTGGGCACAAAAGCTCAAGTGGTCTCTTCGGAGATCGCTGGGCACAAAAGCTCAAGTGGTCTCTTCGGAGATCGCTGGGCACAAAAGCTCAAGTGGTCTCTTCGGAGATCGCTGGGCACAAAAGCTCAAGTGGTCTCTTCGGAGATCGCTGGGCACAAAAGCTCAAGTGGTCTCTTCGGAGATCGCTGGGCACAAAAGCTCAAGTGGTCTCTTCGGAGATCGCTGGGCACAAAAGCTCAAGTGGTCTCTTCGGAGATCGCTGGGCACAAAAGCTCAAGTGGTCTCTTCGGAGATCGCTGGGCACAAAAGCTCAAGTGGTCTCTTCGGAGATCGCTGGGCACAAAAGCTCAAGTGGTCTCTTCGGAGATCGCTGGGCACAAAAGCTCAAGTGGTCTCTTCGGAGGTTAGCTTTTTTACTTTATTAAATTCGCAAGTTTTGTCCGCAAAGTTTCTCCCCTAAATAAGTTTATCCGTTCCCAATGTTAAAGCCAATTAAATGGTGGCCAAGTTCTTGTCAAACGAGAAGACGTGCAGCAGATGTTCCATTGGTTAGATGCAATGTTTTGTTTGTTTTGAATGGTTAATCTTTTTGTAGGTTGTTTTTATGTTTAAAAATTTTTTTAATTACTTAATTTTCAGTTTTGAGAGATTATCCAGAAGCCTTGAAAATTTTCATGAGGTTATTTTTAATTATTTACTGTGGTTTCAAGATCATTTTTTAGGCCGGTGAATTGTTGCGGGAAGACCGTCTATTTGATGAGTATGCTTTAGAAGAACAAGAATCAGCAGAAATCCGTTGGTTAGCTGGAGTTGGTCCAGCTGTTGGAAGAAATACCTCCTTTGGAAGATATTGATGATGAGTTGATTGAAGAGCCACAAATAAATGGGGAGGATGGTGGGGATAATAATGATGGATTTATTTTGACTAAAAAGGTTTTCTTTTTTGAATTTTTGAAAGAACTTTTTGGCCATTGTACCGCGAGCCCAATGTACCGCCGAGCTATAACTTTGTTCAATATTTTTGGATCCGTGACGCCCAGGTATGGTTCGATTCAGCTGGTCGAGCCGCACCCAACCATACCAAGGCGCCATGGATTCGACAATTTCGAACAAAGTTATAGCTAGGTGGTAATTTGGCTCGCGGTACGTCGGGTTGTACCCGAATTTTTTGGGAGATTTTTGGAAAGAATTTTTGAATGAGTTTTTTGAGATTTTTTTTCTATTTTTAGAGCAACAAGAAACGCAAACTCCCCAAACTTTCTACTAATGCTGACCAGCCCGATGCTAAAAAAGGAAAGGATAATGTCAACTGGGAAATGAGGAAAGTTTCAATACCTCCTCATCGATAAACTCCGTTAAAGAAGAATTGGTCAAAACTTGTAGCTCCGATTATTAATGAATTAAAAATGCAAATTCGGTTAGTTTATTCTTATTTTTTTTTATTTAATATGACCCAAAAGAAAAAGTTACTCCTTCACCCCTTTTTAAGGCTCTGTAGATGGACGAAGGAATAAATTACCACGGAAAGATTCGGACTAGTCGAACATATGTATCCAGAGTCTAGGCCCATGCATTTTTTGACCTTCCTGGATTTTTCCCAGACTACAGGCCCAGGTCAATAAATCAAACCCCAGAGTCTAGGAACAGGCCCAAGCTTTTCAAAAATATTTATCTCTAATCCGCACCGAAAATTTCGGTTTGGATCTTCGTAATCGCCATCCTTCTTTTATTGGTAGACTACTACTCCCCAAGTTTTCTTCATTTTATATTTTTATCTTCCCAATTTTCCTCCCTCCTATCAATCGTTTTAGTATTTTTCATGAGCTTTAGCATTAATATACAACATTGTGGGGGCGGGGGAAAAATTAATGTTTGGCGACACATGTTCGAATAAACAAAGAAAAAATGAAGGAGAGAAAAGTGTAGATTATTTATTTATTTTTGAAGAAAATTTTTTTAGTCGGAAATCGCTGATTGAACATAAAAATAGTAAAATAATAAGCTAAAGATTTTTAGTAAAAATGCTGTGCAAGTTTTTTTTCTCTCTTTTCTTTTTAGATAGGCTTGAAAAAGAGGTGTAAAGGGAAGAAAAGAGTTTATTTATTTTTATCAATAAAAATTGTACTTGGATTCTCGTTTTTTTTTTTTGAAATTAAAATTTTTCTGAAAATTTTTCGAGTCCATATCGATGTCTTTCCATCCCACTCCTTAGGCCCTATTTTGAACGATACCTTTTTTTAAATGCCTTTATTTTTCTTTTTTTTAATTTTAATATTTTTTACTTAAGCGCAACACAAATAAAAAAAACAAAAAGAAGTTCGCTCTGACCTGGATATTATTTGTGTTGTTCCTTTAAAAATCAGATGAGCCATTTGTCACCACTTCCGCACTACTTTTTTGTGCCGCCAACTAAAAGGTTTTTTAGAAAAAAAAATTAATTTTTTTTAATTTTGAAATTATTTCGTGTGTCCTAAATTCCCAAAAGTTTCTCAAAATTTTATTTGTAAAAAGGATTTTTAAGTTTTAGCCTGGTTTTATTTGGTATTGGGAACCAGAGATCGGCCTGGGTCTGGACCAAGGCCTGGAGTTTTCCTGTACCCAGAGTCCCGGCCCGGGCATTTTTTTTTACCTTCCTGGGGTTTTCCTGTGCCAGTGGCCAAGCCCAAAGCCCAGGAACAGGCCAAGGCTTCTCAAAATTACCGATCTCTATTGGGAAATTTTTTTCCCAATTTTTATGAATTTTCCTGGAATTTTTTTTTAATGAATTTTGGCTTAGGAATTGTGATTTTTCTCCTCTCCCCCCTATTTTTATTTTTTTTTTCTATTTCCCCTTTTTATTTAAATCTATTTATGAGTCAGCGCAACGGAAACTGATTTTTTTCTCATCTCTCGCTCTCTTTGACATTTTTATTATGACTATTTTTAATGACTTTTTTTTCCAGTCAGTCTCTCATTTTTATCATTTTTTTCTGAAAAAATTAGTTTTAAATATTTAAAATAGGATATTTATTTTCTCTCTAAAAAGATTTTCCATATTTTTTTCTGATTTAATTTTTAATAATTAAAAAAAAATTTTTTTAGTTGGCCTATTTAAAATACTTAATACTTTTTCCCCCTAGGAAAGGGACTTCTCCGAACCCAAATTTCCTCACAAACCTTCATTTTTCCGTAGAAACAGTTCACACCCCGGTAAGATTGCCCTCTTTTCTAATGAGAAAACCCAGCTTTTATGGGAGTGATCAGAGAACCCTTATAATTTTGAAAACTTGTGAGACCTTAAGAAAAAAAATTTTTTTTCCTTTTTCTAATATTAATACAGGGTTCGGATTCGTACTTATTTGTAAGTACATACTTACAAATAGACTTTTTGTTTAAAAAATTGAATTTAACCTTTAAAATTCCAAAATGGAAGAAATATGGCTTAAGGACCTCCAAAATTCTCAAAATTTTTGCCTGCGGCGCAAAAAATGGAAGACGTTTTTGCGCCTTCGGCACCACAAAAGTTTTTGAAAAAAATTTTTTGTAGCGTACTTATAGTTTAAAAATTCTTCCCCCTATGTACTTCCAAATTGGACTTTTTGTACTTACACTTAACATTTTCTCGATCCGAACCCTGTATTAATATATGACAAACAAATATATTTATTAAAGAAAACAAAATCCTTTTTTAAAAAATTTTGTTTTTATTCACTTGTATTTATGTATATCCTCTCTCTTTTCTCTCCTCTTGGTTGATCAACTAAAACTGCTAAACTAAATTCTTCTTTCTGTCAAAATAGAAAATAAAATATTTTATTTACTCCTCTAAAAATAAATATTTTAAGTCTATTTATATAAATAAATCACTCTTTTCTTTTTCTCTTTGTGATCTCGGTCTCCTAAAAATCCCGTAGAGAAGAGAGAAGGGTGTTTAAACTAGCATATAAGTGGAGTAGTTTAGTGGTTCTTCTTCCCCCTATAAATTTTTATTTTTAATATGTCGGCATTCTTTGTTTAATAAATAAATATTTGTGTGTCATCTCCTATTGATTTTAATCAAATAACTTTTAAAAAAGAAAAAAATATTTTTCTAATTTCATGAAATAAAAAATATTTTTTTTCTTGGTAGTTGGTCCTCAACAGAGGTGGGTCGGAATTCCGATTTTCAAGTTCCGAGTTCCGATTTTTGAGCCAGTTCCAATTTTCGACAACTTTGACTGTTCCGACCCACCTCTGGTCCTCAATGCCCCCCTCAACTAAAATTTTATTAAAAAAATTTTTTTTAAGAAAATATTTTTTAAATTAAAATGGTAAATAGCTGTCCGTCATTTACCCTCCCTCCTATACTCATTTTATTGAAAAGAATTTTTTTTATTTTTTAAAAATTTTATATTTTTTTGAAGTGGCCTTCCTCGTGGATTAAACCGTTCTTCTTTTTTGGATACACCAATTTTGAGTGGTCACGGACTTGATCCTGTAGTTGAACTTCCTACAGAAGATTCTGCATGGGTATTTTTTATTTTTTAAATTTCTTAAAAAATTTTTTTATTAAAGACTATTCTGGGACCATACCAGCAACGGGCGTTCCGCCCCCAGCGCCCCCTCCCCCACCCCCTACACTCAACACCTCAAAGATATTGGGCTCTAGCTGGAGGACATCAACCAATTGTGACAACATCGGGAGCGTTCAAACCGCCAGTAAAAAAATTTTTTATATTTTTTTAAAAATTTGTCCGCAAAAATATTTGCGGACAATCCGCAAAATTTTGCGGACAAAATTTTATGCATTTTTTATAATTTTTTAAAATTTTATTTTTTAAATAATAGAATCTCCGGAAAGATCGCTTCCATTTGCCGGCGTTCACCCTGAGACATTACAGCACGCAGCGCAACGTTTGCGCCCGACCGTCTACCGTGAATCGCTTTTACCATATGAACGGGAACAATTTTTGGACGGATCGGATCAATTGGCTTCTGGGAGATATTGGCAGGTTTGCTCGATTTTTTGAATTTTATTTTTTAAAATTGTTTATTAAAATTATTTTTTGAAGAATCAGCCGCAGCATGACACGTTGGCCCAGCATCAAACCGGAACAACGGTTAGGGGGAAAATTTTTTTAATTTTAATTTTTTCCTAAAGGTACATGCTACGCACGATTATTCCCACCAATCTCCCGCGTTCGGTGTCAACTCCGGATATAGCCCTTCGGTTTGGATTTTATTTTTTGAATAAAAATTTATTTTTGTCCGCAAATATTTGCGGACAAAAATTTTTGCGGATAAAAAATTAAAATTAATTTTTTTAAAGATGAGTCCAAGTATACAGCAGCAACAGCAAAGCAGCAATTTTAATAGTAATAATAATAAGCAATATCAACAATATTCATATAAACCGCAGCAGAAGCAAAATATGGAAATTAAAATACCTATACAATTAATTGGGCCTTTACCTGGACAAACTAATTTTGGACCGGTAAAAGAATTTTTTTTATTTTAATTAGAATTTTAAAAAGGGGTATTTCGAATGAATTTTTAAACCTTTTAGTAAACCCTCCTTTGTAAAAATATAAAATAATAACAATTGGATTAGGTTTTGTGTCCGCAAATTTTTGCGGACAAAAAATTTTTGCGGACAAAATTTTGCGGACTTTTTTAAAATATTTTTTAATTTGAATATTTTTTTAAAGAAAACATCATATTCACCAACACCATCTCCAATAAATTCTTTTATAAAACAAACATCACAGCAAACTAATTTTAATCATCGTCAATCACCATTATTACAACAGCAACAGCAACAGTCATCTTCTTCACAACAACAATTAATTAATGACCCAAAACGTTATATTCATGCATATGCAACACAAACACCTGTAGCAACTTTAATGACAGGACAAAATGGTGGTGGAATAAGAGAAAATAATTTTGGAAGGGAAAATGAATTTTTAACGAGTAATGGAAGTGGAGGAGGTATTCACTTGAGGAAACAAAATGTTGATAATTTTGTTAAGGAATTGAGAGATCAAGGTTTTTATTTTTTAATAAGTTAGGAAATTGAGATCGATGGATGGGGTATTTTAGGAAGGGTATAGGAATTTATTTGAGGATTTAAAAAATGTTGACCGCCAAGCGGACTCGAACCTTCGACCCCCTATTTTTAAAATAAAATTTTTTTAATTAATGGGAATTGAAAATAAAAAATTTTCTGGGAGTAAAAATGATCAAATCGACATTTTAAGGAAGCAATAGGGATTTGGAGTGTTTTAAAAAATGATGACCGCCAAGCGGACTCGAACCTTCGACCCCCTCTCCCTTTAAAAAAATTTTCTTCAAATTTTTTTGTTTCTCCATCCGTGTGGGTGTGAGAAGCGATGAATCTGATAATGAGTTGGATTTTTCCAGCGTGAGCTGAGAAAGTTAAAACAGGAAAAAAATTTTATTTTACAAAAAAATAATTTAAAAATAGGAGGGGGGGGGGTTCAAGGTTCGAGTCCGTTTGGTGGTCAACTAATTTTTTTAAAACCTCAAATATATTTTTATTATTTTTCCTAAAATGTTTGTGTATTTTTAGGGTTAATAATTTTTATATTTAATTTTAAAATTAAAAAAAATCTTTTAAAGGATTAACTGAACGTCAACGTGTTGCCAATCAACAACAAAAACCTGTCAATTATTCTTCAACTTCAGAACCTCCCCCATCTTTACAAAATTTTGTTTCGTATAAACAAAAAATTATTAATTCAAATTTAAAAGAAGAAAATAAAGAAGATTCAGTTGATCAATTAATTAAAGAAATGGAATGGAAAATGCGTAGTGGTTATGGAGCTGCAGGGGAAAGTAAGCGAAATTTTTAAAAAAAAATTTTGAAATTTTTTTTTGAAAAATGTTTGTAAAAATATTTTTTAGGGAATTTTTTTATTCAAAAAAATTTTTTAAGGCTTTTTAAAAATTTTTTTTAATTTGGGGAATTTTCTCTAATTTTTTCTTTTTTTCCCTTTTTTATTTTTACTTTTTATATATTTTATTTTTAAAAATTTATTTTTAATTTTTTTTTGCTTAAAAACCTGTTATATATTTATATTTTGTTTACATTTTTTCTATTTTTAAATTTTCCTTCATTTTTAAAAAATTTGTATATTTATTTTTTTATTCTTTATTTTTCTGATATTTTCTTTTTTATTTTCCAATTTACATGTATTGAGAAATTTTAATTTTGGATAAGTTTGTGTTGTGGTGTAGTCGTTTAGTGTTTGGTTGGTAATTGAAGTAGTTGTGGGTTCGAATCCTGTGTGTGTTAACTTTTTTTAGCTCTTTTTTATTAATTCCTGTATTGATCCAAAAATATTAAAAAAATTTGAACTTTTTTTTAATCCTTTTTACTTTGTTTCTAAATTTAGTTTTAAATTTTTTTTGATTTTCATTCAATCTATTCATATCAATCTTCATTAAAAATTAATAATTTTTTAAATTTAATTCCTCATCCATTTTGATAAGTCTCTTGAACTATTTACTTTTTTTAATAATTATTTAAAAACGTCTGATTTTTTGAAGCATTTAAAAAGAATCATATGATTTTTTTAAATTCTTTTTTAGAATTTTTTTCTTCTTATTTTTATTGTCTTCTTCCGATTTATTTTAATTTAATTTTAATTAATTTATTCTTAATTGTTTTTATTTTTTTTTTATTTTTTCTCTATTATTTCCTCTATTATTCAATTAATTTTAACAATCAAAAGAAAATAATTAAAAGAGTTTATTATTGAAAATATTTGCTAAAAATTATTTTTTTTATTTTTTGAAGTCCTCGTTCTTTTTTTCTATTCACTTTATTTATCTGAGGATTTTGGCACTTAAAATATTGGAGTGAAAAAAAGAGAATTTTTAAAAATTGAATAGAAAAAGTATTTTTAGGGAACAGCTGGTTTTAAAAAAGAATTTGTTGGGAATTAAAAATTCTTTTGAAGCATTTAAAAAAATTTTTTTGAAGAACAATTGGTGTGTGAGAGGTGTATTCGTGTTTTATTGTTTGTTGCGTCTTTGAAAAAAAGAAAATTTTTTTTGAAGAGTCTGTTAAGTTTTTCCATTAAAATTTTTTGAGATTTTTAAATGAAGTTTTAGAGAACTTTAAGAAAAAATTTTTTTGAAGAGTTGTTAATTAATTTTATTTTTTTTGTGATTTTAATTAAGAGGAGGTTTCTAGAGAGAAAAATTTTTAGGGAGGAAAATTTTTTTCTAGAGGATTTTTTAATTAAAAAAATTTTTTTTTGAATGTTTTTTGTTAATTAAATTTGGGCTTTTTTTAGATTTTATATTTTTAGATTTTTTTATCCTTATGTTTTTTTAGATTTTCATTTTTTTAATCTTCTTTTTAAAAATTTTCTTCTTTAAAATTTTTTGAAAAATTTTCTCTTTAAAAATATCGATTCTTGTAAGTATTATCTAATCTTGAACACACATCTTTCTTTATCTTTTTTAAACGAAAACAAACACTCAAGCATTTATTTATTTATTTTTTTTTAATTGGAAGATTTGAGGAGAGGAATAAAAATTCCAGCAGCTAACCAACTAGTTATCTTCATAACCAACTGTTTTTATTTTTATTTTAACCGATTCATGCATTTTTCTTTTTGAAAGCAGATGTCTTCTTTTTTTCTTAATTTTTTTTTCTTCTCATATGCTAAATCACCACCTCTCGAATACAACACTCTCGTTTTCAAAATAAAATTTTTTTTTCGACGAATCACTTTTATTTCTTTTTAAATTCTTTCTATTTTTTTCAACCGTTTAAACATACACACATGGATTACTCAACAAAATAAAAAATTTTCTTGTGGAAAATTCTAATCATCCCTCACCCTTATTTTTTTTAATTTCCATTTTTTAAAAATCTTCCTTCTAAAAATTTTTCTTCTTATTTTCTTCCTCTTCTCAATTTTCTTCATCTTCGCGTGATTCTCTTTTTTAAATTCTTCTCATACTTATATCCTTTTTTCTCGATTAATTTTTGATCATTTTCATTTTTGATCATTTTTCTATGTTTCATTATTTTCCAGAAAGTTTAAAACTCAAATATATGTGTAAATTGATCTCTCATTTTTGAACAAAAAACATAAAACTTATTTAAAAATGATTAAAAATGATGAATAATTTAAAAATGATTATTTAAAAATGATTTCATTACCGAGACCCTATTTTGAACCATAACTTTTCTAATTTTAAACTTACTTGAATAATTTTTATATCATTAGAAAGCTATGAGTTTCTGGATTTTTTTTCCTAATAGAATCGATCTGATCAGATCACTCTGTAAATAGTTACTCGTGTTTAAGTACGCGCAATCGTGATTTTTGTCTTTATCTGTCTATAACCTCTAATGGAATCGTCTGATCATATCGATCCCGTAAGAGAAAATATTCTCCAGATATGGAGCTTTCGATTGATACAAAAATTATTCGAATCGGTCAAGAAACAAAGAAATTATGATCCAAAATATAGGCTAAGATCTAATCTTTTCTCGCACAAACTTTTCTGATTAACTTCTCCCAATTTGTATTTGTGTATGTTATTTCCGTTACTAATTCTGATTTTTATTTTTTCCCTTAATCTGAATTTTTATTTCTTTAATTCTTATTTTTTTTTAATTTTTCCCCGATTTTTATTTTTCTGTATTTTTAAAATAATTCTGATTTTTATTAAAAACTTGTAGACTCTCTCATATTTTATTATTTTTATGTATATTTTTATTCTGATTTTATTCCTCTAAAATATAAATATTATCTGCTTTTCCTCTCCTCAACTTCCTCCCAAAAAACATTTTTACGCTAATTTTTCTTTTTTTTTGTGTTATTTCTTTTTTCTCGCTTACTTAAAAAAAGACTTGACAAGCTTTTCCTCCCAAAAAAAAAAGTTTTTTTCTTCCTTTCTTCTTTATCCCCTTGGGAAGAACAAAAGGAGGAAAGGCAAGGATTGTTATAAGGACGTGTCTCTAAAAGGCGTTCTTTTTTGTCAAAAAAATTTTTTTTACTTGACGAAAAAAAAAATATTTTTTGACAGCATTTTTAGAGCTAACAATAAAATGTATATTTACGTAATTTGTCTAAGTTGAGAGAATTTATAGAATAAAAAATAATTGGGGGGATAAATCAGAAAAAATAATAATAATTTTTTTTGAGTGGGTAATTATTCCTTTTGGAAGGGGGGTGGTTTTAAAGACCTCTCCAATCTCCAATTATTAATAGTTTTACAAAAAAAATTTTTTTTTTATGTAGATAATTATTTTTGGGTTTTTAAAGACACTAATTATAATTCGTTTTTTAATTGTTTCAATTTTTTGACTTATTATTTTTAATTTTTTAAATACCTCCTAATCTATTACATTTTCTTAGAAATTTTTTTTTTATAATTTTTAAAAATTTTTTTAATATTTTTTAGTTAATAAGGGAATAAAATATAATATTTTTTAAATATTTTTCAATTTTTAAATACCTATCTTTCTATATTTTTCCATCATCAAAAATAATAAATCAAAAAAAATCATGGCTGATGATCTTGGTTTTAGATTTTTTTTAATTTTTAAAAATTAAATTAAAAATTTAAAAAAATCTTTTTAAATTTTCTCTTAAAGATTATTGTACCAAATGTCGTCAACAAATTTCTGGAGATCCCCCAGGTGTAACTGCTTTAGGCCAGCCATACCATGTTACTTGTTTTTGTTGTGATCAATGTCAAAAACAATTGGCTGGTAAATTTTTTAAGAAAAATTTTTTTTTAATTTTTTCTCTTAACTAAGGTTGCTCTTTCTATGCGGTTGATGGAAAAAATTTGTGTCAAGTTGATTATATGAATTCTCTTGAGAAATGTGGCAAATGTAAAATGCCTATTACACAGTGAGGGATTTTTTTGATTTTTTGAATTTCTGATTTTTTTCTGATTTTGTTTTTTATTTTTTATTTCTGGTTTGAATTTGTGTGGTTTTTCTCTTTACGGTTGTTTCTGACCCCCTTTTTCGATCCACAACTTTTTAAATTCTAATTGATTCAAATAAATCTATTATCTATCGAAAGCTCTGGATGTAAGGATTATTTTCCTATCTGGGTCCATTTTAAAAATTATTTAAAAAAAGCTGTAGGCCGATGAAGTTGAAAGGTTATAGTCAGTAAATCACGATTATCCGCACTTAAAAGCTTACAACTTTTTAAAGAATGCTCGTATCTAGGGATCCTTTCGGAAGAAAATAATAAGGACATTCTTAGCTTTCTATTGGTACAAATTTTGTTAAAATTGGTTGAGTTGGAAAAAAGTTATGGCTCGAACAAGGGGTCATGTAGATGCTCCGATTTCCACTTTTTCTGTTTATTTTTTCAATTTTTCAGAAAAATTCTTCGAGCACTCGGAAAAGCTTTCCACCCAGAATGCTTTGTCTGCCCCACTTGTCAAAAATCTTTGGATGGCATTCAATTTACTGTGGATTCTGAAAATTCAGCTTATTGTCTCGATTGTTTCCATGAAAGGTTTTCTCCAAGATGTGCTTCTTGCCTAAAAGTGAGTTTTTTATTTAAACTATTTGAAATAAAATTAATGAGATCTGTTAAGTTGCGTGGTGGTGTAGTGGATAGCGTGCTAGACTTTTTTTCTTATGTATAGGAAATACGGTAAAGGTTCGATTCCTTTCCACTCCCAAACATTTTTAGACAATTTAATTTAACTTTGAAAATTTTTTTACTATTTATTTTTGATATCTAAGTTCGTTAACAATTTTTTAAATTAATTTCTTAGGTTAAAAGACTGCGGGGCTCTTTTCTACACCCCAATAAAGATCGAAAATCACGATTACTTGCACTTATCCTTTTGTAACTTTTTATACGATAATCCGATCGAATCGATCCTTTTAGGAAAAATGATACTCACATTCAAAGCTTTCTATCGATATAAGAATTATTAAAATCGGGTGAAGTTTAAAAAAGTTATGCTCGAAAATACGGCCTCAGGAGTGAACCTTTATATTTTATTTTTTGTCAGGTAATCGCCCCTAGCGGCAATGAAACAGAAGTTGCTCGTGTAATTGCTATGGATCGAAGCTACCATTTAGATTGTTACAAATGTGAAGATTGTGGATTAAAGCTCAATTCAAAAATTGAAGGGCAAGGCTGTTACCCATTGGAATCACATCTTTTTTGGTTTGAACTTGGAAATTTCTTTAAAAAATTTTTTTTCAATTTCAGCAAAAATTGCAATTTGAAACGACTTAAACTTGTCAAATAAATCAATAAAAAATATATACAATAATGATGATCATTCTCCTATGAAAGAGCCCAATATTTCTTTAGCTTTTTGACCTAAAATTTTAATTTTTTTTTAATTTCCATATTTAGCCCCAATTATTTTTCTTACAATAATCTCTCCAAAAAAACCCTTGCCAAACCCCTTATTTTAATTTCTCACAAATTTTTGCTGCTTCTGCTGTTTTTTATTGCTGATAAATATTTTTTTATAATTGTGGACATTTTTTAGTGACATTTTGTCGCATCATACTAATCGATAAAATCGATATCAATCGATAATTAATTTTTAAAGATTTTAATTTTTCCAAAAAATCGATAAAATCAATACTAATCGATAAAATCGATAATTAATTTTTAAAAATTTGAACTTTTCCAAAAAATCGATAAAATCAATACTAATCGATATCAATCGATATCAATCGATAATTAATTTTCAAAAATTTTTATTTTTCCAAAAAATCGATAAAATCAATACTAATCGATAAAATCGATATCAATCGATAATTAATTTTCAAAAAATTTTATTTTTCCAAAAAATCGATAAAATCAATACTAATCGATAAAATCGATATCAATCAATAATTAATTTTAAAATTTATATTTTTACTAAAACAAACAAAAAAACAAAAATATACAAATTAAAATATTCTTCTTCTATATCTCCACCAAAGTATTAAAGCAGCAAAAGGATGCTGTCTTCTATGTAGTCGAACATCCAGTAAATTAAAATCTGATTTTTCTAAAACCTTTAAAATCCAATCTGAACGAAATCCTGCTGTTAACAAAGCTGGCCTTAAAGAAGGGTGGATTGAACAAGATAAGGAACGGGCAGAAACGAGATGAGTAGAAGCTATCTAGAAAAATAAAATATTGAGGGGAAAAGGGAATATAAGCATAGGTAAACACAAGGCTGCTGGTATCAAAGAAATTCCTCCCAGACGAAAACACGGATAATGGAAGACAAGGGCTGGACAAAATCAGATCCGGAAAACGTTAAGAAACATCCCCTAAATTTTACCAATGGTCTTGCCCGTTTAAGAAATAAGGGGTTAAAAGTCTGGGAATGTATTTAGAAAAAACTCAGGAAGCTCGAAAAAAGCCTCAGACCCCGTCCCCAAAACTTAACCAAAAATCAAGCAGGCACAACCAGCAAAAATTATTTTAAAAAATTTAAAAACCTTGCACAAATCTTTAGCAACCTCTTTCATTGTATTAGGACCACTACGAGCAGCAGAATCAATATTGAACCCATGCAGGTCTGTCACATCTTGTGGGAGAAGTACAATTCCATCATGTTTTAATAACAAAGTAGTTGCTCGTAAGGAAAATTTTTAATTATTAAAAAAATAAAAAAGAAAACCTCAACAAAGTCAATATCCCAATAGAACAAGCTATTGAATTTACAACTTTTTCCAATTTTGTTTCATCTACAAGTTGAAGTTCTTGTCTATTTAAACAATTCATTTGAAGTAAAATTAAAGAGCCATAAAGTAATTTACAATAATTTTCCAAAAAATTCAAATTTTCGAAAGGACGATCACCCAAAGTTTGTTGTCTTGATTTTATTAAATTTAAAAATAAATTAAATTCAGTAGATGATTGGTGTGGAAAATTGTAAAATGCTTGGAGGGCGAGAATTGCTGGTTGTCTGAAAAGAAAATTTTTTTATTAGAGTTGTAAAAATTTGAAAACTCTTAAAGGGAAGCGGGCGAGTAAGAAATTTGCAAGAAAAAATTTTTAAGGCCTGGGAAAATTTTTTAAAAAGATCTTACAAAAATTTTAGAACAAAAAAGCAAAAAATAAAAGCAAATACCCAGGAGAGAGATCGAACCTACATCCAATGAAAGGGCAAATCCAGAACGCTACCAATCGGACAACCGAATTGTTACATAAATGCTCCAATAAAGCCTACCAATATCTTTTAATAAAACTGAAAATAGCTCGGAATACTCAAAACCAATTCAGAAAACTAAAAGACAATAAAAAATCCCCAAAAAATAAAATTAAATAAAAAACCGAGGCAACAGAGCATCTCTTCTAGCCAAAGAATTTAACGCATCATTCCAAAACTTTAATTGATTTATATTTGCAACACCAGAGTGCCTCTTTATTTTATGCCTCAAAGTAGATATTTCTGCATTTAACGCCAAAATCTTTAAAATTAAAAGAAAATAATTTTTTAAAATTAATTTAAAAAATAAAACCGTAAATATTTTTGCTCTAACATTTGAAGGCATTAATAAAGCAGCCAAATAATTTTCATAATCCCTTTCTTTAACAATTTTAACACAATAATTTAAAGCTTCTTGATATTGCTGTGGAGATGATTTTAATGCTGTTGTTTGTGTTGTTGTTTTTATTGTTTTATTTATAGAAGAAATAAACATTTAAATAAATAAACAGAATTATTTAAATAGAAAAAATTAAAAAAAAATTTCAAAAAATATATTAGAAGGTAGAAATAACCAAAAATCAAATAAAAATACTTTCCAAAAATTTTTATAAATTTAAAAAAATTTTTAGAACAATTTCAGACACAATAAAGTGAAAAAAGTCGACGAAAAAATACTAGAAGACATTCAAACTTAGACGGGGATTCGAACCCACGACCTTGGACTATGGTAAGCAGGGACGAAACCACTGCACCACACAACTCATATACTGGATTTGAGAAAAAAGAGTACAAATAAAGAACAAAAATAAAATTAAAATATTAAAATTTAAATAAAACAATTTTAAATCATTAAAAAATGAAGTCAAGGTAAAAAATAAAATGAATATTATTTTTTATGTGGAATATATATTTTTGAAATTAAATCGAGAAAAAAAAAAGATTTTTTTTGAAGAAATAAAAACAAAAAGTGAAAGAATAAAAATACAGTCAAAAAAACCTTACTAGAAGAGGCCCTTAAAATTAGATATAAAATTCAAAAATATTTTTCTTAAATTTGGCAGACCAAAAAAGGATGTGGAAGCTACTTAAGCGATAATTAGAGGTCCCCCTTTGATTATAAAATAAAAAAATTTCAGCTTCAAAAGATGTAAAAATAAGGTTTTGACTGTATTAATAAATAAATGTGTATAGAATTGAATTTATTAAGGAAATAGGGAAAATAAAAATTGATAAATAAAGGAGGTCTAATTAAATCCAAAAAGATAACGTCACAAGAGATCGAAATGTTTGCTAAGGAAAAAATTAGAAGGAATTAAGCAGCAGAGCCCTCTTCGACAATTTGTAAATTTAAAATTCTATACACAATTATTTAAAATAATATTTTTTAAAAATAGCCACAAAAAGTCAAAAAATTTAGAGAGGTTTAACTATCTAAAACAAATTTTCAATTGGACAAATAATTATAAAAAAGACTAGAAAGAGATCTGTCTCTTTAAAATAAACCTCAAATTTCGTCCTCAAATTTCATCAACCTCAAATTTAGGCAATAAACATTTTCCACGATGATCAAAAATATAAAAAGAAGGGCAATTACCAATTGTATCCCAAGATTTTTTTGAAGTCTTTTTAAAAAAAAATTTAGAAAATTTTTTAAAAAAATTTAAAAAAAAAACCAAAAAATCAGCTCGAATCGGTTGAAATTCGCCAACAACAAAAGCTGTAGAAATCATCGCAATTAAAAGACTAATAATTGTTTGAAACAACAAATCTATTGGTAAACAAGTAAATGGTTGTCCAATTAAACGAAGATATGAACGATGCTAAAAATTGAAAAAAATTTTTTTAAGCGAAAAGGTTCAAGACATCGCGAGCTCGAGACTAACAATCACAAGGTTTTTAGTGACCGAATCTGGCACCCAAAAATGGTCCGATAAGAGCTTAGCCAAGGGGAAAACTGAGAGGGTTAAACCTCCCACCCCGAAATGAGGAAAAGAGAAAAATATTGGGAGAAAGAAGCCCAAGTATGGTCTGATATAGCCAAAATTCAGCTTATCGCCCCAACATTACAAGTAAATTAAGTATAAATAATGTTACGCTCTTGCGGTAAGAAAACAAAAATATTTTAATGGAGGCTACTGGGATTCACCAAAAAATTGAAAGAAACCCGGCCTAAGCCTAGACTAAATAAAATTGAGCAAGTGAAAGAATAACAAATCAAGGGAAGACCAAGACTAAATAAAATTTAAAAAAACCTGAGCAGCACTATAAGCACAATGAGCAAGTGAAAGAATGCTAAGTGAACACAAAGTTCTCCAAACAAGAGCAACAGATGAATTCATAATTTTAATTCAAAAAAAATAATTTAAAAATCTAAAAAGAAGAAAAATTTAAAAAAGATTTTAATTAAAAATTGAAAGGTAAAGAACCCTTTAAATTTAAACAAAAGAAAAAAATAATTTTTTAAAGTGTTTATATAAAGATTCAACAGAAAAATAGCAAAAAAACATATGTTGTTTAAAAGGTAAATTGTTCAAAAAATTTCATAAAAAAAATTTTTTGATGCACAATTTAAAGGTTTTGAGATTAAAATATTCGGCACTTGTCAAAGGTCTATCCAAGAGGAGGTGAGGGACATACGCAAAAAAAACTAGAGATAAATCTTGATTTTCTTACTAAAGGTCAGAAATCTGGTCAAGGTCCCCAAACAAAATCAAAATTTTCCGATCATTAAAAAATTATGCCAACAAGTGCCAAACATCCTCTGTAAACGAATTTGAAGACGTCAAAATAATTAAATATATATAAGATTACCAACATTGATGAGTGGTGTAAAATGGAATGAATTTTTTAAAAAAATCATAAAGATAACTAATTCTGACCCCCAAAATTAAAAAATTCTGAATTTAAGAGAGAAAATTCTTCGTTCAAATAAATCAAATTAACAAAAACACCACCCTATCAAATGAAAGAACAAAAGTATTTTTTAAAATTATATAAGGAATTTAAAAAAAAAAGAATTTTTTGAAGGTAAACCTAGGCATTGACAATTCATCCCAAGCAAAATAAAAATCCTTGAAAAAAATTTAACTTAACCATTTCCAATTCGAGCTCCACGATGTTTTTTAATTAAATCACTAGCCCTTTCAGAAAGTTGTTTTTGATTTCCTCCCAAAGTTGGATGTAGTTGTTGTGTTGAAGTATGATGTCCAAATCTATAGAAAATTAATTAATTTTTTTTAGTTAAAAATCAAAAAGGAAAAACCTTTCAATCAATTTTTCATCGTATCCCTTCAAAGTTTTATTTGTAGATTTACGAAACAATTTAAGCAAAAATTGTTCAACTAAATTGGAGAAACGACAATTTGCTTTAACGGAGAGAATACGTTTAACGCTGCTTTTGGAATCAGGCTGGAAAAAATTAAATTTTGGTTTAAAGTTAGAGTTATCCCTAAAAACTTTCTTTTTAACACGGAGAGGTTGCGAGGTGTCCGAGCTAAAAACGGTCGGAATGACTTTTGACAAGGGAAGACACTAATCATCGCAAAATTTATAGTTCTAGTTCGGACTGTTGTCTAACCTAAATAAATCCAATATCAGAAAAACGTGAAAACCCCGAAAAATTGTCTTAGAAGAATCGTCCCAGATTAGGAACCATTCCAAGTGACGACATTACCCAGATTCGTCCATCTCGAGTCAAAGAGAATCAAAGATTGAATCCAGGCTCGGGCCGATCTCTACCAAATTCCAAACCCCTTATTGTTAGAGTACTTGACTTAAGTTCAATTTACTCATCTAAACAACATAGGAAAATCTATAACCCATGTAAAAACTTTAAAAAATACCAATTTTTTGTAAGTACAAGTTTCAGTCATATCCAAAGTATTTGTCCAAGAAACATTTCTCGTATGTGTAATTAAAGTCCCCTCATTCACATCAAAAATGCTTTCTTCCAAGGTTGGCATAAAAGCAACATGAGTCTGTCTCGAAATCCAACGAGGAACTGACTTGAGAAAACCGGCACCTTTAAAAAAAGAAGGGTAATTGAAGGGTTTGGGTCTGACAAAAATTTTTAAAAAAAATTCAGTTAAGTCAGGCTTTGTCGATTTTTATGTCACTCAACTCAGCTTGAAGAGCTTATTCAAATATATAATTTATAACAGAAAGGGAAAAACTTCTCGAAAATTTTTCGAAATTTTTGGTTCCCCAAAGCCTAAAAGTCCACATGAAGATAAAAATTTCATTAAAAAAATCAAAATAAACCTCTTTTAACAATTAATTTCCTTGTTATAATCTTCCCTCCTTTAATTTCACGTGACAAAACATCTTCAGAAATTACATGTTTAGAAAATGAATTTGGATAGCGATTGTAAAAAATTGTAACCACTTGATTTATTGTGTAGTCAAAAATACGTTCAGGAACTTCAAATAAATGCATAATATTCTAAAAATTGGTAGAAAAAGGAAAATTATAAGTGAAAATATGCCAGAAATTCCTTAAAATAAAAACAAAAATTGAACCAAAAAAGTTTACATTTTGACATTTTACAAAAATTAATTTACATTTTGACATTTTACAAAAATTATTTTACACTTTGACATGTCAAAGTGTAAATTTCAAAAAAATCTAAAAACATCGAAAGACAAAATGTCTTCATCCATATGTCGATCTTCAAAATTCTCACCTTCTTTATCGAAATCATTTATAAAACAAAGATTAAATCTCGCAAGAAAAAAATGTGAAATTATAAAAGAGAGCATGGGGAAGGAACCGTTATTAGTGGATTAAACATAGAGGTAAATATTTGCGGACAAAACTTGCAGGATTTACTAAAAACATTACAAACAAACCATCTTTTGATCATTGGTATCCATTTGTTGCTGTTGAAGGTATTTTGTTGATAGTTGATGATACGTTGACACCTAATGCTAAATATAAACGGGAGGAAATATAAAACTTACTGATAGGATGTTAATTTTAAGTTGTTTTTATTTTCGAATAAAATTATATTTTTAGTAATGTGAGGAGGATGGTGGAGCAATCTTCTACAATATTTACTCACTGACAGGTTGCCAATGGACCACTCACAGGTTGCCAATGGACCACTGACAGGTTGCCAATGGACCACTGACAGGTTGCCAATGGACCACTCACAGGTTGCCAATGGACCACTCACAGGTTGTTCTGGCTTCTTGGTCTCCAAAATTCTCAAAATTTTCACCTGCGGCGCTAAAAATAGAAGAAATCTGGTTTCCTGACTTTCCAGTAAGCCCTTATCTAAATACGAATAGTTCAATCATGGTACACTGGGATTTTATTAAGGGATTTGGTGATTAACGCACAATATCACTTAAATCTTGCGTTATCCTTCAAATCTCCGATATCCATTCAAATCTCTTCAATCCTTTTAAATCCCATTACAATATAGCACCTTAATTATCTGATATGCGATCCTGATCCCCTTAATCATCTGATCTCCTTTAATAAAACCAAATCTAGCAATATCTCACACCAATCCTCCGATAATTTAAATCACCTTAATCCCTCAAATCCACTGATATCCATTTCAATTCTCTTCAGCCCTTCCTTTACCCTCCAGATCCATCGATATACCTTTTAATTCACAGATATCCCTCCAAATCCACTAATTATTTTTAAATAAATCTTTTAAAAAAAGACTCGAAAATGTCTCGATGCCCGACTCGATAAAGTCAGGCCCGAAAGTGACTCGTTCCGGCCCGACTCGATAAAGTTAGGCCCGAAAAAGACTCGTATCGGCCCGACTCGATAAAGTAAGGCCCGAAAAAGACTCGTACCGGCCCGACTCGATAAAAACAAGCCCGAAAAAAAATGCCTCGACCGTCGGCCCGACTCGAAAACGGCAACCCTATTGCCAATGGACCACTCACAGGTTGCCAATGGACCACTCACAGGTTGCCAATGGACCACTCACAGGTTGCCAATGGACCACTCACAGGTTGCCAATGGACCACTGACAGGTTGCCAATGGACCACTGACAGGTTGCCAGTGAGCAAATGTTGGAGAAGATTGCTCCATCACCCCCTACCATTACTGAAAATATAATTTAATTCAAAAATAAAAAAACTTAGAACTAACTTTTTGAAACCTACTATACCTATTTACCATACCAAGCTGAGGTTGTTTGATTTTTGTTGAGCTAAATGAAAAATAGATAAAAATAGTTATCATCTAAATAACTGCAAGTTTTGTCGCAAAAATTACCCAACTACCCCCCCCCCCCCCCCCATTAATTATTAATAATCCTAAAGATGGAATAATAGTTGTTGTTGTAGTTGAAGCAACAGGTACTGGTTGTTGTTGTTCTGGTTGTTTTATAATTTGTTGTTTTGAAACAAAAAAATGAAGCTAAAGTTGGCGCAGAGCAATTTGTGGATGTCGATTAATTGACAAATCTGGATTTGAAGAAAGCGAGGAGTGTGACCTTGAAGTTTATACCAATTGATTTGGAGGTGGAATTGTTGTATCATGAAGTGAATTGGACTGCAAAATTAAAAGATATAAAAAAGTATTTGGATTTAAAAAGAAAAAAGGTTGGAAAAGAAAAAATCAGGAATGGCCACATTCTCATTTTAAAAACTAACGGGAAAAAGAATAAGTAAACCCACGAGCTTTCGATTGGTATAATAACTTAACCAAGAATCATAAAGTTATGTGACCCAAACTATGACTTCAAACTGAAACAACGAAACTAAAAATTCTTAAAAAAGATCCCCTACCCGGGTTTTTACTATCTAACATAAACTCAATTCTAATTAAAATAAAAAAAATAAACCGTTTTGATCTGTTCTGAATCTGTATCAATTATTGGATTAGCAATAGAGCAATTTGTTGATGTTGTTTTGAAGGTGAAGAATATAGCAAAGATGATGATGTTGTTTGTTGTGAAGATGATGAGGCGGGGGTTGTTGTTGAATACTGTTTAGAGGAAAATTTGGTGGTGGAGTTGAAAATCTGAAAAAAAAATTTTCTTAATTCAAATATTTGTTGGAAAATGCTTTAAAATAAAATAGAAAGGCCCTATCCCAAAAAAAGGACGGAATCGTTTTTTTCATTACCTGCAAGGAAAGGAAAAATCGAAAGAAAAAATGGTGAAAAATCGAAAGAAAAAATGAGCCGAATGGACACGGACACACAAAACACGGATGGACACGGACAGACAAAACACGGACGTCTGTCCGTGCCGTTCGTCTCCATTTTTCCTTTCGCTGCAGGTAATTAAAAAACGATTCCGCCCTTCTTTAAAAAATAAATCAACAAACCTCTTTTAACAATCAATTTCCTTGTAATAATCTTCCCTCCTTTAATTTCACGCGAAATTACATCTTCAGAAATGACATGTTTAGAAAATGAATTTGGATAGCGATTGTAGAAAATTGTAACCACTTGATTTATTGTGTAGTCAAAAATACGTTCAGGAACCTCGAATAAATGCATAATTCACTAAAAATTGGTGAAAATAAAAAAATTTTAAATGAAAATATGAAAGCAAATCCTAGAAATAAAAAAAATTGAACCAAAAAAAAGTTTACACTTTGACATTTTACAAAACTAATTTTACTCTTTGACATGTCAAAATGTAAAATTTAAAAAAAAACTAAAAATACAGAATATCTAAAAGACAAAATGTCCAACAACGAAAACTATTTAAAAAGGGTCAGTAATGTCAAATCTCGACGCCAAACTAACACTAACATTAAGTCGATAATTTTGAGATAATTCTTCTTTGGTTTATCCAACCAACAAAAAAAATTAAAAATAAAATCTATTTGAAATACATTTTTTATTCAATTGAAAAAAGAAATTTTTTTTAAATTTAAAAATCACAATTAAAAAAGGCCTAAAAATATATGTATTTCACACAATAAAAACAACGAATGTGGAAATTATAAAAAAAGTCATATATGCAAAAAAAATTTTTTGAAGAAAAAAATTAAAAATATATATAAATATAATTTAATTATTCAAAAAATAATAATTAGCCCCAACCCCTTTAAAAAAGAAAAATTAAAACACCATGTATAACATAGAATATATTTAAAGATCGAGAGATTTTTTAAAAATCAGCTAGCTGAGGATTGACTTAAAAGTCTGTCTATTAATCTCTAGGTAAAAAGAGAAAAGACTACCCCAAAGAAAAACATCCAAGAGAGCCTTGGTGGTAGCCTTTAAGACAAAAATGAGCCTGGAATCTAAAACTTTGTCAATTAATCAGAGAATATAGGTAGGTACAGGAGAAAAAACCTCCAAGAAAGCCTTAACACCTTTTAACAACCTTTGCTTACTAACCAGAGCTCAAGGCAAAAGGAAAAAACTCCCCAAGAAAATCCTCAATTTTCTTAAATCTCCTCAACTTTTTTTAAAAAGGGAAGCCTCCAAGAACCCCAAACCTCTAAGATACCCTTGACACCTATCTCGATCTCTAACTTTTAAAATTTTACAAAAATTCAAAGCTATAATAATATTTTTAAAAAATCACAACGTCATTTTTCCCGTTTTTACCTATTTATTTTTAATAACTCTCCATTCTTGTCTCGGAATTTTTTGGAAATATTTAATACGTCTATAAAATATTCTATACCACAATAAACCAATTATAGTACATATTCCAACAGAAATGTAATAACCATCAATGTGAAATTCACAAACATCACCACCTTTAACACACATTTCTTCATCTTTTTTGGTATTACAGGCACCAAGAATTCTTTAAAAAATAGAAAAAAATTTTTTTTTCTTTAAAAAAATTTTAAAAATTTACAATTTTGTCCCTGTAGCAACACAATTTTTTCGATTAAAAAAATCTGTGATGCTCAAAAACAAAGTTACTGGCCAATTTCCACCCAAATTATTTAAGGTATTTAATAATGTCATATATGTTCCACCAATCTATAAATTTAAATATTTTTTTAAATTAAATTTTTAAATTAATTTTTAACCTTTGGATCCGATATTTGCGCGTTGAAAGCCATCATTGAAAGAAATATACAGTCATCGACATAAAGATAGGGACAAGAGTAATTTAAATGCAAATTAACTATTTTTCAGTCAAAAAATACGTTCTATATATCAATCGCAAGCTCTATTCGTATCTCAGTTGACATGTTTCTGCATTTTTCATGAAAATGAAAATTGACCGAGATAATCCGGATCTACGGATATACCAAATCCTATATCCTCGGAAAAATTTTTCGGAAAAAATTTAACGAACCCATTTGATAAAGCATATTTTTGTGAGTATTTACCACAAAACCACTTAGAAATATCTTTTTCCGGACCAGAGATATGATTTTTTGAAAATGGCATTTTTAGCCTATTTTTGCAAAAAATTCAATTCTTAAGGGAAAAATGCGATTTTCAAAAAATCATATCTCTGGACCGGACAAAGATATTTTTAAGCGGTTTTGTGGAAAATACTCACAAAAATATGCTTTATCAAATGGGTTTGTCAAATTTTTTCAGAAAAATTTTTCCGAGGATATGGGATTTGGTATATCCGGTAGATCCGGATTATCTCGACCAATTTTCAATTTCATAAAAAATGCAGAAACATGTCAACTGAGATACGAATAGAGCTTTCGATTGCTATATAGAACGTATTTTTTGACTGAAAAATAGTTAATTTGCATTTAAATTACTCTTGTCCCTATCTTTATGTCCACTACTGTACAATAAGAAGCTATCTGAAAATTATTAAATTCTGATTTGTGAACTTATTATTTTAGAAATTCTAATATGTAAACACAATTTTATTATTTTAAAAATTCTGATTAGGAAACTTAAGTTAATATTTTTGAAAATTCTGATTTGCAAACTTAAATTAATATTTTAATAATTCTGATTTGTAAACTTAAGTTAACATCTTGAAAATTCTGATTTGCAGACTTAGTTTTTATTTTCTAAATTCTGATTAGCTAACTTAAATTAATATTGCAAAAATTCTGAGTCATAATTATGAAATTCTGATTTATAAACTTAAGTTTATTATTTTAAAAATTCTGATTTTTAAAAGAAACACTGCAGGTTAAAATAATAAAATAATAAACTTAATTTTCAATCATAGGCGATACTCCAGGGAAAAAAGAAGATAAAGGGCAGACCCACGGGCAAAATTTAACCATGACATCCAAATTATTTTTAAATTCTTTTTGTCAACATAAAAACAAACCTGTTGAAGGTAGTAAGCCCCCATCCATATTGCATAATAAAAATAGGAATAATCGCCAGATGATTCTTTAAATGAAGGAGTCCAATAAACAAGTAAAGCAAACACAACACCCATTATTAGACGATAAGGGTATGCCCAAAGAAAGACGTTGAGAGGTTTAGGCCCAGCAGTTTGTTTACCTAATAGCCAAGGAAGTACAATATGTAAAGGAGTAAGAAATAGAGATCTGCTAGCTATTTTATCTGTTGTTATTCCGACAGCTATTAATTTTAAATCTGAAAAAGAAAGATATTTTTAAGTTTTTTAAGTTTGTAAAGTTAAATAAAGTTGGAATATAATTGTCAACTACTAGGTTTACAAAATTAAATAAACTTAAGTTCATGAAATTAATTAAACTTAAGTTTATAAAATTAGATAAACTTAAGTTCATAAAATTAATTAAACTTAAGCTTAGAAAATTAGATAAACTTAAGCATATAAAATTAAAAAACTTAAGCTTGCAAAATTAGTAAAGCTTAAGTTCGTAAAATTAATTAAACTTAAGTTTACAAATTTAATTAATAAGCGCATATACAATCGTCAAGTTTTAAGTTTACAATATTGATGAAACTTAAGTTTATAAAATTTAATAAACTTAAGTTCATAAAATTAATTAAACTTAATTAGATAAGAAATAGATAAAATTAATTAAACTTGAGTTTGTAAAACTAAATAAACTTAAGTTTATAAAAAATAAACTTGGACTATAACTCAATTTTTTAGAATTACAAACTTAATTAAACTTAAGTTTGTAAATTTAAATAAACTTAAATTACAATCTTAAAAATAATTTTAACACTTAAAAAATATGAAATAAATCTATTATTTTACCAGTCATTCCATCAGAAGCAGCAAACGCAATCTTAAAAAAAAAGAAAAAAATAATTTAAAAAAATAAATAAATTCCCCCCAATTACCTTTCCAGTAAGCAAAACAACAATCATTACAAGCATAGGTTTAAGGCATAATATTTTAGCCAAAACTGTATATGTTTCTTTAACACCCAAAGACAACTCTTCTTCACATTTTTCTTTTTCTTCATCACTTCCCTTATTTCCATTTTCTGCTCTTAAAATTAAAAAAAATTTTTTTTTTAATTTTAAGAATAAAAAAATACGTTGAAGAAGGATTTTGTTCAACAGAATAATCAATTTCATGTTTAAAAATAAATACAAGAGTTGTAGTTATTAGAAAGATAATGCCCCAAAAGAAGACAAATCCTGAAGAAAAAAAATAAAATTAATTAAAAAAAAATTCTTTTTAATTTCCCAAAGTTAACTTAAAAATTAAAAAAAAATTTTCAAATAAAAATAAAATTAAAAGAAAAATAAAAAGAAAGAAATCGTCATTTTATAACCCTTCCGAAAATTTTTTGTTTGTTTTGAATGGTCTAGGAGGGCCAATGTATAAATAAATAGAAAGCACCACCATCAAAACAAACTCGTTAAAACGGAAGAATTGAGAAGGAAGGGTTATTGGTCGCGTAACTCATCACTCCTCATTAAATTTTATGTATTTTATATTCACGTATATTTTCGATTTTTGCGCGTATATTTTATTTTGGGGAGTTTTTAAGGTATATTTTTAAAAATAATTTCTAAAAAAATTAAAAAAAATTTTTTTAAAGAAATCATCTTCCTATTAAGGAAATAACAATTATAAATCAATTTAAAAAATTTTTTGAAAAATATTTTTACTTAAATCCTAAGAAAAACACCACCCTTTCTTTTTTCTTGTATTTTCGATTTAATAAAATTAAAAATGACTAAAAATAGATAACAAAAAATTCACGTCATTACAACACCCACCCATTGTTTTTTTTCTTTCCTTTTTATTTAAAAATGTACTTTTCCCTCCCTCATCATTTTCCCATAAAAAATTTTTTTTAAACTTTCCGGAAATGGCACACACGTTTCTTTTTTAACAAAATTTAATTAACCTCTAAATTTGGTCATAAAACACATTTTTATTTTTTTAAACTAAAAGGACGCCCATAAAATAATTTTTTAAAAATCTAAAAATTCATTTTAAAAATGTCAAAATAAAATAGAGAAGAAAAAAATAAAGTTAGTCTTCACTTAACTAACCCCCTCCCCCCATCCCCATCTGCTCCCCCTTTAAATATGCTTTGTTAAAAAAATTAAGAAAAAGATTTTCAAGAAAATTCCAAAAAAAAATTCTCAATAAAATTGCAAATTTTCAAAAAAAAATTTTTTTTTATTTTAGAGAATTGTTAGTATGCCATTTTTAATTTCTATAATTTTATTAATTGCTGCATCAGTATTAATTACATTTCCCATGGAAACTTTGGAAAGAGGATTTAGTTAAATTAATTTCTTTAAAAAAATTTTTCTTAAAAATTTTCAGAAGATAATTGTAAATCAGAAAAACTACGCGAAATTATACTTGAGACTATTGGAGTATATCCACATCAATATAGCCATCAAGCAAAGTATATGATTAAATTAAAATTATAGTTAGACCCCCTAATTATAAGATACACACACGTCCCATAAGGGTTGAGAGGAAAAAAGCCGGGTCGGGGGTTTACAAAATTCTCTTCGAGTAGAGTTCAGCGTTCATAAGCTAGTACCGAAAACGAGGCCAAAAATAAGCAAGTACGAGTATAAGCAAAATTAAAATCTATAAACACTGGTCCGATTTCGAGTTGGGAAAGAATCCGAATTAGAGTCTCAGATCGAGAGTTTCGGAACGGGCCATTTAGGGGGACTAATGTAAGTGGAAATAAAGCCGGATATTGGGTTTCAAATCAGGTTTTCGAAGAATTTTCTTGGGTCGAGTAACAAGTATCTCTTAAGGTGTGTATCTTGAATATTTTTTATAAAAATAAAAGAAAAATTTTAATTAAAATTAAGATTAGAAAAAAATCAGAGAAAAAAATTTGAAAAAATTAAAAAAAAATATTCCACCTTCCTTAGACATATGAAACAAATGGCAGAAAGTCGCTTTGGTAATTGGTGGAGTGCCGTAATTATAAGTGATAGGGGAGGTTATGGAATGAGTACAGTTTATGATAAATATCAAAATACAAGGTAAGCCTTCGTTTTTTTTAATAAAAAAATTTCAAAAAAAATTTTTAAAGCTGTGAAATTATGATTTTCAATACTTTTTATTGGTTAGGAAGGACATGCTAACTTAATTAATTAATTAGAGGAGAGGAAGTATATTTTTAAAATATCAAAAAAAAATAATTAGAACACTTATTTGTAAATATTAATGGAATTTTTGTTTTTTGTGAATGGTGTGCAATTTTTAAAAATAAAATAAAAAAAATTTTTTTTTGGATAAATAGGAGGAAATAAAGGAAAAATAAGGAAGGAGTGCTTAAAGATTCAAAAATAATAGAAAAAATATTCAAGAAAAAGGACCAAATATCTCCCCAAAAAATGCAAAAAAAAAAGTGAAAAAAATAAATACATAAAAACAAGAAAAATTTTTTTGACAAACTTCCCAAGAAAGAGGCGTTTAGAAAAATAAAGAAAATTAAAAAAAGGTTCCAGCATACCCCCAAAGATAGTCAAAAATGTAAAAAAAAATTTGAAAAAAATTTCAAAAAATTTTTAAAAATTAATAAAAAACTAACCATCCAATTGAACAAATCCTTTTTCTTCTGGCACAACTCGAAAACGATTAGCAAATTCTTTAGATTGTAAAGCTAAAAACACAACATTTCCCAAAAACACACCAATTGTTTGACCAACAACATTACAACTTTAAAAAAATAATTTTAATTAAAAAAATAAAATA